AATTTTTTTTTATATGTGCTTGCGCACCATTGCCAACGCAGCAGCATCACCAGATAATGTCTAAACATACGTAGTAGGAGTTGGGTTTTTGTTACCCACGGGTTAGGCTCAGCGTTGTGTTTGTGCTGCACTCCTGAGGAACGCGGTTTAATGTTGCAGTGAGAGTACAGTTTTGATGATAGTTCTATTGTTGACAGAGCCCACGGCAACCCATATGGAGATGGCCGTCTTGACCTCCTATTTGGAGTAAAATATTTTGAGTTCTTACACAATTTTTGCATTACTCTCCTCCTCCAATGGGAGTCTGTGGGTCCGGTTGTGAAAACAATCGACTGCGCCCGGACCACTTTGTTACTGAATCCCAGCCAATGTCATGACTTGTCTTCCAAATGACTCAGCATTTGCAGGCAAAGTAGCACTGTAGAGACCATTTTTTTTAAGTTATGTTTGTTAACTTTTATATATTTATATTTCATTCAATTTGTATCAAAACCACAACTGCCACAATGGAAACTCAAATTATTGTTTTTTTTTTATCAATTTAACATTGCCGCTCATTGCATCACCTGTACTTTCATTGATTGCTATATACATATATATAAACAAATCTAAACCCATATGTTAATTTGCTTCATTTTCTCTCTCCCCCACGTTAGGGGCCGTCCATAAATGACGTCACGCGATTTTGGACGATTTCTGACACCCCCCCCCCCTCCATCGTCACACGGCGTCACAAAAAGTCAGACCCCCCCCCCCTCAAATATGACGTCACAAAGCTCTGCCCCCCCATTTTTTTTAAACATGCTTCAAATCGCTTTAAACTATTGCCATTGTAGTGCGTAATTAATGTGGCGCTGCACTCTGATGTTGTTGGAAAAAACATTTATTAAAGTCTACTTAATTAAGTAGAACGTGTTGTTTAAATTTATTTAAAGTTGCGCATTTTGATGTGACGTTACATTTCTCACCCCACCCCCCCATCGTCACACATCGTCAAAAATGTTTGACCCCCCCCCCCCGGTGCATGACGTCATTTATGGACGGCCCCTGATTGTATAGGGGGTGTTGCTAGACAAAGTGCAAGTCAGCGCTTAGTCTAACTCACCACTCACATTCACTGTCATCACCCACATTCACTCTCATCACTCACATCCACTCTGACCACTCACGTTCACTCTCACCACTCACATTCACTCTGACCACTCACATTCACTCTCATCACTCACATTCACTCTCACCACTCACATTCACTCTCACCACTCACATTCACTCTCACCACTCACATTCACTCTCACCACTCACATTCACTCTGACCACTCACATTCACTCTCACCACTCACTTCCACTCTCATCACTCACATTCACTCTCACCACTCACATTCACTCTCACCACTCACTTTCACTCTCACCACTCACATTCACTCTCATCACTCACATTCACTCTCACCACTCACTTTCACTCTCACCACTCACTTTCACTCTCACCACTCACATTCACTCTCATCACTCACATTCACTCTCACCACTCACTTTCACTCTCACCACTCACTTTCACTCTCACCACTCACATTCACTCTCATCACTCACATTCACTCTCACCACTCACTTTCACTCTCACCACTCACATTAACTCTCACCACTCACTTCCACTCTCATCACTCACATTCACTCTCACCACTCACATTCACTCTCACCACTCACTTTCACTCTCATCACTCACATTCACTCTCACCACTCACTTTCACTCTCACCACTCACTTTCACTCTCACCACTCACATTCACTCTCATCACTCACATTCACTCTCACCACTCACTTTCACTCTCACCACTCACTTTCACTCTCACCACTCACATTAACTCTCACCACTCACTTCCACTCTCATCACTCACATTCACTCTCACCACTCACATTCACTCTCACCACTCACATTCACTCTCACCACTCACTTTCACTCTCACCACTCACTTTCACTCTCACCACTCACATTCACTCTCATCACTCACATTCACTCTCACCACTCACTTTCACTCTCACCACTCACATTAACTCTCACCACTCACTTCCACTCTCATCACTCACATTCACTCTCACCACTCACATTCACTCTCACCACTCACTTTCACTCTCACCACTCACATTCACTCTCATCACTCACATCCACTCTGACCACTCACATTCACTCTCACCACTCACTTTCACTCTCACCACTCACTTTCACTCTCACCACTCACATTCACTCTCATCACTCACATTCACTCTCACCACTCACTTTCACTCTCACCACTCACATTAACTCTCACCACTCACTTCCACTCTCATCACTCACATTCACTCTCACCACTCACATTCACTCTCACCACTCACTTTCACTCTCACCACTCACATTCACTCTCATCACTCACATTCACTCTCACCACTCACTTTCACTCTCACCACTCACATTAACTCTCACCACTCACTTCCACTCTCATCACTCACATCCACTCTGACCACTCACATTCACTCTCACCACTCACTCTCACCACTCACATTCACTCTGACCATTCACATTCACTCTGACCACTCACATTCACTCTCACCACTCATTCTCATCACTCACATCCACTCTCACCACTCACATTCACTCTGACCACTCACATTCACTCTCATCACTCACATTCACTCTCACCACTCACGTTCACTCTCACCACTCACATCCACTCTGACCACTCACATTCACTCTCACCACTCACTTTCACTCTCACCACTCACTTTCACTCTCACCACTCACATTCACTCTCATCACTCACATTCACTCTCACCACTCACTTTCACTCTCACCAGTCACTTCCACTCTCATCACTCACATTCACTCTCACCACTCACATTCACTCTCACCACTCACTTTCACTCTCACCACTCACATTCACTCTCATCACTCACATTCACTCTCACCACTCACTTCCACTCTCATCACTCACATCCACTCTGACCACTCACATTCACTCTCACCACTCACTCTCACCACTCACATTCACTCTGACCATTCACATTCACTCTGACCACTCACATTCACTCTCACCACTCACTCTCATCACTCACATCCACTCTCACCACTCACATTCACTCTGACCACTCACATTCACTCTCATCACTCACATTCACTCTCACCACTCACGTTCACTCTCACCACTCACATCCACTCTGACCACTCACATTCACTCTCACCACTCACATTCACTCTCACCATTCACATTCACTCTCACCACTCACTCTCACCACTCACTTCCACCACTCACTTCCACTCTCAGCACTCACATTCACTCTCACCACTCACATTCACTCTCACCACTCACATTCACTCACTTCCACTCTCAGCACTCACATTCACTCTCACCACTCACATTCACTCTCACCACTCACATTCACTCCCACCACTCACTGTCACCACTCACATTCACTGTCACCACTCACATCCACTCTCACCACTCACATTCATTCTCACCACTCACATTTACTCTTACCATTCACATCCACTCTGACCACTCACATTCACTCTCACCATTCACATTCACTCTCACCACTTACATTCACTCTGACCACTCACATTCACTCTCACCACTCACATTCACTCTCACATTCACTCTCACCACTCACATTCACTCTCACCACTCACATTTACTCTTACCACTCACATTCACTCTCACCACCTACAGACATTTACTACTCGTACTCAAAATTCACTCTTCCCCCATTCGGACAACGGCAAGATCCGTCTGTTGAGAGCACGTGCTGCCCTCCAGTCCTGTATTCGCGAAGTGCAGAAGCGCGTTTTATCCAGTAAGGTGGCGCTCCACTCATTCACTCCTTACAAACAGCGGTCAGTCACGGGTGTTTGCTCAATGGTGTCGGTCAGGAGTCGGTCACCTGCGGCTCCGGTGCCGCCTCTTACTCTTTAAGGACTGCTTCATGACGATATTTATTGAGACCCGTCTCGTATTCACACGGCTCTTGACATATTGAGTTGTTTATTGGCCGTTTTTCATGTTGACAAATGTGTTGAGCTAAACATAAAATATTTACTCCCATCGCATCTGCCGCACGGCCTTCTGGGAGTGCGTATACTTCTTGGCTAAGTTCAACAGTTGCCAAGAGGCACCAATACTCACAAAAGGCCGTGTGGCTTAATTGTGTAAATCAGTCCAAATTAGATTAAAGACCATTTGTAGGCACAGGCCTGCGTTGTGTCAGTAATGGTGTTTAAATCATCAGCTGTGCACGGCTCTTCCTGACATCACAGCAGATGAGGTATGTGGCTGATCGGACGTGTAAAAAATTAACCCGTAAAAACAAAGTTTTTCACTATAAATCCTTTATATGCGTGGCGGCTAGAGTCCTCTCGTCCTCTGGCTTGAGATGGCTGCCACCTATGGGTCAGATGATTGCCTGCCACCATTAAGCAATTGGTAATTAAATATAATTGATTTTTTCCTAAAAAGTGTAAAATTTTGGAAAACATTTTTGACGAAAATAAAGTCACGCACAACGAGTCTGTGTGCAAAATGTCAGCTCGATTGGATCACGGGAAGTGGGTTAAAAAACGACCGAAAGATTTGCACGGTCGTAAGCGCACAAAGCAAGCAAGCAAACTTAATATAAAGGATTTCAAAATACTTACGTGGACAAATGTGGTCTATTTTCTGCTTATATCATGTTATATTCTCCACGATGCAAATTTTATTTTAGGTTGTATATAGGTCAAATTACATTCCTTCAGTTTCTTATATAATAGCTGCCTTATACAAGAGTCAAAGTTCTTTCCTGCTCAAATTAGCCCTGAGTCATTAGTGAAAATGGCATATTCCTATGGAAGGGGCAATTATATCCTTAGCACAACCTCGGTTTTCTCAACCCCAGACAGATACTCAGTTTAGTCAACCCCCAATGAAAACCACAACTCACAACCTTCCCATTCCGAGCAGCTAACTCTCCCACTGAGGCACCTGGTCAGCTCTACTTATACAATTTTTATTCATGTACAGTAGTGTTTAAATGCAACATCTCAGTACAGTATTTAGATAAGTTCAGCATTCATTGGACTCTATACAATGAAACGTATGTTGTTGGACAAATGTCAAGATAGACAATTAAGCTTTGCATATATGCTGTAGTATTTAATTGAAGTTAATCAGGCATGAATACAACAATAGAATATACAAAACTGTTATTCTGCACATGTATTCAAAATATGATTTTGCAAGCAATGGTTACCTTTTTAGTTTGCATTTCAAAACAATATTATGATTGCATGGGGAGACTGTTAGCCAATGCAGCTTTTTAGGAGTGGGAATATTAGAAATAGGATGTTTTATTGTTGGCACAAAGTAAACAATGTATCTATGGCACAGCAATAGCCTTGATTGGAAAGGCAATAAAATGTTATTTTGTATTAACCACTATTTTCCCAGTTCATCGATTACCTGCATTATGCACACTGGAAAATATAATCAGGCACTTGGGCTATTTCCTTGTACTAAAAAATGTTACCAACTTGGCAATAATTTATTATTTAGTACAACTGGTATCTGTGCCATTCTTATTTCACAGTTGGCGGCGATGTTGCAATGTGTAATCCCAATTTGGTCATTTGTAGGTGATTTTCACATTTGTTAAATTTGGACCATTAAACCAGCACACAATGGCCTACTCGTTTCAAATTAATGTAAAGCAGATGGTGCGTATTTTATGCTTATTACACCTGCTGGGTTAAAATCACAAACTTATGCAAATGTGCTACCGCTGAACCATGTCACCTCCATGGCTAAATCGCCACCGTTGACTTAGTGAGAGCACGTCAGACGTATTTGTTGAGCCAGGCGAGCAGATCGGCGCGTGCCTCCTTGATGTGCTGCTCGTCGGCCGGACTGATGTCCTCGTGCTTGCGGTGCACGAAGCCGTGCGTCTGTCCTGGAAACACCTTCACCTGCACGTCCACCTGGCACTCAGCCACCAGGCGTTTCTCCAGCAATTGCACCTGATAGCGCCGCACGATGGGAATACCCACACAGTTATCATAGTGCAATGCCTAAAGGTAAACAGTGCTTCGATAAAAACAAAATCTACAAATGATAATCTATAGTTTTGTACTCGGGGGTGTAGGGTTAAGATGCAAGACTGAATGCTTTGCCGAGTATGTATACTTTACCGTGTCCAGTGGAATGAGTGGGTCATTTTCTCCAAAGATGTACAATACAGGATTCTTGAGTGCGTAACGGGACTCCTCTATCTTAATGATACCTGAAGCACACGGGTGGAACCAGAATTCACCAATATCATGACATCAGTACTCAACCACAGCCATGTTTACCGCTCAATTTGTATGAACACTATAATACTGTAATTTGTATCAATGTATTGGATCTGTCTGGGTTTTGTGCCCCGTAAAAAATGTATGCATTACACACCTCGGGAACCTCCCCTTATGGCAGTGGCTCCAAGTCATGTGCCAACTCCAGTCAAAAATTAAGCCTTGGTCACAGTCATGGGCACCAAAAATAAGACAAAAGTTTGAAGTTTGGTTGCATTTGGAGACTTTACCATAGCAGGAGACACCGGCTTGCAGCTCGGAGTTTGTGAGCAGCAGGTGATGGACGGCCAGTCCTCCCCAGCAGAAGCCCAATACCCCAATCCGCTGCACCCCACACTCCTTCAAGTAATCCATGGCTGCATCAATCTCCCTAGTATAAGCACAGAGCAACAGCCACCGACACTTCTAAGTGCCATCGGTGTGACCGCATAATGTGGGAGTATTTACACAGAAGTACAAAAACACAGATCCCTCGTATAGGCGGGGGGGGGGGGGGGCAGCACCACGCCTGATTGCCTTTGTTTCCTGAGTGGCGATCTTTAAACACCGCACCGGGTGCTTATTCGCGGCCGAGTCGACCAGATAATCTTCACTGGAGTTGGCCATGAGCGGGAACTGAACTTGGGTCATCGGGTTCGAAGCCCAGCATGCTAACCACTGCACTACTACTTCCCATAGACATACAAAGACAAAGATCCCCAATATAGCCTTAACAGACTGGTGGAGAAAGTGCTATTAGCGAGCACCTATGAAGGCCGGCACGGTACACGAGGAGGTGGCTGGACAGCATCGTACCAGGCACTCATTTGGGGCTAAGTCAACCTAGGGGCGGCCCAGCACCGATTCAGATAATCGTCGCTGGTGTTGGCCATGAGGGGGAATCGAACTCAGGTCGCCGGGCTCATAGCACACCGTGCTAACCATTGCACTACCGCTTCTCCCAGACGTACACACGCATATACTCACACATGCCACATAAAGCCTCGACAGAGGTATTTTACACAGCCCTTATATACACATAATATCACAGTGTACAAAACGTACGTAAGTATGTCTCGAGCACATAAGTAGGGGTAAATTAAATAATGAAAAATAAATGTTCTCTTACGTGCCGATGTTGGTGGCCTGCTTGTCCTTGAGCCACTCTTGAAAAGTACTCCAGTCGTGGCTGGGGCTCCAAGGCTCCTTCCCCAGGAAAAAGTCTGGTACGATGCACCTACCAGAGTACATGCGGAACACCAGATGACAGTGGTAGTATTACTCATGGTTCAGGGTCCGTGCATACATTCATAGGTTTAAACCTGTTCCAGCTGCTGAACGGTCTTGTTCATAAAGGTGGGCCACGTTTGTACAAAGTGAGCCCCACCTCAAAAGTGTGTAGCTGTATTTACCATATGAATATTAAACAAATTAAATGTAGAGCTTTTCACATATAGGAAGGAAGTCTAACGTTGAAGAGGACTACCTCACAAAATTAAATTCATGCCCAATTTGGGGTGTTTATGTGGGGAAATGGAATATTAAGTATTTTAGCCAAGACCTCATTGTCATTACAACCTTTGTGCCCATGTATCTATGTGACCAGAGTTTGCGATTAAACCCAGCTCCAGCTCCAAATCGGGTATTCACAAGTGTAGTGACGTACTGTGACAGCTATTGTCACAATAGTGGAACTGTGCGTCTTGAGCCTCTCTCTGGCACCAGAGGAGGTATGGCAAGGAAGCGGGCCTTAGGGGGCATGGTTCTGGTGACGGTCAGAGAGAGAGGGTAAGTAAGGAGATGACAGTCTGGATGAACCAGAGAGGGCACGTGATCAGGACAGGGTAGCGAGGGGGCCCAAGGGTGGCTTGAGGGACACGTGATGCTCGGTCGAGAACCTTCTGGTAAGATCCAGAAGGGGCGTGGCCGAAGGCGGAGCGAGGCAATGCTCGGGAGCATAAAAGGGAAGTCGCGAGAGCAATCGCGGCTTTCTGCTGGAATAGAACCCTCGGTGCTACATCTCTTCGGTCTTCGGTCGTTACGCTCGGCATCGTGGATCAGGCAGTGTGTCGCTGACCTGACCCGTTTATGTAGTTACCCTGTTGAGGTCCAGTAACTGTGTACGTTTATGTAGTAAGTGCCTCCGTGGAATCCACTACACATGTGAAGTGGGTTCTACGGAAGCACACACTTGAACTTGGAGGCAACACGTTTATTACGCGACCCCAACAGGGTAACTACATAAAGTTAACACTGGTTAACTAGACCACAATGGGGTAACTACATAACCGGGTCAGTCAATAACACACTGCCTGACCCACGATGCCGAGTGTAAAGACCAAAGACCGAGGACCGAGGATCGAAGAGACGTAGCACCGACGGGTTCCATTCCAACAGACAGCCCGGATCGGCTCTCGGGACTTCCCTTTTATTCCTATTGAGCGTGTCCTGGCTACGCCCACGGCCCGGCCCCCTTCTAGATCCTACTAGAAGGCTCTGGGCCATATATATCACGTGTCCCTCAAGCCCCCTTCGGACCCCCCTCGCTACCCTGTCCCGGTCACGTGCCCTCTTGGATTCACCCAGACTGTCACGTCCTCACTTGCCCTCTCGCTCTGCCCATCACGAGGACCATGCCCCCTAGGGCCGCTTCCATGCCATATCTACTCTGGTGCCAGAGAGAGGCTCAAGATGCACAGTTCCACTCTTGTGACAGTAGCTAGCGCTAAACACCAGAGTGACTCCATTAACGTGACTACACATGTATTAACCAAATCATACCTTTGGTCAAAGGTGAAAATGCAGTGTTATTCTAGAGGATAAATTATAGTAGTTTAAAAGAAAATATTCCAAATATAAAATATCACGCATAACAGAACTTACAATACCCTTAATGTTTTAAACTATAATCAGTGTTATTTTTTCTACCGGGAAATAAATGTACCTAATATGTATGTAAATGCTCTAATACAGTGCTAATGCATGTGTAGTGGAGTAGAACGACACTACTGTCTTGGCTCGGTATGGGGGCTGTAGGCAGGTGTCACAGGGGTCGTGTCGGGCCGTGACACTGCGTGAACCCAACAGGACACGTGACCGGATAAAGGGGGGCCAGGGGCCCCAGAGGGGGTCACGTGGTTGGGGTTCGGGCCTTCCCGAAGGAGGGGGGCGTGTCCTGGGGCGGAGCAGGCCATGCTGGAGTGGTTATAAGCGGGGCATGGACGGAGAGCTGAGCTGTTCTGTGCTGTTCTGCTGCTGGGTCATCTCGGGGATGAAGCTCTCCGGTCTCCGCTAGTGGACCAAGCAGCGTGTTGGGCTGTCCTGGTCCAGTGATGTCATACCCCCGTGGGTTAGCTCAGTTAGGAACGGTGGCTACCACCTTATGTCGTTATGTTAAGTGTTACTTGTTGTGTTAGCTAGTAATACAGAAATGCCTTTACCATATTATTTGACATGTAAAAATACCAGTTGCTACATTAGAGGCATTGGTGTAACAGTGTATGACGACGCACGTGTATCCTTGTCCTGCCAGCCAGTCTGCGATGAAGCGAGTGTTGGGCAGCTTCCACCCATAGATGTCCTGGATGATGATGAGGCCCCGAATCGAGGCTTCCCCATTAGCACCAGGCTGAGCCGCACTTAGGTAAGAGTCCACATGTCCAGCTCGCACCTCCTGGCCCTTCCCGCTGTAGGGCATCACGTCTCCCAGCTCGCAGGGGCATGGCTTCGCCTCATTTGCCATATTTTCTCCCCTTCCCTGGGAATTCTCAGAGTCTGGAGGAGACACCATGTAGGGAGGCATTACAAGTACAGTACAGGGTGGTCCAGATATCTTGTGAGCCCCATTTAATTCTCTAAAACTAAATGTTTGCCAAAGGGTGTGTAATGTAATGTAAGTAATATAAAAATAACATGTAATAACTTTATTAAATATCATCATTATTGTAAATATTAGCAATGGGTCCAGTAAGTCTGTATGTTAAGGGTCCAGTAAGTCTGTATGAGAACCAGCATTTTATTTGCACAGGATGATTTGGCGCCATGTCCTCTGCGAAATGTTACACAAATTTCTAGGTCCACTCAGCAAATGTATTCTTCACAGCACTCTTTCAATTCATCTGTTGTCCTGTGTCTTTCTTTAAGTCACATCCTTTGATAAATCTCCAAAGTGAGTTATCACATGAGGATAGATGAGGACTTATATGGGGGTGGGGTGGCAATTAAGCGGTGCTGTCAAATTTGCTGAGCCTCTGCCTTTCCACTTATCCTGAAAAACTTAATTGAGGAATTCTTGAACAAAAATTGCAAGTGGGCAGGTGCCCCGTCCTGATGAGACCAAACATGCTTAAGGAGGTGTCTGGCGCAACATAAGCGTCCGTCATCAGGTGGGAAAGAATAGTCTGCTGCTGAGGCAGACTGTTTTAAAAGGTTTCCCACCTGATGACGGACGCTTGTGTTGCGCCTGAAACGTCGTGATTTATTTTATTTTATACCTACGTGACTTTGCCGAAAGAACCAAAGAGTATGGATTCCTGCAGTCACGAAAGAATTCAAATCAAGATGTCCAAGGAGATATAATCTTTCAAACTGCGGAACAAACCAATCCCTCAACATGGTTAGATAAGAATGCTGGTTAACAAAATCATCAAATAAATGAGGTCTAAACAAATGTTTGCTTGATCTTGCCGTCCACATCATAACATGTGGTGGATTATGTTTTAACTCTTTATAATAATGTGAATTAGTACTCTTTGGTTTTTTCGGTAAAGTCACGTAGGTAAAAAAGAAAATAAATAAATTTAATTGTCTTTTTTTTACCTACGTGACTTTACCGAAGAAACCAAAGAGTATGGACCCTTGCAGTCACGAAAACTTCAAATCTAGAATGTGAATTATCTTTACTCCAAAAATAGACATTTCTATTACGTGCACTGCGATACATTGCACATTCGTCTGAAAACAAAACCTTACCACATTGTTGGAGCGTCTCAAAAACTTCAAGAAACTGGGCACACGCTTCACTTCTGTTTTGTAAGTCACCATCACTTAGCTCGTTGACAAACACAGGCTTGAAAGATTTCAACTTAAGATCATCTCTCATGTGCTTTAACATTGTGGTATTTGGAATGCCAAGTTCAGATGATTTTTTTCTTGGTGACTTTTTGGGCGAGCTCTCAAGTGATTCACCAATTGCTGCACATTGCTCCTCTCTCTTAGGTCTCCCAGTCCTTGTTTCGTCTAAAATTGATCCTGTGAAAAACAGCTTATATTCCCATTTCAGTATTGTCCATTTTGGTGGAGCTTTTTTGTTAAATCTTTCACAGAAATCCTTTCGAATAGCTTTCATAGTTTTTCTGGTTTTTGATCTTTCATGAGCCCATACACTCACTACAAGCCGTTCTTCAATAGAATATGAACTCGTATCGGCCATCTGAAATAAATAAGGTTGATTTAAAACAGAAATGAATAAGTAAAGGAAAAATCTTAAAGGTCAATTAATTGGGGGTCACAAGACATCTGGACCACCATGTACTGTAACGATCAATAAACCAATCGTTAATTGATCCATATTCTTAGGTTTTTTCGGTAAAGTCACGTAGGTAAAAAACATTAAAAAGTAAAATAAAATAAAAATCACGACGTTTCGGAGGCAACACAAGCTTCCGTCTTCAGGTGGTACCGTCACAGCCACGACAGCTGTATCAAGTAAATGAGAGATTGCAGAAGCTACCACTCCGTTTATATAATGGTTGGAGAAGGTGGTGGGGCAAGGGCCGCATACTTTTATTAATATGGTAAGGTGAGGCTTAAGACTAAGAATAGACTGCATAACAAAGGCTGAGCCTTTGTTTTGTAAGTCAGAGAGGCTGAGCCTTTGTTATGGAGAGGTGCGGTTTGTGACTCAACCTGTAACAGGGAGTCCACCACTAGACATGGTAAAACTGTGATGGTTGTCTGTCAAATAAGATTGGCAAATAATTGATCGTTACACATGCTCGGTACATGTACAGGTTTTTCCAGTTTATTATCAGAAATGTAATGTATTTTATGATGAATCATACAGTACTGTTTATATAAAGTATTCGACCAGAACAGTACTGGTCTTTTGTGAATATGTAATTGAACTTTGATGTGTAATCACGGATTGAATCACAAAACCAGTTTCGATTTTGTTACATTTTTTTTTGAGAAAAGCTTATGACGCTGACACCATCGCGTGCTGTGGAATGTGGCTTTTAAGATGACAATGAACATTCCCATCGCTGAACCTTAAATCATTAACTCTCCAGCAAATGTTCTGCATAGCTTTTGAAATATGTATACAATACTGTACTCGGCTTATTTTCTCATGGAATATTTTACTGGACCCCTGGGCGGCGGGGGAATTTTTTTTTGAGTTCAACACCAAGCAGCTTCAGCTGAAATGAAGCCCTGACTTGTCGAATAACGTCAGCTATTAACAATTTTTATTTTATTTTACCAGGTAAAGCCCATTGAGCTAATTCTAGATTTGAAGCTTTCGTGACTGCAAGGATTTATATTCTTAGGTTTTTTCGGTAAAGTCACGTAGGTAAAACATCAAAATTAATAAAAAATAAAATAAAGATCACGACGTTTCGGAGGCAACACAAGTCTCCGTCATCAGGTGGGACCGTCACAGCCAGATTAGCTGCATCAAGTGAGGCAATGATTCAAGATGTAATCCCTTAAAAGCAAGTTGAGGGGGGAGGAGAGGGGGGGGGAGCTCATCAGAATGTGGTAGCCAATGAATGGAACGTATCGGGAGGGAGGGGGGCGGGGCTCAAAGACGGCACGGAGTGCCACGTACAACGCATCGGGATCGGGAGGGGGAGGGAGGCGGGGCCAAAAGGATGGGCGACGGCGTGGACGCGATTGTGCGCAAGCGACTACTGCTGCACACGCCAACGCATTGGACAGAGAGGGGGAGGCCTGATACACATGATAGAAAAGAACGAAAATGCCCATGTTTATACCAATGCTGGCTGAACAATGAAGAGAGTACTGTTAAACACTGGGGATGTTAACACTCGGTAAAGTAAAGTAAAATAGTGCCTGTCAGATAAGATGGTCCAAAAAAGTGTAATTAAGTCTTTTTTGCGTGGTTGATAACATCTTTCCAATGATTACTAAGTTTGTACCCATCATCACGGTTGAAATTATGTCTGTGTTTCAGTGGCGGCTCCTGCAAAATCTCTCAGGGGGGGCAAATGTCTGGATGATTAAGGTCCACCCATGCAATGAATAAATTAACAGCTTAAGCATGTAAAGGCAACTTCACTTCTTTAATATTAATGAAAAATAAAGTGACTCTTACAATACATCTTGTTTGTTTATATACTCACTATTAAAACAAACCACTCAAGTTTATTTTATTAAAGATTCCACTCGGTAGCGATAAATTATATTGTTGGATGAAACGTGCTTACGTATGATGACGTAAGCACGTATGATGACGTAAGCACGTTAGGGCTTGCCCTCCCGGAGCCATAGAGAATGCATTGCAGCGCCCCCGTTCGAAAAAAAACATCTTTCAATGTAAGTCTATGGGGCCACTCGGGGCGATTCTCAGCCGGAGTGAAATCGCCCCAAAAGAGGCGGTACTCCACAGAACGTAGCATGACGCTGATTGGACTATATCCAGAGGCTGACAGTGACGGCTAGCGTGACTGTGGTTGAATGACATTGGTGGTGCCGTCGCCCAATCGCCCTAATGAAGAAACCGCCCCTGCTGTGTTTGTATATTTGTACTAGCTGTACTACCCGGCTTCGCCCGGGACTTGTATCTACCACGGCCGGCCGCCTTTGTCTCCCCAGTGGCGATGTTAATACGCTACAGTAGTTAAGTTACTCGTTTGAGGCAGAGTCGACCTAGGGGAGGTTCAAATAATCGTCACCGGTGGTGGCCGTGAGCGGGAATCGAACTGGGTTTGCCGGGTTGGTAGCGCAGCGTAGCGTTAAGCACTACACCCACCGCTCCTCACACACCACACACGCACAGACACACACACAGACACACACACAGACACACGCAGACACACACAGACAGAAACCCACACACAGACAGCACGCTAACCACTACACTACCGCTCCCCACACACCACACACGCACACACACAGACACAAAGCAAAGATCCCCCGTATAGCCTTAACAGACTGTAGGGGCAAGTGCTGTTAGCGAGCACCTATGAAGGCCGGCACGGCACACGAGGGGGTGGGTGACCAGCACCACGCCCGACCGCCTTTGTCTCCCCAGTGGCGATGTTTACACACCGCACCAGGTACTCATTTAAGGCTGAGTCGACCTAGGGGAGGCCCAGGACCGGTTCAGATAATCGTCACTGGTGTTAGCCGTGAGCGGGAATCGAACCCGGGTCGCCAGGTTCATAGCGCAGCGCGCTAACCGCTACACTACCGCTCCCCACCACACAGACACACACACAGACACACACACACAGACACACACACACAGACACAGGCAGCACGCTAAGCACTACACTACCGTTCCCCCTACACAACACACGCGCGCGCGTCCATAGGTACACATACACGCGCTTGCTGCAGACACACACGACTTTCAGGGTGCGTAAGGCAGTAAACGACTGAAATAATAAAGCGGCAATGCTGTGCGAGGAACGCCTTAGACCAGCAACACATTTGTGTAATGCGAGCGTAAACACACAAACACATACACACACATACATACACACACATACACACAAACACATACACACAGACATACACATACACACAAACACACACATACATGCACACAAACACATACACAATACACACACACATACATGCAGACACAGACAGACACATAACACACATACACACATACACATACACACATACACACACATACATAGACACACACATACATAGACACACACATACATACACACAAACACATGCACACACGTACATACACACATACATAGAGACACGCAGACATACACATAAAGACATAAAAAAACCCACATACATACACACACACATACACACAAACACATACATACACACATACATAGAGACACACAGACATACACATAAACACAAACACACATACACATGACCCGGCTTCGCCCGGGACTTGGATCCACGATGCCCCGCCGCCTTTGTCTCCCCAGTGACGATGTTCACACACGACAGCAGATACGCTTTTGAGGCTGAGTGGACCTAGGGGAGGGCCAGGTCCGTTTCAAATAATCGTCAGCGGTGGTGGGCGTGAGTTGGAATCGAACTGGGGTCGCTCAAGCAGCTTAATGACTGTTTGTACAAAGAACATATAAAGAATCGATTATAATAACCAGGCAAGAGTCCACATTATAGACTGCCAGTACACGCACTCAGCTTCATAAGCAGGCTAGAGTGTACATGATAGAGTGGCAGTACGCTCACCGAGCTTAATAAGCAGGCTACAGTGTACATGATAGACTGGCAGTACGCTCACCCAGCTTAATGAGTATTTGTACAGTGAACATTAAAGTAATCGATTGTTGGCGCGTTGGGTTTAAAAGTAATATTAATAGCACACATTGTGGTGGGGGTGTAGTGAAGAGTAGGAAAAACTTTGATGAATTTACCTCAGAGTGGCGTGGTGGGTGTCGAGGCCTAGTAGCGTGCAAAGCCTGCGGCCTCGCCTAAAATTGTCGGCTTGGAAGAGGCAGGGTACGGGTGGCGTTCCTTCCCCCCCCCCTAGCACTCCAACAATACTGTGTAATGGCTATTATTTAATTAAATACGGAGCTTATGAAAGTGGCGAAGGCGTGGCTAGCCGTTGGCAGGGGCAACCGCCGTCCAATGAAACTGCAGCCCTTGGCGAAGGCGTGGCTAGCCGTTGCCAGGTCCAATGAAAGCGGCGAAGGCGTGGCTAGCCGTTGCCAGGGGCAACCGCCGTCCAATGAAAGTGCGTATGGGCCAAAGTCCACACACAGACAGACATGAACGATTTTATATATATAGATGGCTTCGTGTACAAACCTTTGATGGTAGCCAGGAGGTTTGCAGAGAACCTTGGTCTCGGAAAAGACAATTTCATTCCATTGAGCTACACAGCTCTTTTTCAGAAGCGACCTGGCCACAAATGATAGCTCAACGAAGCGGCTTATCGTGTGGAAATGTTTCTCAGCCAAATACTCTCAACGCATGTTTCTCAATGCGGAGGGGAAACCCGCAGGAAAATCCACACGACCACGGGGGGAGAGAGACACGCAAACTCCAAATATACAACAGCAGGGCGGCGTCAGGGTCGGGATCGAACTCACTATCCTCCTGTATACCTGGCGAGGTAGTTAACATCTCATAGCCACCGTGGCGTCAAAACCATCAGGATTCGTACAGGTGGAGGCATCGCGAGCGAGCAACTCTGAACACTGAGTTTTCCTGCACATTGCTCCTTGGCTATGGGGTTACTGAACAATTGCATGAGCCAAGCTGTGGTAAGAGAGTACTGCACTACAACAATGCAGCACAGTGGGTGCAGCCTGATCAATGCGATCATTTCATCAAGTTCATTTATTTGGTATAGACCTGTGAGCCATTCGGCTCTTGAATTGGGTGCAACCGCAACAAACAAAAACATGAACAAGAAAACATCTTAAAGTGACTTTGTGCAAACAGAAAATCCAAGAAAAGACAGCAAAATATTGCAGAAAAAGCACAAACGCTGTGCACAAATCCCAGTGAGATGCAAGTCAAACAACAACAACCACAAGACAACTTAGACTAAGGCCATCAGTCTAACTCTGTACTACAACAAACAAACAAGGCCAAACCAAAAAACTTTTCTGAAAATCCAAAATAAAGCCATAAAAGCAATGTAACAGTGATCATAGGAACTGTGACGGAATTTCACAATAAACGACATAAACAACATGTAACCACCAAGCTCTGTAGCCATAGCTGGCTGCATGAGTCACTCCACAACAGCAGCAGGAGCATCAGTAGGAGTATCACACATTTTCCAATGCACCTTTAAAGATCAGCACACTAAATCAAAACACAGATCATACTTTGCAGCGATCATCCGGAGCGAAACATTGTATTTCATTGCATCTCCATGCGGCGTGCTGCTGCCAAATGTTCGCAACGATTGTCTGAACGAACACCGCAGGACCAGTGCACATGCGCTAAACTGTGGGGCTATCAGCACCAATATCAAAGGCAACACAAAGAGCACTATACACATACACACACGCCTGGTACGGAACTCACTGTGCAGGCTTTTAACCCTTTGTCGACCTCGTTACTTTAGCAAAAGCAGCTCGGGTGAAGATGTCTGGGAGGAGGCCATTAAGAGCAAATGAAAGCGCAAGTGCAAACAGAGAGCGTAAATCAATTACCTTTGATGCAAGTAGCGCACGGTTTTTGTGTCTATATCGCTAGTTATTTTCAGTATTGTTAATATTTCAACAACAAAATGATGGATTTCACGTTAAACGTCTCCGAGCGTCTCGTACGTCATTCGTGTGAACTTGTGGCAACAACAACACGTCGAGCGCGTGACGTCATTCGAAAGGCATCCGGTGGCGAATTCCATTCGTGACGTCATGTCTACGCGTGACGTCATTCGTGTTAACGCGGGGGGCGGGGCGTGTGGTGAGGGGGGCGTGGCGCGTGGGAGGGGGGGGGAAAGACCCCCACCATTATCGACGTGACGTCACACGTGGCAGCATGGCGGAGGCCGGTCAGGATCGAAGGCCCCGCTTCGGCACGCGTCTGCTGGAGGGATCTGGAGCGCACGTGTTCGAGCACAACGCCTGGTACCCGGACCACAACCCTCGCAAAACACCCGTGACACTCTGGCGCCTCTCGCTATGGTCATCATCACGATCCACATGGTGCAGATAGCCCCGTGCGTGTACACTTTCCTCTTGTCCTGTGCCAATATGCTCAAGTCGTGGCCCACGGCTATCTGGCACCAATCGAATAAGTGTCGTCGTCGTCGTTAAGCCATTCTCTCTTAGGTCTTCCTCTTTCAAAACAACAGCACTTTTAAAATGTCCTGTTGTCCATCCTATATGTGTCCAAATAGTGCCAATGTCCTAACTGTTTTGCATCATCATGTCTTCTTCTGTGTGCAACCTTTTTCTTCTACGTTGGTCAACTCTTTGGTTCCAGCTTAGATGCAGTAATCCTTCTGTAGCAATGCATTCGAGTGCCAATATCGTATCTCTGTCAGTCTTGTTTAATGCTCAAGTCTCGCAGGCATACAAAGCTGTACTGAACACACGTGTCCGTAAGATGTTCAGTTTTGTCTTGTCGCCGATTTGCTCGCTTCTCCAGACGTTATCGAATCCTGGATTTACTCATTTTGCCTTTGCGATCCCCTCCCTGTTATGTATTTCGTGCAGTCGTTATCGCTCTAGTGCCTCGTTTTATTCCACGAGCCTCCTCCGGCGTGGCGGCGATGATTGCAGTACAGTATGTAAGTTTAATTTAAAAGGGAGCGGTGGCGCAGCGGTTGGCAATCCACCTGACAGCGAGCGACTCGAGTTGGAATCGGTGGCCAGTGACGGTGGTCTGGAACAGTTCCTCTACTTCGACAAACCCGCACTGACCAGCGTGGTGAAGTATGGTCGAACAATCCCAACGATGTCCGTCGTGACACGGCCTGGTGAGGCCTTTATTTTTAGGTTTTACTGTATCAGGGGAGATGTCTCGTGACTGCCATTTAATTCTATAAAACGTTATATTTTTTATTTTATGAAACGTTATATTTTTGTAAGTAGGGTTTATTTTAAACAGAAATTAAAATACAAAGGAAAAACGTGTTTGGGGGGTCAATTAATTGAGGATCACAAGACATCTGGACCATCCTGTAAATTGTATTCATGGCCAGTGGGCGATAAAAAACGGAGACGAGTTACAGGCACCCGAGGTAACGAGGGGAGTCCGTCTGTCGATGAGATGGAGCGATGAAATTAGCTGATCTGCAGGTGCCCAGGCTGGAGTGTTAACATCGCATCACTCGCACTGTCAGAAATGAGACCGGTTCATCCATCAGTGGCCTGACGATGGCTGATGATGAATGAACAAGTACAGCATCATGCTGATCCACTACTGGATGAGGGAGCGACCTCGCGCCGTGCTGATCGTGGGGGTTATATTTCACAATTGGTACCAAGGCAGGGACCATGGACGTTTAGTTGTTGTACAGGATCATGAATTTTGGGGAGCCTCCCATCAGCTGACAACGTCCCGCGGCAGCCCACAACACCTCTATCAGCATAGTGATGGCCCATCTAAACGCTATCCAGGCTCAACGTGATTAGCGTCCGAGATCTAATTTCGGCATGGTCCTTGTAGATACATCGTGTACTTTAAAGCTAGTTGATTGACGGAAAAATATTTTACGTTTAGTGTCGTGCGCATTGGAAGTGATGCTACCAGAGCGCTCTAATGAATGTAAAATATGTTTTCACTCTCATTAACGAAGCTCCAAACGCATGACAGACGGACAGGGTCACAGCCGAGGTATCGTGTCTACAAGACGAGACCAGTGTGTTTTGGGGGTACCGGAGTGCCTTTGAGTGGAACAAGACCGTTTTGCAGCAGGTCGGGTTTCAATGCACATTACAGGTGACCTGTCAATTCCCAAAGACATGGGGTGCTGTTGTCAAATTGATGGACTGACAGTTGTAGGATTATTGAATTTCATTTTTGTAGTTTATTCATCTCTTTCATAATATATTTTTTTTATCAATTACATCCATTTACTCTTTGGTTCTTTCGGTAAAGTCACGTAGAAATAAATTAAATAGAATACGACGTTTCGATTGCAACACAAGCAGTCCTCATCAGGTAGAACTAAATTTGTTCTCTATGGGGACCTCATTTGCCAGTAAAAATATGATAATTGGTTCTTTACCCTTCTATCTGGCAACAAAACTGACACCTTTTTGCAAGGAGTCATGTTTGCATAGACCGCAATACCTGCAGTCATAATACAAACAAAAGAACATAACTCTGATAATGTGCACTGTCCTTGAAGTTGATTGGTCCACACCCGAGACAGCTTTCCTTCGAGCCTAGTCTCATATGGGTTGGACCAGATGACGCCAAAAGGCGCACTTTTGGCGTCATCTGGTCCAACCCATATGAGACTAGGCTCGAAGGAAAGCTGTCTCGGGTGTGGACCAATCAACTTCAAGGACAGTGCACATTATCAGAGTTATGTTCTTTTGTTTGTATTATGACTGCAGGTATTGCGGTCTATGCAAACATGACTCCTTGCAAAAAGGTGTCAGTTTTGTTGCCAGATAGAAGGGTAAAGAACCAATTATCATAAATTTGTTCTCTCCGTATTGACATGTGGTCACATTTAGATGCTTTATGAATCAAATGTGTTGTACTGTAGAGTGATTAATTGTAAGTAATCTGTTTATAGACACCAAATTAATTGCATTCATAGTCCGTGTAAATATATATAAAATGGCATTAACTGTTATGTCTACTTAAGTCTAAACCAAAGTGCACCATCTACTGTGAAGTGGACGTTATCAGCTGTGGTTTGCCTACCATGTCACGACTCAAACTCAAACATATCTGGAAAACTAAATACAGTGTACTTTTTTAAATTGTGCTGTTACAGGACTTGTATCTGGCTTCCCTTGCAAAAGTCATAAACCCATGGTACACCCACTTAAATGACTAAAATTAATTGACTTATAATGAATTGCTTATTATTTGGATTGGGAGGTCACATTACTGCATCCAGTAATCGTTCCAGACACAATTCCATACGTAGCCTGCCTCCGTTGTTTTCCCAGTTAGCGGCCAACCATGAGCATAATGCGAGGGGTGGTGATACCTGGCGCGTGGAGACTAAGGTGGGACCTTGGCCTGGTTAAGCGGCAGTGCAGGCAGGTGAGCTCGTGGGAAAAGCCCAAGGCTCCCCTAGGCAGCCGCCTCCTCACCGATCCCAGCCGCGTCATGGAGCACAACATGTGGTGAGTGTGGTAGTAAAGAATCACTCTGCAATCATAGGTAACGTGCAAGTGTGGTCAAGCCTGGATTATCTGTTATGCTTGGTGCATGAATTCAGGACACATTCATGCCTTGTTTCCATGGCTAGTGGGAAGCTTCCTGGGACAGTGCTCTTACTGGGCTGGCCCAGTGGACCCACTTTCCCACAGCATCTTGGCCTGGCTGAACTAATCACAACAATTTACAGACCCGGGCCCCCAGACTCCCTCCACGCAGCCTGTGTTGCATGCAGATCAGCAGGTTCATACTTCATATCAAAATGTGCTTACCACTGTGTCAACGCTCCTTCACAGTACAGAAACATGCTTTTAAAGTATTTGGCTGCTTTACATTTCCACATGATAAGCCACTTCATTCAGCTATCATTTGTGGCCAGGTCACTTCTGAAAAAGAGCTATATAGCTCAGTGGGCCTTAATAAAATAAAATAAAATGGTTTAGTTGAATAGCTTAGTGTAACCTACCCAATGCTATATACAACCTTTATTTGAAGATGTTTTTTTGGACCCACCGTGGCCATAATGAGTGAGGAGGCTTAGAAGGTTGGGAGGGACAGAATAAGAGTGGCCGAGTCCAGGGTGCCTCGTAAAGTATGAGAATGTAAACCCATGTCATGCTACTGTACCTAGGCTGTTCTTTGGTTATTCCTGGGCTTACAGCCTCCGTCCCAGTGGTCATGCGAACCAGCTGAATAGCCTTGTTTGCATGCAGGCCTGCATACTCAGAACTATGACACATTTGGAGGAATTACTTCTTATCAGGCTGGACGAAGGACCTAGAGCAGTGAACAATGCAGACAGACGATGGCACTGCAGCCTGGTGGCTTGGCAAAGTATATACAAAGCAGAAGACTTGAGAGCTACAAAGGGCTTGAAGATTGCATATCCAAGGTCATTGGACAGTGTCTTGGATTGTGGTCCCGGGATATACGCCAGACCTTAAGTACGATATGTGATGCTGCTACGTGTGGGTCTGACTCGAACTAGAGCACAGCTGCAGGTGCCTGTTGTTTCTGTTTGCAGGGATCATGTGCAGTGGACAACTGAGCAGGAGGAGGAGGCCAGGCACAAGGTGCAGGAAAATGCAATGCAGAAAGCCTCTGAGGAGAAGCAGGGTATGATTGTTATTTTTTAAAAAATAATCGTTATCTCTCTCTCTTAACCCTTAGTGGTTATGGGGGTGCCACTGATGCCTTAGTTGTCCAATCTCTCCACCTTTGCCGTTATTAACATGCCACCAGTGTACTGTATATAACATGTATTGATAAGGACATTTCTGCATGTGTTTTATTCACAGAACAGTATGAAAAGGAAGCCAGTAATTTTTGGAATGGCTTTTACAAAATCCATGAGAATCGTTTTTTCAAAGACCGGAACTGGCTCTTTACCGAGTTCCCAGAGTTGCTGGGAAAAGAAGACTCTTTGGCTGACCCAGAAGTGACCTCCGACAGAAACATGAAGCACATAGCCTCTGCAACTGAGATTGTAGGTGACCATACTGTGTGCCAGCAAGCATCAACAGACTTGTGTAATGCAGCAGCAATGCAGATGACCCTAAATGATTGTAATACTTTTCCTGGATCACTTGCAACATTCCGAATCCTTGAGGTATGTACCTAATCCTTTCAATATGTAACGTTTAAAAGTGTGAAGCACTATAAATCAACATGTTGCTTGAATGTAACATTACCAATTTTCAGCACGGTGTCTTTGATAAAAATTGTGTTCTTTTACAGATTGGCTGTGGAGCTGGAAACACAATTTTTCCCATTCTTCAGACAAACAAGTAAGAAGCAAATATTATCATAGAAAGACTCACATACCAGCCTTTTGGTATGATTGAATGGGTTAGCTTTTGTGCATGTTTCACTGTAAGAAACTAAATCTTTTAAAGCCAGAAGTATAGTAATAAATGTGTGTGTTTAGGTTCGTACTTCCTGAGTAGAATGATGTAATATCATTGTTCTGTTTTTTGCAGTGATCCTGGTGTTTTTGTGTACGGATGTGATTTTTCGCAATCAGCGGTGGAACTTGTCAAGGTAAGCTATTAGCTTTATTGAAACAAAATATGTACCTTGTGCAAATAAAATATTTAAGATTTTAGCGGTTAGTCCAGTGTTCTGTGAAATCGGTGACCTGATTACGATTCCCGGCCATGACTTAACACCATTGATGAGTGATATCTTAAACAGTCGTTGGCCACCTCCTTCACCAACCTGCACTGACCAGCGTAGTGAAGTATGGTCAAATGTCCCCCACCACCAACACGGTGTGGACATGTGCCTTCCTCAGTGGATTGACAAAGGGGCTGTAACTTTATTGCATTTTTTTTATGTTTAATTACTTGTATAAGTACAGTTGGATGCATAAGTATTCCATATAGAAGTGATGGTTATTCTTAAAGACTGTATTGTGCTTTTTGCAGTCCCAGCAAAACTATGACGCTTCAAGATGCCACGCCTTTGTCCATGACCTCTGTGACGAAACATCCACTTTCCCATTCCCAGAAGAGAGCTTGGACATCGTAATTTCTATTTTTGTACTCTCTGCAATCCACCCAGAAAAGTATGTATGTACAAAACCAATTGTAAATTACCTGGAGGAAAATGTCATGATAATGATCTGGCTCTCTGTTAAGATCTAATTTATACCCAAGACTTACAAGTGCATGCATTCCATACATTGTTTTTTTCCTGCAGGGTTCAGGCAGCTGTGACTCGGTTGAGCCGGTTGCTCAAACCTGGAGGTGTGTTCCTCTTTCGAGACTATGGGCGATATGACATGGCCCAGCTTCGATTCAAGAAGGGTACAGTACTTTAATATTTAATGAATGGATGACTTATGTTTTTCACGTGCGAGCCCATTTCGATAAAACATTACTTTTGCATAGGAGACATTTAACTATACGAACTTGATGTTAATGGTAAAGGTGGAGCATGAAATGTATTGCTGACAAAGGGCCTCTACGAGACAGAGCTGAAGATAACCTCATTAGAGGGTATTTTAAACGTTGGCTAGACGTCTTAGAAGATGTGGACATATCCACTTTACCCCACCACACGCGACCCGCCAATCGAATTACTGTGGTGTATTGGTACTTCTGGCTGGACAGAGGCATTGGGATTTAATAAACTTGCATCATTGTTTCAACTGCCATGCCAGAAGTTGGATTGTAAAGCCAGTATGCTAACCATTTTACCATAGCAGCATCCTGGGAAAATTTTACAGCCATCTATTTCTGTGGCTCTGTTGAGAAGGTATTTTTTTCCAGAATTAAATGTTGTGCTATTTGTGCCCTTGTAATGGCTTGCCATGTTGCGGCACAATAGATATTGTCATTATTATTATTTGTCAATTTCTCACAAAAATAATGCAATTCATAACACGCAATATTTCACAGACGTAAATGACGATGACCGAGGCACGGAGCCAAGCTCAGTGTCATGCAAAAGTGGTGGGCCTTTTGTGTCTTTTAGAAGATGTATTTTAAATGTTGTGAATGTGCAGCCAGATGATATTCTAGACAGAGGGGTATGCCATGGTGAAACGACGCCTAGCAGTGATGGGCCCTGGCCCTTGGTATAGAGAAAAAGTTGTGAGTCACGCTACAAAGTTCTACCATGAGCTGTAGTGCAGGATGTAACAAGTGTAACAGAAGTCGATGTTTATATACAGTTTTGCATTTGTATTACTGTTTTTACTCTAATTGAGTAGTTTTTATTGACATGTTTTTAATCTGACAGGTCGTTGCTTAGCTGATAATTTCTACGCACGTGGTGATGGAACAAGAGTGTACTTCTTCACCCAAGGTTAGATATATTTTATGTGCACTACGTGAAATCCATAACCTCAAGCATTACTGTTCCCAAAAGTTTTGGAAAAGAAAGCGTCTTCATTTAAGTAAAGTTTGATTTCTATCGACAGTGTGTATCCATATTAACATTGTGCTTGTTTCCCACTTTGCAACAGAGGAGGTGGCAAGACTATTCTCATCTGCGGGTATGGAGGAGGTTCAGAATCTGGTGGACCGCCGTCTCCAAGTGAACCGTGGAAAGCAGATCACAATGTATCGTGTCTGGATTCAAGCCAAATATCGCAAGCCCCTGAGATGACATCATGCATTTTCATCACCCCAGTGTATTCTGTAAACAGTCGTACCAAAATCGAATTTAAAATTAGCATTGTAAAGTATAACACTTATTTGGTGTGTGATTTAAGTTAATCAGATGGTGGTATTTTCAGTGCATTAATGTAAAACCAAGTTGAAATCGGGACATTAAAGATAATTGTTATAATACATGTGTGAATTATACATTGCCAGTTAATTAAATAACTTTAGAGCGACTATTTTTCTCGAAAATGGACCTGTTTTTACAAAGTGATTATTGATGTTTTTAAACCTTGCCTTCCATACTGTGTTATAAACCGAGACAAGCTAGATTGTGACAAGATCTGGTTTTGGTCACAGTGTTTTGTCGAGTTGACTCATTTGGGATATCGTACAGTGTGTTTTGAAATTATTTATGCCATTTATAACGTGAACAAAGTATTTCTCCACATGTGACTTTGTTATTTATACAATACTTTGTTGTGAAATCTATTATTTTTACATGGTAATGGGTGTAACGTAAGGTTAACCTTCAAACCTCAGTTTTACTGCCATTTATGAGACGGTGATGATGAATTATACTTCTAGATTGGTTTTTACGGTTGTGCTGTATCACTGATGTTTTCGGGTTGTACTGTGATTGGCACAATGTCCAACATTTCAACTTGGTTCCTGAAGCTTTCAACATGTGGAGCGAAGTTTCAGACACGCTGTACAATGCGTGGTATAAACTCAAAAACATTATAGATCTGCTGGTTTGTATGTTTGCACATTGATAGCATTCACAAGGCTTTCTGGTGGTATTTTTTAAAACTTTGCTTGCAAAAACCAAGGTAGCAGGCATAAATCCCAACCATCACCTCAATGTCTCCACTTAAGACTGGAAGCTATACCCTGAAAACCCTTGTAAACGAGATTATCTATCCCAAGAGATTTTTCCAGTGAAATATAAAAAAAAGTTCACTTTTAAAGCTGTAAAAGCCAGAGGTTCTGCTTCATCAATAATGACAGAAACTCAACAAATGTATCAATAACACTGTCTGAACACATTAGTAAATTTCCCGCAACGTCCGGTATTGAACAAGTCATAACATAGGGTTATTTATTTTAACTAATGTTCAAACTAACTTCCATTAACATTAATGCATGCATTAATTCTCTTCTGATATGAATATACGACTTTTTAAAGTTTGCATGTGTAATTCTTGAACATATCAATTGTTTTGTCTCCATTCATGGTTCTTGGAAGAGTTTTGTAAATGTCATCTGAAAAAAAAGAATAAAATAGGTATGATAAATAAAATATTAACTTAAACAATAGACATTTTTTTTTATAAAAATGCTAAAATAAATGAAATCGCCCTGTGTCTTGACTTTTGGGCCACCCTCTATATCTTTTACTTTTAAGGTAGTGTTATTGACGAATGAGTTTTTGTTTGTTAATTTTGCTTGTGCACCACTGCCTACATACAATAGGTTCACCAAATCTATAACAGTGGTTTCATTATAAACTCGAGATACACTGACAAACTCAACTTTAACTCCACGACACATAGTTTGGTAGTAGTTTTTACCGCTCAAAACGTAGTTTTTCAGTAGGCAAACTTTATCCCAGCTCACCAATTACAAAATAACTTTACGAAAAAGCGACGTGCCTGTCAAATGTACTTTACTGTTACCACCCACTGCATTTTACAGACTGGATATTTATAGAGTACTGTTTATAGTATGGGTGACTTTAAGTGTAAACTAATCCAACTAGCCGTTTATGTATGGTCTGGTTATTTATCTCAAGTCTGGTATGAGGGATTGGCAGTTTTATTAATTACGAGCACGAATTAAAAATAATCCATTGTCATTGGACAAATGCATACTTTTGGAGGCACTCGGGTTCATTGAAGTTATGCATGACTACAGTACTGTGGTATTTAAAAAAAAGTTTACAAATTGAATATTTCTAAACGTTTGGACTGTTCCATAAATTGAAATGCACTTCATGTAATGATGAAACACTATCATGTAATATGTAATTGTGTTAAATTACTTTTGAAGCGTTGACCACCTGTTGAAAACTTTATAATAATCTTAAGAATGGAAAGGAGAAAACCAAGGGAATAATGAACGAAACAAATTGTTAAAAAAAAAATCGAACATGCAGTACTGTTTAGTACTCCGAAAGCCATGGCTACAAAGCAAACACAGCAACCACAACACGACAAACCACAACAAAACAAGGATTTGAGTATGATGGTGGTCCCGGCACAAATGATGCTGTGTACGTTTGTTTTCGGCGGATATGTGAACAGGGTTGATTACGTGAACATCAATAGAATGTCTGTACTGCGACGTATAAATAGGTTGCTGGACACAAATAAACGTGGGAGGCTGATGTATTTATACTTGAGAATAAAATGTATGCATTTTTAAGAATACACGACTATTAAAAAAAAGGTCCGATTTGTGAACAATATAAAACTACGAATGCAGAAACGCGGTGGTGGGGGCTTTTGTGATGGACCACGCCACGTGCTTTTCACTTTAAAACACGTGTGCCTAAGAAGCGGTGTACATGAATTAATGGCACGTTTGTCACCCAGGGTGCGCAACTTTTGCTCCGGTGTGTGCAACAGGCTTGCAACACACCGCGTCCACACACACACGTGCTTGTATGTGATGTTACACACGTGGCACAGGTGTGTGTGCGTGCACGGGTGGCAGCAGTGAAATTGTGCCGCAGGGTCGCCATTTTAGCCTTAAACAGCAGGAGGGGGAGAAGAGGAAAACAAAATGAATTTGAAATAATTTAAAAAACAGCATCTCTCCACACACGTCTCCTTATCGCAACAACAGCAGCAGTAACAACAACATACTGTACTGCCATCGTGGCAACAAACGACTGGGTGATTATTCGGATTATCTTCCTGTTGTTCGCAATGTGAGCTTAGCAATTTGTGTAAAATGAAATGCCTCTCGTGGTGCCGCACGGGTTACAGCTTTTTTTGTTTTTGCTACGTCACCTATTGCGCTGGCTTTGCCGACTTAGGATGCGAGTTACGTTTTATTTTCAGTATTTAAATTTACACGACGACTTTTGGTGGCTGGATGCGTTTGGTTGTCGCCTTTTGATTGGATGTTTTGCTTCTGGTTGTGCTTGTTTACAGAAGTTGCGGGAGCGGCGAGAATGTAGTTGGTGCCAAAGGAAGTTCTTTCTTGGGAGGGGGGGGGGCTCAGAAAATTTGACTGGTGGTGGTGATAACAGAGGGTCCCAAAGGGAATAACTTCTCTTAAGTGGGGGGGGGGGGGGGGGCTCAAGATTTGACGGTGGTGGGGTGGTGATAACAGGGGGGCTCAGAAGATGTGACTGGTGGGGGGGGGGGGGGATAACAGGGTCACAAAGGGAATAACTTCTCTTAAGTGTGGGGGGGGGGGGCTCAGAATAAGAGCGTGGAGGGCACGGGTGCTGTGTGGGAGCTCGACATAGAAGGTCGTAATTGGTGGGGCAAAGTTATTATCTTTGTTGGGGGGTGCTCAACAGAGAAGACCGAGAGGCGACAACAATGGGAGTCTTCCGTAGGGAGCACACACAGTGATTTCTGGGGCTCAGAAACAGAAGACTTGTTGGGGGGAGGGGGGGGGTGTTCAGGAAAGATTATGGGGGGCCAAAATTAGTTATCCTGAAGATTGACAGACGCCCAAAGCAATAGTATTCGAGAGTCCAGAGCTGGTGGTGGTGGTTGGGGGGGGGTAAACAACTTGTGGCAGGAGCAAGGAGTGTTGAAGGAGTGTGGCAAGGAGCTTTCGGTGTTTTGAGTGATCTTCGGGCCCCCCCCCCCCACAGACTACTTGGTTGTACCCCCGCAGGGACCGTGCTGGCATTGGCCGGGCTGTGAGTGTGGGAGGCGTCAGGACGAGAGACTCGCTGCTTGCTGCTGCTGCTGGGGCTGCCCTGGCCGGGTGGAACCCTTCCAGGGTGCCGGGCTTCGTTAAAGAAGGAGGAGGAGGATAACTTTTTGTTAGAAACGAAGAGGGCGAATTCTGCTCCGGGAAGACCTCGAGAGGAGGAGGAGGCCAAAGCCGAGTGAAGGAGGGGGAGATTGAAGCCGGTGTCGACGAGGAAAGGGGGTACACATCTGGGGGGTAGAAGCAGCCACAAAGGCGGCAGTGGATCGGGAAGAAGAGGAGGTGGTGGTGGTGGAGGAGGAGGATCGTGCCGGGTTTGTTGGGGGGGAGGGAAGTCGACACAAGCCGAACCTCGAGTGTACAGCACGGGAAGAAGGAGCTCGGCATTAGTGACTCTTGATTCGGAGGACGATCTGGGCTCGTGGTTGTGGTGTTGGTGGTGGGGTGGGGGAGAGTTTGGTGGAGAGAAGATAGGAGGAGTCAGTAGGGGAAGGGGAAGAGGAGACGAAGAAGACGACGACGAGGAAGAGGAGCCGGGTGGAGGCATGGAGATCGCAAGCCAAGTGATTCTCTCCCCCGACCGACCGCTTCAGCTGCCCGGTCGGTAACAGAGACAGACACCCCCCACACACACACACACCCTGCGGTGTCTCTCGTTCTTTGTTTAATAATAATACTAAATGGCATCTGATGGTCGTGTTTGGAACGTGACGTTACGTGTGGGGATGTTATAATGGGAGTTCTCTGCGGTGTCGCGACTGCATTCCATGGTGGGTGCCGCCTACGTCTGTGTCCGTGGTGCGGTCATGTCCGCCCCCCACCACCACCCTCCTCCCGTGCCACTTCATTATACGGTGGTGGTGGTGAGGGTGGTGGTAGTGAGGGTGGTGGTGGTGGTGAGGGTGGTGGTGGTGGTGAGGGTGGTGGTGGTGAGGGTGGTGGTGGTGGTGAGGGTGGTGGTAGTGGTGGTGAGGGTGGTGGTGGTGGTGGTGAGGGTGGTGGCTGAAGGGTGGTGGTGGTAGTGGTGGTGAGGGTGGTGGTAGTGGTGGTGGTGAGGGTGGTAGTGGTGGTGGTAGTGGTGGTGAGGGTGGTGGTGGCCGAGGGTGATGGTGGTGGTGGTGGCCGAGGGCTGCTGCGTCGGGCAGGGGGCCCGAAGTTACCCGAATAATAACGCCGCGTTCGCACAATTAGCGAGAGAGCGAGAGCAGAGAGACGTCTCGCACAACATTAACTCGGGCGATTAGAGGAGGAAGACGTGGCTGTGCCACGTCGCCCCCCCCCCCTCCTCCTTGACAAAATGCGACCTTTAAGGAATTGCAATACAGTGATGATGATGATGCTGCTGCTACTGTAGACAACACCACCACCATTAATAACCCTCGCTGTTACCACCACCGTCGCAGCCTTCATCGGAACGACCACCGTCGACTTCAGTGCAATCCCCACCATCGTCACTGATGCTACCGCAATTATAATCAGAATTACAGTGGTACTGTACCAGCATCTTCAGGACCGCCACCACTGTTACCATCTTCACCGACACCCATACACAGCATCATCACCATCTTAATGACAATCACTGCGGTCTTCACAACCACTGCGATCTTCAGAACAATCGCCACCACTGTTACCATCTTCACTGACACCCATACACAGCATCATCACCATCTTAATGACAATCACTGCGATCTTCACAACCACTGCCATCTTCAGAACAGTCGCCACCACTGTTACCATCTTCACTGACACCCATACACAGCATCATCACCATCTTAATGACAATCACTGCGGTCTTCACAACCACTGCCATCTTCAGAACAGTCGCCACCACTGTTACCATCTTCACTGACACCCATACACAGCATCATCACCATCTTAATGGGAATCACTGCGGTCTTCACAACCACTGCCATCTTCAGAACAGTCGCCACCACTGTTACCATCTTCACTGACACCCATACACAGCATCATCACCATCTTAATGACAATCACTGCGGTCTTCACAACCACTGCGATCTTCAGAACAATCGCCACCACTGTTACCATCTTCACTGACACCCATACACAGCATCATCACCATCTTAATGACAATCACTGCGGTCTTCACAACCACTGCCATCTTCAGAACAGTCGCCACCACTGTTACCATCTTCACTGACACCCATACACGGCATCATCACCATCTTAATGACAATCACTGCGGTCTTCACAACCACTGCCATCTTCAGAACAGTCGCCACCACTGTTACCATCTTCACTGACACCCATACACAGCATCATCACCATCTTAATGACAATCACTGCGGTCTTCACAACCACTGCCATCTTCAAAAGAATCGCCACCACTGTTACCATCTTCACTGACACCCATACACAGCATCATCACCATCTTAATGACAATCACTGCGATCTTCACAACCACTGCCATCTTCAGAACAGTCGCCACCACTGTTACCATCTTCACTGACACCCATACACAGCATCATCACCATCTTAATGACAATCACTGCGGTCTTCACAACCACTGCCATCTTCAAAAGAATCGCCACCACTGTTACCATCTTCACTGACACCCATACACAGCATCATCACCATCTTAATGACAATCACTGCGGTCTTCACAACCACTGCCATCTTCAGAACAGTCGCCACCACTGTTACCATCTTCACTGACACCCATACACAGCATCATCACCATCTTAATGACAATCACTGCGGTCTTCACAACCACTGCCATCTTCAAAAGAATCGCCACCACTGTTACCATCTTCACTGACACCCATACACAGCATCATCACCATCTTAATGACAATCACTGCGGTCTTCACAACCACTGCCATCTTCAGAACAATTGCCACCACTGTTACCATCTTCACTGACACCCATACACAGCATCATCACCATCTTAATGACAATCACTGCGGTCTTCACAACCACTGCCATCTTCAGAACAATCGCCACCACTGTTACCATCTTCACTGACACCCATACACAGCATCATCACCATCTTAATGACAATCACTGCGGTCTTCACAACCACTGCCATCTTCAAAAGAATCGCCACCGTTATTGGAATTGCCACTACTATCGCCATAATCACTGCACAATTATCGACCGCATTCAACACAACCACTGTCATCAGCTACAGAATCAGTCCAGTTAGAATAGCTCTTGGTACCATCAGCACCACCAGCTGAATCATGACCCACGACCATCACCTCTAGTATCAGCACCAGCATCATCAATGCCGCCACCACCACACTTAGCACCACCATATAATCCACAATCACCAAGTTCAACACAATCACCACAATCATCATCGTCATCTTTACCATTTCGGCACAGTCATCTCCCCAAGTTAACCAACCATCATTACCAACACGACAACCCGGCAGGAATAGCCACCACTACCAACAACTAACTACAGGCTGAGCCGCCACACGGGAGCGTCTTTTTAACTCGACATCATCATCGACATCATCATCATCATCGTCGTCTATTACCTGGTGCCCAGCTCCTCCTACAGACGCCGTGACCTGGCCAGGGTCTTTAACTAACATCACCAACATCATCACCAACTTGGTTGTCTTTAACTATCATCACCAACATCAACATCACCAACATCATCACCAACTTGGTTGTCTTTAACTATCATCACCAACATCATCACCAACATCATCAACATCATCACCAACTTGGTTGTCTTTAACAATCATCACCAACATCACCAACTTGGTTGTCTTTAACTATCATCACCAACATCATCATCAACATCATCACCAACTTGATTGTCTTTAACAATCATCACCAACATCATCATCAACATCACCAACATCATCACCAACTTGGTTGTCTTTAACAATCATCACCAACATCACCAACTTGGTTGTCTTTAACTATCATCACCAACATCATCATCAACATCATCACCAACTTGATTGTCTTTAACAATCATCACCAACATCATCAACAACATCACCAACATCATCACCAACTTGGTTGTCTTTAACTATCATCACCAACATCATCATCAACATCACCAACATCATCACCAACTTGGTTGTCTTTAACAATCATCACCAACATCACCAACTTGGTTGTCTTTAACTATCATCACCAACTTGATTGTCTTTAACAGTCATCACCAACATCATCAACATCATCACCAACATCATCACCAACTTGGTTGTCTCTAACTATCATCACCAACATCACCAACATCACCACCAACTTGGTTGTCTTTAACTATCATCACCAACATCATCACCAACTTGGTTGTCGTTAACTATCATCACCAACATCATCACCACCAACATCATCACCAACTTGGTTGTCGTTAACTATCATCACCACCAACATCATCGTCACCACCAACATCATCACCAACTTGGTTGTCGTTAACTATCATCACCAACATCATCACCACCAACATCATCACCAACTTGGTTGTTGTTAACCATCATCACCAACAACATCGTCACCACCCACCACCACCGCACTGACGGTTTATCATCGTTAATCGTTATCAGCACAGTTCTTCACTCTGTGCGCTGCGTGTCGCCGTCGTCGCCGCCACATTGCTGCTGTTTGATGAGTAAATGTTAAATTCTTGTTAAAGGATTATAGAGAAGGAGGTGGTGGTGGTGGTGTTAGAGGGTTGCTGGTATTATAGGGGTTGGTGGTGGGGGGAGCAGGCGGGCGGCTCCGCTACAGTCGAGCGACGGAATTTTGTAATAAAGAGAGCAAATGGTAAACATTGTGTCCCCGTCTGTCTTAGCATAACGCGGTAATTAATAATAGATTACATTAATTAGGGGGGGTCCGGGATCGGACCCGGCGGCGTGTGCGGTGGTGGTGGTGGCGCTGGGTGTTCGGGGGAGAGGGGGAGAGAAACGTAAAGACGACAGCGAGGACGGCGGAGTTTTAAGAGAAAAATGAAAAGACGATAAAAGTTAAAGATAGCGAATTAAGAGTACAGTGCGAGTACAGTTTTAGTGTTTGTTCTTCGAGGCCTAGACGATGCGAGGGCCGGCGAGACCACGGACTTGCCTGGACGAGCCCCCGGGCTTAGCGAGCGCCGCCCCGGCAGCGCCTCCACGCCGGGCTGCCCACCTCGGGGCTCGAGATAAACAAGTAAATAAAATTAATATTAATACGAAATATAACAGCAACATTACATAACAATACTGGCCTTAGTTATTGGTCAAAGTCTAAACTACAGCAAGTACCAAGGGGAGCTACAGCTGCCGGGGACTCGTGGTAAGTTTACGTTATTGTTGGTGTTTGGTGAGATGGATTTAACAAGGTTGGTGGTGGTGGTGTACATTTCACAGGGGGTAACCCGTGTTGATTGTGCTTTTAACAACACATTTATCAACACTTTCGGTGACTTAATTAATGCAGGTTGTGAGCAAGTGTGTGTTTTATTGCTTGGCCATGTAATTACATGCTGGGGTCCGTGGATTTAATTTTCTGTCGCCTAAAAAAATCCGCATCATTGGGTCAAGATGGCCAGGGATTGCCCTCCCTTACTCCCCTGCCCGTGTGTGTGAGAGTGCGTCCTGCTGCCACTCACAGCCTGGCGTGCAAAGTACACTCTGTGTGTCCTTCAATTGGGCACAGCTTAAAGAAAACTACACTCCAATTTTTTTTGTTACTGTACATTGCTATGGTTTCCCCTAAGTGTGTATGTATTTATTTCTGTGTGTGGATTGTGGATTGTGCAGGATGTCCACAAGTGTCCTGTTACAGCACTACTAAAACCACAATCCACCTCCCCTGTCTCATAATTGACACGTGAATCAATATATAAATGACAAGTAATGCAATGTGATTAAATGTAATTGGTATGCGTTGATATGAACACGCAGCTTGTGATGGATTGTTTAATACAAAGTTCACACCATCACAGCATTCGCTTGTAGCTTAATTGTCCAGAGGGTCGGTGTAGGCACTAACATTCTGACGAAAAGCTAACTATGCCATGTTCTTAAGCTCTCGGTTATTATATCTGCTGTTCTGTTACCTGAATTAACCCGACTAGCAGGTAAACCAAATACAAACTTCCAGTTCCTCAGGGTAAAAATGCATTGCCAACACCCTGTACTGTACTGTATTTAAAGTAATGGTAACCATGCTAGTGGACTTGTTTCGTATTGATAACGGAGGTCATATACTTTTAAAGTGTATTTTTCGAGAATTAAAGCAATTCAGAACTTTAGTCTGAACCCACTTATCGACCCTCAAGGCAGTAGTTTTTGGGACCAAATTTCAAATACTTTTTTGGATTGTTATGGTTACAAGTTTAAAACAAAATATAAGTTTTTTAGCCCCTTTTAGAGCATCATTAGAGTATACAGAATTGATTAAATCAGGCAACATTTTCTGTGCATAGCAAAATGCTGATTAATAATATTTACCTTAAACCAGAAAAGGCTCACTGAGTCTCAAGACATTCCTGCAGGACCCTACGTTGGAATGTTTGGTCCATTCTATTAATAAGTGTTTGGCATGTGGATGGTAACCGGAGTACACAGAGAAATCTACGCTTATGCAGTGTTAAAACACTCAAAGTGTCGCACAGACAGATTCAAGTATCCATTGCCCTACTCTTAGCCTCCTTGCAGCCCAAGCTTCAAACAGGCTCAATTTCTGCTTTGCTTCCAAGATTTGACTAGATGACATTGAAGGTGATTTGGTCATAGGCAAATGTAAATCTCCATGTGCCATATGCTCTGCAGTTAACCCACTAATATACTCATTGATGGGAGAAAATAGAGGTCATAAAACAAGTGGCCAGATTTCTTTGATTGTATTTTTCCTGTTTAGTTTTTAACTGGTTTAATGGTAAACTGCATTTCAAGAGATAACGGTGTTCAGCTTAAAAACACGTGACTTTTAATTGTTTAACTTGCTTAATCTAGCAGATTGTGCAACATGTACATGTTGCCTCCCTTAAATGAATACAGTGGTTTGTTTCAGTCAGGCAAGCAACAAGCAGATGCCAACACAGATATGGTATTTATTTTGGCTAGCACATCATTACTTTAAAGTTGGGCGATGGCTTTTAAAACATTGACCACGGTTCGTCACGCCAGTAAATAGTGCTATCTGCACAAAGTAATCGTTAACCTAAAAGCAAGTTCCACTGAGTATTATGGTTTTGGCAATTTAAAGTGTACGTTGGTCACTGTTGAAAGTACGGGTCAATTGTTTGGCGATGTAAATAAAATGAAGTTGGGAAACTGAATGCCTTCAACATTTTGTGTCAGTAATTCTCTAAAGCCTGTGCGATGCTTTCAAGCTCGGAGGTTGTAATTTGATCATCTATCACACTGAATGCTGTGCATGGCAGTAATGTCCATTGCAATTGAAATTAATCTGGTGTCTGTATTTTTTTTTTGCACAGGCACAATGGAAGAGCTGCACAGCCTGGACCCCCGACGGCAGGAGCTGCTGGAAGCCAGGTTTATGGGAGGAGCGTTTAAGGTAATAACTGTTCAGGAGCTTGCACATAATTGTACTTGATTTGGTCAGCAAATCTCAACTGTACATGTGCATTGTTATTGTTGTGATGCATTAGTGTTGTGCTGGATGAGCTGGCCTATTAACCTTGCGGTTGGTTATACAGTACAAAATGGGTGTTTCTGTTGATCCTTGCCGAGATGAGATGCCGCCATTTTGGTGCATCTACATTCTTTGTTAGATTTGCTTACCTCTGCTCAGCCTGGCGACCATTGCTTGACATGCTATTTGTCAAAAAAAAAAATCGATGTACAATATACAGCATGCTCCATGCCAAATTGTTCCGGAGGGGTTATGCATTGGCATCTGCTGGTGGCAGCGTGAACTAATTAGCTCCAAGAGATTAAAAACAAGGAGATTGACCACTCAAAATTACATCAATCATAAAGGGTGTGTGCCATAAAATGTGCTTTTTAATTCCGGCTTGCCTGTTGATCTGTACACATAGCCCAGCAATATTTTTTTGCTGAATGGGAGTGTTGTGAACAGGGGCCTTAGTGAATGTCGTCTTAGATGTCTGCATGGCTGTTTCAGCGTCTTGTCGTTTGGTACATTTTAAAATAATTTTAATCGCATAATGGATTACGTAATTCTGAAAAAAATCATAACATTCAACAATACGGATACTGACTTAAAGCTTTCGTGACTGCAGGAATACATATTCTATGGATCTTTCGGTACCATGTAGATACAACAATAATAAAATGATCACGACGTTTCGATCGCAACACAAGTAATCGTCTTCAGGTGACGATTGCTTGTGTTGCGATCGAAACGTCGTGATCTGTATTATTTTTCTATCTATGTGGCTTTACCGAAAGACCCATCGAATTTAAATACAGATACAGGATGTGGTGTTTTAATGTGCTTGAATAATATTTCTGCAGACTCCACCATCAAACAGCGAAGCATCCAACCAAAGCATTGGGAGTCATGGATCTCTTAGTGACAAAGAGACTGAGGTAAGGTGTTTGCACTTTATATGTGGCCACGAAGTTATACATTTTGACCAGTGTAGAGTTGTACCACACTGGTCCATGTTAAAGTACGAAAACAGTAGTGGTTAAACAGTTTATAGTGTACTCGTACATTATTTTCAACAGTGCTTACCCTGTCTCAGCTAAAAATAGACATTGATGGTAAATTCCAAGTTATTTTTATAAGTGTTAAGTATGCCAAATAGTCTGACATTTTAAAAGTAGCGTTCAGCATTGAGCATTATTTGTGATTTTGATCTTAAAGCTAATGCTGCCTACTTTGTGGCTTTTTCCTATCCCTTCCTTAGCAAACTCCTGAAAAAAAGGCAACAGATATCAGAGTGCGAAAACGTAAAGCAGATGGCCAGACTGATCCCAGTCAAAGTAATTGGAATGGTTGTATTGTCTGCGTGTTGCAATTAAACATACAGACAAACTATAGTACCGTGATTATAATTTTTTTTAGCTTAGTTGAGACATGTTTAAAGACATTTCACTAATTCTGTCTTGCCTACTTTGTTCCCAGTTAAAGGCTGCTCTAAAGGACCCAAAATTAGTGACTATTTTGAGGTAAGAGTCTAAAGACTTAACTTTTAAAGTTGCCTGTGTTGGTTCTAGTTTACCCATTCTCGACAGGATTAACCATTTGTAACTTTGCTTAAATTGATGTTGTGTGTTGCATTTCACAGTTTGCTGCCGGAATAGTGCCCGGCATCAGCCCAACATGGGGTGCGATTCCTTTACCTAGGACACCCTCCCAGCTTTCCCTCTCACAGCCATCATTTGTGAGTATCACCGTGACTTCCCCGTTTAATTTCGTTTGTAGAGACAACACCCTGGACAAGAATGTTGTCTTGCATGCTGGAAGCCATATGCATTCTTTTGTTTCAAATTACATTCATTTTCTAGTAGACAGAATCATGACTATTATCTTTTTTGCAAAGTGTTTCATTTCAGATTTTCATGAACAAATCATTGAGATGGCACTTTTCCATATGGTTTTGTAACAACTCATACCTAGGATGGCATTTACATTTCCCATATCAAATATTTGTTAAAATGGAAAGCTTTACTTTCTATTTGGTACACATGAAAACCACCTGCATTTATTGCCTGCTTTCTTTTATAGTTGCACGTGTGTTGTAAACAAGTGAATAAATCCACAAGCAGGATATCCATGTGACCAATTTACGTAACTGTTAAGGTTTTAACTTATTAGAATGGGCAGTCCTGTGACCACCCGCAGAAATTGGCCCAATTCCCATAACTGTCCTGCCAAAACCTTTGAATAACCGTTGTAATTCAGACAAGGCCCTGTTTGTAGAGAGATGTAGCATTCTCAGCTCAAGATACTAATAAATAATCACGACTCGACTGTGTTTTGTCAGATGACCCAAGGCAGTCCACCTTCGGCTGGTGCTTTGGGCACAGAGCATTCCCCTGTAAAGCTTGGACACTCTCCGGTCACGATGGTACACAAAAACAACCAGGTCTGCATGCACAGTGTGCACAGTTCGTCTACATTTAAATAACACTTGTGTGACTGCATTATGATGTGTCTTGTTTGTGCGATGATGTTGGTTCACACCATTTAACATTGTTTGTATCATAGACTGAAATCACCTTGGAGAAGATAAAGATGTTGGAAAATAACCAGAGCTCAGATTTGGAAAAAAAGGAGGGGAGAATCGATGACCTGCTCAGGGTATGATTTTTTTTTTTTGCAGAAGCTTATTAACATTTTCAAAATATATGTAAGGATGATCAAAACAATGGCACCATTCTAAATTATTTTTTTGAAGACTGTCGTTTGATAGTTTCTGCAATGCATTCTCTGTCAGGCGAACTGTGACTTGAGGCGGCAGATCGAAGAGCAACAGAAGCTGCTTGAAAAGTTCAAGGAGAGGCTGAACAAATGTGTGACTATGAGCAAGAAACTGCTAGTTGAAAAAGTAAGTACAGGAATGTAGGATGTATGGTTAGACCATGGTAACAAACGCACGGTCTTTTTCTGACACCAGTTGCTAGCTGATGGATGCCTGTGCAAGCTTTAATTTAACCCTGTTATTGGGTGCAGTCTGAGCAGGAGAAGCAAGCATGCAGGGAGAAAAGTATGCAGGACCGACTGAGGCTTGGCCACTTTGTCACCGTCCGACATGGGGCCACCTTCACCGAGCAGTGGACAGACGGCTCAGCCTTCCAGAACCTCATCAAGTGAGTTACTCCCTCACGTAATTTTTTACTCAATGCTGACACAACTGGTTTGTGTTGTGAAGGAAAGCAGAGAGTGTGTTGTAAAGCAATGGTTATGTTCAGACTGTACCTTCTTACTTGGGGGCAAAGGTTTCCACCACTTTCATTCCTTTTTTTCCTTGGTTGATGTGTGTTTGCAAGCATGCCATTAAAATGTCTGGAGCATCTTTCCAGATTTCCCTAATCCATACATTGATGGTGTGAGTAAAAAACACATTTGTAGAATACCATGATTGTCATTAAACAGGCAACAAGAGTGGGTGAACCAGCAGCGGGAAGACATTGAACGGCAGCGGAAGTTGCTGGCCAAGCGAAAACCGCCGATGGCTGCTCACATGACCAGCCCAGCTTCTGCTGCGGAACAGAAGCAGCGCAAGAACAAGGCAGTCAATGGTGCCGACGACAACTTCGTAAAGCCAAGCGTACCACCGACGTGAGCACCAGCAGCTTCCTTTTCGAAGGAGTCTTAAATCGCCACTTCGTATGCAACGTTTGTGTGTGTGTTCACTACATACCATATATGGTTCCATAGCAGCAAGCGAAACTGTATGTGGAGCTCGGCTGACCATTCGCAGTCCCACCATTCCAAATACAAACTCCTTCATTGTTAGATGGGCCAATGTTAACACCGCAGTCACAAGGCAGCCAGCGGGAGCAGTTGGTGTTAGCGTGTTGTAGTAGCACAGCTGTGAGTACAAACCTGCCCCTGTGTAACTGTCGGCATGGACACACCTGTTCAAGTGTGAGCACCATTTATAAAAACTACACTTGGCATGACGTTGCGTGCATAGTTGTGCATGGCATGTGGATTTTTTGTTGCTTGTGTAGTGTGCAGTCCATCGTCGTTATTCATAAAGCTGCCTTTTTTGTTTTTGTTGTTTAATCTGTGAAGTAGTATAAGTTTTGTAAGGTGGCCTTATTTGGCATGGAAAGTTATTTTAATATTTGCTGATGCTTTTAGGTATTTTCTGATAGTGTATATAAGTAATGTGTATTGTTGTAACATTCTAAAATATTTTAAGTATGCATTAATCTTTTTTTTTTCCTGGACAAGCTCATAAAGTAACATCAAGCCATTAACTTTGACAAGCAGTCTTTGAAGTATTGTTTCTGCAAAACCAAGTTTTCATGCATGGGTTGTAACGAATCCTCGAGGGCTGCATATTTGTTTTTGTTTTTCCTCTTGGGATGTTATAACTACCCCGACACTTGACATGCAATGCTGCTTGATCATATTTATATCCCTTATGATTTAAATGCATGTGCAAACAATTCTCCACTTATGCAATATACCATACATCACATATGTGACATTTCTTGTTTTTTTCAGGTTAACGGTAGCTGAGTACCATGAGCAAGAAGAAATTTTAAAGCTCAGATTAGGACATCTTAAAAAGGTTTGATTTCTATTTGAAATCCACATTACATAAACATTTCTGGAAAAAAACACCTTTGTGCAACTCATTTCCCACTCTTGCTTGTAGCTATCTCAAGTGCGTGTGCAATGCAGATGGTGGAGCTTTTGAGTGCGTGAGCACATCGGTGTTTACACACACGCAGCCCAGTTGTGTTGAGTAGTTGAGCTGGCCCTTGCGCTGTGTGTGTGTCGCTGTGTGCCGTAGGAGGAGGCCGAGATCCAGGCAGAGCTAGAAAGGCTGGAACGTACGAGGAACCTGCACATACGTGAGCTCAAGCGGATTCACAATGAGGACAACTCGCAGTGAGTTTCTCACTTAGCCATTGTTTCAAATTTGGAGTTGTGTTGTCATAACTGGTGGTGAAGCAAGTTCCTCCCTCACTATACTAGAATTAAACGTAAGGCAGTTTGATGGTCCAGTATTCCAGTTGCTGGCTCACCGTTGGTCAGTTGCCTACTTAACATTCTGTGTTTTTACTACCATGGTTACTACTGCCATAGACTTATTGATTTTTCAACCGATGCTTAATCTACCAGCACGACAGTTCCAATTTGGAAGGGTAAAGGGGACGTGGCAGAATGCTCGAATTACAGGCCAATCAGGCTCCTGTGTCATGCGATGAAGATCTTTGAGCGAGTTTTGGACACGAGGATTAGAAACATCATCACCCTATCACCCAACCAATGCGGCTTCGTCAAAGGATGTGGCACTACGGACGCCATATTCGCGAGCCTCCTCCTCTCAGATGAAGAGAGAGGAGAAGTGGAAAGACAAACGCGCCTGTGGAAGGAACGTTTGGACGAAAACGGGATGAGGTTCAACATCAAAAAGACGGAGTATATGGAGTGTGGCCCCCAAACCGACGGCACCATCAGTATTGACGGAGAAGATCTGAAGAAAGTGACGGACTTTAAGTACCTGGGCTCCACCATCAGCTCAGATGGTAGCATCACGACTGATGTGAGGTCACGAGTCAATGCGGCGTGGATGAAATGGAGGCAAGTCACCGGAGTCCTCTGTGATCGGAAAATGCCGGATAGGCTGAAGGGAAAAATATACAAGACCATCGTCCGACCGGTGGCACTCTATGGATCCGAGTGCTGGCCAGCCACAACTGTACACGAACAAGCTCTCCACACCATGGAGATGAGGATGCTCAGATGGAGCCTCGGGCTCACTCGATGGGATTGTGTCAGGAACGAAGACGTTCGGAAGCGACTTGGTGTGGCCCCCATTGCAGACAAGATGCTTGAGGCAAGGCTTCGGTGGTACGGCCATGTGATGCGAAGTGAAGAGTCATCAGTGGCCAAGACTGCCGTGCGTATTGAGCCAGAGGGCCGCCGTCCACGCGGACGTCCGAAGAAGCGATGGATGGACCGAATAAAGGAAGACATGAAGACGGTCAACGCATCCCCTGAAGATGCCCTGGACCGAGCCAAATGGAGAAGACAATGCCGAAAAGCGGACCCTGCGCCACAGCGGGAACAACGCTAGGAAGAAGAAGCTTAATCTACCAGAATGACTTGTCTAACCCATACTGTTTTCAACCACCATATTTCAGGACAAACACTTCTGTCTGCTTCATTCCTAACACTGCAAAATTTTGAATACCAGTCCCATTGTCTCTATTCCCAAGTTCATGTAACTGCTCAATTCAAGACATGCATTCACTTTATTATACCTTCAATAGTGTTATTTGTCACTTGCCATTTTGGGCCTGTGCTCAGCAACTGTGATTTTTTTATTATTATAGAAATTCTCACAGTGACTGTGCAACAGGTGTTTTTGTCCCCCTAGAAACCTGAAATTGAAATTAAAGTGTTCAAATGTGATGTAAACTCAAGTGGCTACATTTTCAAATATGGGCTCTCATAAATCACCAAAACTAGCAGGCAAGTTGTTTCATTCGTGCAGGTAAAAAAATTAGAATAGCTACTCCTAACATTTTTCCACCAGGGGGTGTATACATGAAAGGTAATGTATTTTTCTAAGTATTGTGTTCTTTCAAAAGCAGATTGAGAATTCACCATTCTTTGTAATTTAATATTTGTGTTTTAAAATTAAGTATCCATCCACTGCTGGATGAAGGTCTCCCCCATGTCTTTCGGTCATAGAGGTTCTTAGGCCATACATGTTCATGCTAGTCAGTGCGAGTGTGAAATGGGGGCCCAAGTACCATAACTTGCCAATGATATTAACCGTGGCCAGGCATAAAACTCGGGTTGCCGGATTCATAGTGAAGTGCACCAACCACGGCTGCTGCACTATCCGTCTCTGTATAATATCGGGTATAAATGTATTTTGACTGGGCATTTGAGATAGCTTCAAGAAATGGTTTGTGCAGAATGTTGCACATGTTGTCAGTCTCAATTTGGCCACTACCATAATATCTTGACTTGGCAGTAGTTTTAGTTGACAAACAGTATTTGTTTCATTGATGTATTTGAAGTCCAAATAAAAATGGCCCACGTTTATTCCTTTGACAAACTTAATCACCGCACATGTCCGATTGTGGACATTTTTCAGCGCATATTGACCATCAAAATGTGTATTGCATTTACAAGTAAACATCCGTTTTACACTTAAAAGCTGGAAACAGGGTAAAGCCTCAATTTTACAAGCAAAGAAAGTCCGATTGACAGTACTATTTGGCGATGTTGGAAGAAAAATGTGCAAAATTGTGTCCCTGGGCATTTGGTTGTCGTTTGCGAGAATATAAACATTTCTGCGGAGGGAGCTGGTAGGAACGTTGGGTTGCTCGGTCAATGGCCAGGGTCAACGGCGGCGTGGTGTATTCTGCAAATATGGCCGACTGTGAGGGCGGACACAAGCCAGCGTGAGTAGGTAAAACGTTGAGTTTTATAAGGGCACCACGGGGTGATCAGCCCCTCCCCACCCAGCCCCCACCCCTCCCACCCCCCACCCAGCCCCCACCCCTCCCACCCCCCACCCAGCCCCCACCCTCCACATCCAGCCCCTCCCCACCCTCCCCTCTTCACCCAGCCCCACCCCTCCCATTTTTGGATGCAGGACGGACGGACACAATAATCTATTGTGGGCTGGTGGAACCAGGTGGTTCCTACCAGTATAAACATTTACTTCCACATGTGTGGTTATTCCAAACAATATTGAAATGCACCAAATTTAGCTGTTCTGTTTGGAATCTGTAACGTGCATTTGCGTAAAGCATTATAAGGCAAAGCGGTAATGTAAAGGTAACTTGATTGAAATATTCATGAATGGATGTTAAATAATTAACATTGAAATTTTTATTATCTGGCTGTGTGATATGGTTTTCTTGTTGGTGTTCCATTTAGATTGTACTAAATACTTGAATGACTTGGCAGTCGTGGGTAGTGACGTAATTACTCTGCTCAATACTGTTCAAGATCTGTCTATTATAAACTAGATTGCTGCATGTGTAATGTTTTTGGATAATTACAATTGTCAGATTGTTACCCAATGTAACCATAATATCTTGTTTATTGACATACCATCACAAAAATTTAAGTAATGGTTTTGGAATCCATTCCCACCTATTAATATTAATTGCACACTTTTCTGGCAGTTCTTTTCACTGCACCCAGTGCAATGTGTTTTACATTTTCGCCAAATGAAAAGGCAATTGCGTACAACCCTCTTATTCACATCGTGGTGCAACACTCGTCATAACCTCTAAAATGTTATGTATATTAAAAAAAGACTACCTACTGGCTATCATTTATTGGAAGGTTTTTTTGGGGGGAAATGCTTTGCTTTTGCAAGTGCTTCAATGACGATATATTTTTTTTATAAAATTTAATTACTTGATCCCTATTCTTGGTTCTTTCGGTAAAGTCACGTAGAAGGGAAATAAAAAAAATATTTAAAAAATATTAAACAATAAAAATGCTCACGACTTTTCGACTGCAACACAAGCAATCATCATCAGGTGTGAAATCCACAGCAAGAAAATTTGAAAAAAGTTGCGGTTTTTCCTAACGTCAGCACCACAGACAGCGATTTGGCAGTTGATCCCCTTTAACGATTTAAGATAAATGAGATTTTGGCTTTGTGACTGCCATTGCACATGCACAATTTACACTCTTTTTTATGCTGGTTAGGCTCTGAAAGTAGTGTAGGTCAAGAGGTCACCATGGCCAGTGCCTTGATTGCACAACTGCAACCATTTTACCTTTTTCACATTTGCCTGTTCCATATATTCTGTAAAGCTACGTTCAAAACTGCTATTTATATAAATGATATTGGCATTGTATGAGAATTTTACACGGTTATCGAAAGGGTTTGAATACCTAACACTTAACTTATGATAAAATCTTCACACATTTTAATACAACCTAATTGGGTGGCTTTATTGTTGTCACCATTGCTGATGAAGATAGTTGTTTGTTTTATTTATCTGAAAACAACCTCCAGGCTTGAGATTTAAAAAGCATTATCGGTTATTCCTTTGTCATTCAATAATGCATCTTCCGGTCGCACAACCAATGCAAAGTTGTAAACATTATCTCAATGCAGGATTTCTGTCTCTAAGCAACAGGAACAGTACTTGTTTGGTTAAAGCAAAGGTCTACTTACAATAGCACACGTGCAATCAAGAGTTCCCTTACATTTTTAGTCCAGAGGAACGTGTATATGCTCGTAAAATTGTACACTTTTTATTTCAAAACTTCAGGTTTAAGAAAAAAAATGTATTTGATAACACAAAAAAGTATAAGTGTTGCGTGGATGGGTCATGTGATCAAAAGGATTACACGCAGCATTGACATATTTTCTTTGGTGTTAATTGGATGACTGTAAACCTGTTACATCCGCTGATGTCACGACCATATTTTTAACTGCCCTACTTTTTATATTTGTTTTTTTCAGGTTTAAAGATCACCCAACGTTGAATGACAGATACCTCCTGCTTCATCTATTGGGGAGGGGAGGGTTCAGTGAAGTGTACAAAGTAAGTACCTTTAATTCTAATGGATTTTTGCAACAGTTAAATATTTGTTAAAATGGAAAGAACCAATATTATTTGTTTTTAATTGCCAGGCTTTTGACTTGCAAGAACAGAGGTATGTGGCCGTGAAGATCCACCAGCTTAACAAAAACTGGAGAGATGAGAAAAAGGAGAACTACCACAAGTGAGTGGCGCATCTTATGTGATACTGCTCCCTCTGTCTGCAGTGTATTTACATTTCTATACAGTCATTGCATACAGGCAAAACAAATGAGATATCTAAAAATACTTATCTACATTGTCTTAAGCCATCTGCGTTTCCCGTCGTGTATCCTTCGATTACCCTTTGGAGGAAACCAAAGCTTGCAACAAGCGATCTAAATCCATCGGATCCCAGTAACTGGACATTAACAAGGAAAAATACATACTGTCACTGTTGACCCTTCTCTGAAGGTGCTATAGTTGAAATGTTTGTACACGTTCGTCATTGACACCCTGGCCTATTCTGATGGTAATGGCCGATGTTTCATTGGTGATGACTTCTTCTGTCACCTCATAGTCTGGAAGGCTTTACTTGATGTAAGTGGCGAGGCCATATTTCAGATGGTTGATGGCAGAAATTATGTTATATCCATCGATTTTATACTTTTTGGTTCTTTTGGTAAAGTCGCGTAGTTAAAATAAAATAACAAATCACGACGTTTCACACCCCCCCCCCTCTCCCCCCTTGCTCCTCCCCCCCCTTTCTTACCTATATAACCTCTTGCCACGTAAGCTCTCTCGTCCACTGCATTGGCATTGTTGCTGCATTGGCATTGTTGCTGCATTGGCATTGTTGCTGCATTGACATTGTTGCTGCATTGGCACTCGTGCACCGCCCATGCTCCTGGTGCTGTTGATACACTTGGGCTACGCCCATCCCCAAACCTTTATAAACAGTTTGCCTTTAGAGGCTGACTCCTTTGCCTGATGACGACCACTTGTGTTGCGATCGAAACGTCGTGATTTGTTTTATTTTATTTCTAACTATGTGACTTTACCGAAAGAACCAAAGAGTATGAATTCCTGCAGTCACGATAGCTTCAAATCATCGATTTTATAGATCGTGAGTCGCTTATCTTCGGCGTGGGTTTCCTGGAGTGCAACAACGTCGATGTGTTCTTGATGTAAACACTTGCCGAGTTCCTCACACTTTGCACGTGAGAGGCCTTCCACGTTTAGTTGATACACTCGTAATGCTGGTCCCACTCTTCTTTGGCTGATGTTTTGGCCCTGAAAATAACCATTTTTTGGACAGTATTTACAAATATACACGATTTCCAAAAAGGCTGAAGTGATGGTTTTAGTCGTGCGATGAGGCACTTAATCCGGCTTTCGACCTGCCAGAAGCTGCTGTGAGCAGGTCCTTCCCCTCACCAGCTACATCAAAGCTGGATTCCAGCGAAAGAGAAAAACCTGTATCACCATGATAGACCTCTCATCCGCCTATGACACCATCTGCAGACATGGGTTCCTACTCAAGGCAGTGCACATCATCAAGTGTCACACCTTCCCGGTAACAAGCCATGCAAAAAATGTCAACGACGGCTTACCTCAGGGATCAGTACTGGCTCTGATCCTGTTTAACATCCTCACCAGCGACCTGCAAAAGACATCATCCCACAAATTTGTCTATGTGGACGACATAGCAATGGCTACTCGGGGAACAAACCTGAAGTACATTAGTTACACACTCACAGAAGACTTGTCCGTGTTATAAGACTACTTCCAAAGGTAGAGACTATGACCAAATCCATCCAAACGACTCAATAACTGAGACATAAAGGCCCAGTTGGAAGTGACTTTCTGTGGTAACCCCATCAAAACGAGCCATATCCCAAGTATTTGGGCATAACTTTGGACAGAAGCCTCACATTAAAAAGCACATCGAAAAGGTGAGGGAAAAAACTAAAAGCAGAGGGGCTCTGATGCGCAAACTTTACGGTACAACGTGGCGAACTGCCGCCCTCGCTCTCGTGCATTCCAGTGCTGAGTATTGCGTGCCAGTCTGGGCATCAAGTGTTCACACAAAGAAATTGGACGTCTAGATCAACAGCGTCCTTGGACCGATAACGAGCACACTGAAATGCACTCCTACTGAGTGGCTACTGGTTCTAGCTAACATTACGCCAGCAAACCTCCGCCGGGATGCCGCGACGTCAAACCAACTAGGAAAAATCCAAGGAAGTGTACATCTACCGTTACACCAAGACCTGCTCGACCCTCCATGAACCCATCTTAAATCCTGAAAACCAATCTGGAATCACGCGAGACAAGTGGATGATGCGGGGTCAACTGAAGACCGCTGGCGAACACGATGGAGTTCTGCGGAGGTTCCAAATAAAATCCTCATCGACGACCCCACCATTGCTCCGCACGGCTTTGATGTGCCGAGAAAATATGGTGCTCCATCAACGGCTTCAGAACAGCAACTGGTCGCTGCACACACGCCCACAAGTGGAGAATTTAAAAAAACCCACAGTGTGACTGCTGCCACCCGAAAGAGACATTGGACCATATCGCGAATAACTGCATCCTACGGCCACTCTCCGGCGGACTGAGCAGTATTAGTCAGTGCAACTCCCGAAGCTATCGCATAGGCTCACAGACTTAAACTTGGACGTGTGATTTGCACATACTTTCCATATGCTAGAGAGAGTTGAATTTTGAGGGTCTATCAGCCGCATAGCACGTTCTGAAAAACTGTCTGCAATATTCGTGCACGTCACATTCTCTTTACTTTCTACTAATCATTTTGCAGGCACGCGTGTCGGGAGTACAGAATACACAAGGAACTGGATCATCCACGAATAGTAAAGCTCTACGATTACTTCTCTCTCGACACCGATTCGTGAGTAAACATTCTGGTATTTTGGACTTTTATTGAACTAGAATGAAAAGCAAGTGAGCGTTTGTGTGGAATTTGTACATTTAATGTCTTATCATTACCACCTCTAGGTTTTGTACAGTGCTGGAATACATCCATGGGAATGACCTGGACTTCTACTTGAAGCAGCACAAGCTGATGTCGGAGAAAGAGGCACGCTCGATCATTATGCAGATCGTGAGTGCCCTCAAGTACCTGAACGAGATCAAGCCACCCATCATACACTACGACCTCAAGCCAGGTATTGTTGCAGGATCCCATTCACCCATCCCAGTTGTCTAGACAATTTCATCAATATCCCAATTAAGGTCACATTTTATGATTGTACTGGCCACTGTTTTATATTACAGTCATAATGAAGTGTAAGTGGGCAGTTCTATTTTCAGTACCCACTGTCTGCCTTGAAAACAGAATGAGTCTTAAAAACACTACACTCCAGTTTTCATTTAATATACAATCAGGTTTGCATTTAACATCTTTCATTAGGGTTCGTAGTTTACATGCAATAAACATTTACTGTGCTGGCCTTGAAAGCCCTTAGAACAATTGCTGGTAACGTGTAATTCTCAACTTTGACCCGACATGAACCACTTACCTGCCCCACACCCCACATACCTTTTGAAATCAGGCAACATCCTGCTGGTGGATGGAAAATCTTGTGGTGAAATCAAGATCACCGACTTTGGGCTATCCAAGATCATGGATGATGAAAACTACAACGCTGTGGACGGCATGGATCTGACCTCTCAGGGGGCAGGAACCTACTGGTAAACGATATTTTTCTAATACACAAAATAAGTATTTATCTTTTACAAATATTTGTACTCGACAAAGGAAGTTATGGTCTTGAATGCCTTATCGATGGAAGAGAACATTTTATTTTTAATTGGGGCAGTGGTGCAGTGGCTATTGCACTGCGCTTTGAACCCAGTGAGCTAATATTCTTAGGTTTTTTTGGTAAAGTCACGTAGGTGAAAATTTTTATTTTACTTTTATTAATTTTAATTTTACACCTACGTTACTTTACCGAAAAAACCTAAGAATATGAATCATTGCAGTCACGAAAGCTTCAAATCTAGAACCAGTGAGCTAACTTTAATTCCTGACTACGGCTACCATCATTGGTGAGTGATTTGTGAGCCAGTCCTGGGCTCACCTTTAACCAACCCACACGAGTATGTGTCGGTGTGAATTATGAGAAGCCCTTCATCCAGCTGGGGATTGACGCTTCACATTATTAAATTGATGAACATGTTTTATTCCTTTAAGCACCTTGAAGCATTGTACTTATTCATATTTTAAATACATATATTAATTTAGTGCACGTGTAAAATGGTGTAATATATTCATAGTGCCATGTGTTTATAAATGTGCTTGTAAATATTAATCAACTGGTTTTACAGTGAGGGAAAAAAGTATTTGATCCCCTGCTGATTTTGTACATTTGCCCACTGACAGAAATGATCAGTCTATAATTTTTATGGTAGGTTTATTTGAACAGTGAGAGACAGAATAACAAAAAAATCCAGAAAAACGCATGCCAAAAATGTTATAAATTGATTTGCATTTTAATGAGGGAAATAAGTATTTGACCCCCTCTCAATCAGAAAGATTTCTGGCTCCCAGTTGTCTTTTATACAGGTAACGAGCTGAGATTAGGAGCACACTCTTAAAGGGAGTGCTTTTGTGTTTTTCTGGATTTCTTTGTTGTTATTCTGTCTCTCACTGTTCAAATAAACCTACCATTAAAATAATAGACTGATAATTTCTTTGTCAGTGGGCAAACGTACAAAATCAGCAGGGGATCAAATACTTTTTTCCCTCGCTGTAAATCTTCACTTAAAGCTGGTCTTGTCGAGAGTTGCAAATGTTGCGCATGTCTGTGTAACGTGTCGGCGTGTTTTTCTACAATTTTTCTAGGTACTTGCCTCCAGAATGTTTCGTAGTTGGGAAGGAGCCACCAAAGATCTCAAACAAGGTGGATGTGTGGTCTGTTGGCGTCATCTTCTACCAGTGCCTTTATGGGCGAAAGGTAGGTGCTTCACCTCGCATTTTTCGATGTAAAGCTTTCGTGACTGCAGGGATTCGTCTTCTTGGTTATTTCGGTAAAGTCACGTAGAATAGAAATAATAAAATATTAAAAATTAAACATAATAAAATAATTCTCACGACGTTTCGGCCACAACGCAAGCAGCCGTCCTCAGGTGGAGAACAGGTCTGTCGAGAAGACAGTCATACTCTGTCGGACGGCTGCTTGCGTTGTGGCCGAAACGTCGTGAGAATTATTTTATTATGTTTTATTTTTATTATTTTATTATTTCCATTCTACGTGACTTACCAAAAGAACCAAGAAGATAACCTCGCATTGTTTATTTTTTTAATGAATATTTATTATTATTATTATTTGTTTATTTTAAAGTTTTAATTCCACAATTTTGCATCATTTTTGTGCAGCCTTTTGGGCACAACCAGTCTCAACAAGACATCCTTCAGGAGAAAACCATCCTGAGAGCTACAGAGGTGCAGTTTCCCGTCAAGCCCGTCGCCTCAAATGAGGCCAAGGTATGTCTATATCTCGCTTGGGGTTTTTAAACATGGCCATGCTGGCATCTGGCTGCAGTGTCAGGAGGCAATAAATGCTGCTTTGAGTTTCAATTATCAGCTGAATCACTCAATGACCTTCATTTAAAACCATGCAGAAGCCTATCGAGGCATGTGAATGTAGTTAATTACATAACGAGAATGTGATGGCAGTCATTTCCTCAAAGCTGTCTCCATGAGACGGCTCAATTTAAAGGCATGCAGATCCTCGTGTGGACTGCTTGGTTTTCTATCAATAATGTTGCACACAATGTGGTTTGTTTGAGAAAAAAAGTCACAAGTTGGTGTGGTCTTAGGCATTCATTCGTCGCTGCCTGGCCTACCGCAAGGAGGACCGCATCCATGTACAGCAGCTGGCCAGCGACTTGTACCTCATGCCTCACATCCGCAAGTCTCCTGCGAACACCAATACACATACGCCCAACTCCTCTGCCTCTGCTACTGCATCGCCCAACAGCAACTCCAACTAGTCAGCTTGGTGGCACACACTGCCCACAGCAACGGGACGAAGGGGTCGGGGGGGGGGAGGTCTGTGCTCTACGGAGACCCGAAGCTTGATGGATTCAGTGGCTGTGGGCATGAGAAATAACATCTCCGTTGACTTCTTAAGAGGAGCGGTGATGCTGCGGAGGTGGACACTGACCCTACAATGTGTTTTTGGGCATTGTTTAGCCTGGTGTCCAGGCCACACGTTTTTTTAGGGCTGGGAGTCGTCGAAACCCGAAGTTCAGCCATAATGCCTCACCGTCTCCTGAACTGTTATCGAGAAAAGGGAGATGCTCAAGTGCTTGGGCGCCCGAGTTAAGGTTTACTTCACGGAGTGAAAAAAACTTACAGAGCTGCCATTCGTCTTTCGCTACCTGTCATCCATTTTTGAAACTGATCTGGGGAAGACTTGAAGCTTTACTGAGAGGATAAGTTCTTGTGTACATACATGTATAAATTTTAGAACGATGAAGGTCTTTGTTGGAAAGTTGATGGGCCGTGCAAGTTCGTGAGTGTTTGTTGAGCGATGTGAAATATAAAGTTAGAGGTCGTTGAATAATGTTGCACATGCATGACTGATTTTTTTTTGGTGCAAAAAAATGTAGTTTACTTATCTCTGTAATGAACATAAAAATTTTAAAAATAATCTAATATGACTACCACTGGCATTGGTAAAGTGAGTTGAAGTGCAGAATTAAAATTATTTTAAAAAAATACTTGAAAAGTTCAGTGAAGTTGCCCTTGTGTGGGAGTGTGATTAGGGATTGTGTAATTGTTAAAATTGTTTTGAAATTGTTATACATGTACATAATCCAATGCTTTTAGTCTGTAAAGATGATGCCACCATCTCTTTTTTTACTTATGCAGTGTATGAATGACCCCTGGGTGCTGAGCACTTTATACTCCATGTAACCTTAACTTTGGTTTATGCAGATCGGTTATTGTATGGCATTGCATTTTACACAAGAAATTATTTAACAACCTATTAGAATGGACAATTTATAATTTTCATGAGTGCCATTCCTATATCCTTTAATAAATAAAATGCCACCATATTAAGTACTGTTACATGACCATTACATTTCTATCGGGTGCTTTAAAACCTCAGTTAAGGTAGGAGTATTGAGTTGAGTGATGTGAAGTGCATGTGGGGTGAATTGCGTGGCTTTTTATAATAGTCTACTACCAACAATGCCCTAGTCTACAGTCTCTTCAGTCAATACAAGTTGAAATAAAGATTTACTGCAACGAAATTAAAATGGCAGAGCTTGGCTCTTTAGTGTGTGCTGTGTGGATTCTGACGTGTGTAGTATTGAGGTGTGGTTACAATTGATGAGTTGCCCACTTTAAAACAATGTTTTCTGTTCAAAATGTAAGCTGTCTCTTTAAACACAACTATTCACAGTAAGCATAGAACACTAATCAATGTAGGGTATTGTGTATTGTGTAAAATGTGCAAATGAAAAAAAAATGGTTTACATAAAGTATAATGATAAAGCATCAAGCAGGACAGTATTTTAGTTGTAGAGATATTTTTTTATATTGTTACTAATTCTCCACAACGACACTGATTGTTTTGTTATATTCACATCAGAGGGGTTGCTTGGGTTACTAAAAAAAACGTTTCGGTTGAATGGTTCATCTATTGCATTGGAGACTTGTTATCATACAAAGTATGTCTGCTATGTTGCTTGGATACCTTGGCAATGTGAAGTAAAAAATATATTTGTAGCATTCAACCCCCTGTTGTATTCCTACTTTTAGATTACAGTGTAAAAGTATGATCATCAATGGTTTGCTTTTGTATGTTGTCATGCGACAAAATTGAGACATTATTCCAGCAGCTAAAAATAAACAATTACAAACTCAAATCTCCAGGGTTAAATAAGTGTCCACCTCGTCATGAACTTCACGGATTCATGTTAAATTATGAATTATTTGCATCTCAATTGGGAACGCTTTATGTGGTAACTGAATGTTCATTCATATGCAGTTCTGTAGTGCTAAAGTACTTTTTTGTGGATCGGAGATCTAAACGAGTACAATAGTGGTCATCTGGTCTTGCACAGATAGCTGGCTTCATTCACTTAAAGCAGTGGTTCTTAACCTGGGATGCACGCACCTAGGGGTACAAGTTGCCCTTTCAGGGGGTGCCAGACATGCCAGATTTCTTTCGAAGGTAAATCATCAAACATGAATTCAGCATGGGCACGTATGTACAGCTTCTTTTGTTTCATTAAACATTTTTTTTTAAGTTTTAACATGTGCGAACCAAAGGGGTGCAAGGCTGCAGTAAAGGTTAAGAACCACCGGATTAAAGGATCAATCTAGGAGTAAGTTCCACCAGGAATACATCTGATAAGCACGTGCTTGCATTGCTGTCAACATTTTTAAGACGTTACTCAGCTTACGATTGCTTCCCCAATGACTTAAATTCCATTAATATGCGCCGTTGGATCATCATGTTTGTTCATTTTCATAATCGGAACTTAACGTTCACCCAAAATCTCTCCTACAATTGTTTCATTTGTGTGGCCTCGTATTCATCATTCGCCTCTTCTGTGCTGTCATTCGTATTGTTCACCTCACTTGAACTGCCTCCTGTGTCTTATCTTGTGTGGTTTGCTTAAATCATAAAATACGATTCGTGCATGTATCAAGGGCATATGAATCGATTTTAATTGATGTAAGTTGACCCCGCACCACTCTTACGGCATTGCATTCAGGCGCGTTATACCGTATTGTATTTTTATTATGTGCCAGTACGTGATAAAGAATCTCACCAAAGGATATTTTTACTTGTGTTAATTAGTAAAGGGAATTGTGAGGTTAAGTACCACTAGAATGAAAATGAACCCATTTGACGTTTTCATCCTTCCCGAGTGCCACGGTGCTAATGGAACATTTTTGCAACAGCAAAATAAACAAGTAGACATATCTCCGTCATATATCTATCTTTCCACCAAATATAAAAGTATTTAACACGTCCCATAAACTACAAGACAGGAGTGCATCACTTGTATTTTGTGTTATGTGTCGTATCATTTAGCGTTGAATTAGGACCCATATTTATAATTTATGGAAATTTACCAGCATTGGTTCAAGCAACCCATCTGGTGAGACATCCAAACCGGTCTATTTTGTTTGTAATAAACCAATGTTGCTGAAATTATGCACTCCCAGAAGCTCTTATGGTTAACGCAAAGTGTAAAATATGTTTTTATCACTCGGACGTCCTTTGGACGTGACTGTCCGTACCTCCCCCCAACCAGCCAGCAAAACTTGTTTTGTAGTACGGTCCTGTATGGGACTGAATATGAAAGTGTGACAGCGTATCCAGCGGTATACACGGCCGAGCAGAGCCGGCCCTAGACCTTTGGGGGCCCTAAGCAAAATTTGGTTGGAGGCCCCTTTGATGTATGAGTTTTTCACCCACTCGCTAGCAGTGACTCTAGGGGGCCCTCTGCTGGTCACGGGGCCCTTTGCAATTGCAAGGGTCGCTTAGTGGCTGGGCCGGCTCTGCGGCCGAGGTAGAGGGTGGGTGGGGGGTGGTGTGACGTCGGCACGCACGAACTCTTGTCAAGGCCAGCCATGAATCCAGGCATCTATGGAGCCAGCAAAATTATTTTCTAATATAGCATGATGTGGAGTAAGAGATATATGAAGGAGAAATTGTCTGCTTCACTTTTCTATTGTATGCGCATCGACGACACTGATTATTTTGACCAGTACTGTTTAAAGAGCTCGCGACAAATAGGATCACTGCCACGGCTGAAAAAGTCGATTTCCACTCTGTTATCTGCAGCGCAACGTAGTGACATTACCGCCGCATTGGCATGTGTCGATTCCGGTTAAGTGTGACTAAAACACATACACATTCGTCAATAACTACCTTAAAATGAAAAATGTATAATTGGCGACCCTTTGGACCAATGGCCCGCCCCTTCAGAGCAGAGAGAGGCCAGACAGGATAAGGGGTCTGATAAGAATGAGGTTTAAGAAATCCTAATAATTTTAAATTGACATGAACACGTACGTATTAGTAGCTGTTGAATAACTTTAAAATAATAATTTAATCTCAAAGTGTTACTAAATAAAATAATGTACAATATATTAAAAGAAGTTCCGGCACATTGCATTATGTGAATGTTTTTGTAAGGTCAATGCATAAAACGTTTGGTGTCAGTGATGCATTTCTTGGCCCAATTATCGTTTTAATTAGAGAATGAGATACTGGAGTTGCTCTACATTCCTGAACGTTGCAGGAGGGGGGTAGTAGAATGTATGGGAGGCAATTTCAAAACTAGTTTTATTTGAATGTCTTTTTGGGCCCTGCTGTCATTTTTTTTATGAGAAATTCAACGTGACACGTATATGAAACTAAAAAGGGAAAATGTCTAGCACTCGACAATAAACGTATGTTTTAAGTGAAGGTGATGTGGTCATTCAGTCCTGTCGGTTTAACAGTACCGTATTCAGTCTAAATATGTAACCGAAATCTTGACTTAAAGCTTTCGTGGCTGCAGGAGTTGAAGATCTAGATATTTTAAACAGTTTGCCTTTAGAAGCTAATCTTCTTTTCCCGATGATGACCGCTTGTGTTGCGATCGAAACGTCGTAGTTTTTTGTTATTTTCTTTGAACCTATCTACATGACTTTACCGTAAGACCCCAAGAATATGATGCAGCCTTCTGTAATTTTTGTGGTCAAATTCCCACCATAACTCAATACAAGTCCACGTACCAACAAGTCACTAGGGCTATGGTCCCAGCAACGAATGGGACTAAATATGAGATTGGGATCCACCACAACAACATTACCAGTTCCTGCATGAAAAACATACGATTGCCGCATATAGACATGTCTAGCAAGACATATCTTGAGATCGCTGGTTACATTCCACCTCCTGGCACTGCATTTGAAACGATGGGAAAGTGTACTCAATGCCCCGGCATTATCTACGCAGTTGTACAAATGGGTACACTGTCGATCCGATCGGCAGGTAGTGGGATAAAGTGTGGGTATGCCCACCTGCTCCAAGATCCGAGTATCGTGGAAGAGTATACCAGATAGCCCATACAGCTCCCTCTCGTGGAATCGCTTCCAGCAGCAGCGTCAGTGCAGCACCTGTGAACTGTAGGGCATTTATATGTCCAGTTCAGTGGCTGCACATTATTTTAGAATGAGTTTTTCAAGTGAACTCGGGGATTGACATGTATACAACGATGGACGTGAAGACTTCTCCAGGGTAGATTCCCTTTTATATTCTCCAACTCGAAATCTGCACAGAGAATGCCACGCTCAGCTCTGAGCCCACGTGTCACAACACATGTCTCGACGCCAAAGCTCCCCCCGGTACCCGCTTCACCATCGCCCCTGGTGGCCAGAGTTAACACAAAGTTACATCCCACCAAAATACAATTTGTCCATATTAGTCCCCTATTTACCTCTTATGCACTGTAAATATACGATTTTAACAGTATTAACCAATAACATCCTTCACGATGTTAACTCTCATAGCAATAACTCAACATTATAACCACCTCGGTGAACTTTAAATTGTTGAGCATGAACGATCGATTGTAATCATGTACTGTTATTGACTCATGAATTATGAATATAAACACATCCAAATAAACGATTCAAAACTCGTTTATGGGTCTGGTCACAGCTACTCATAAGGTATTTAATACAGTTACTGTGTCAATGTGAAACACTATGTCTTTTCTGTCAAAAATTTCAGCATCTATTATTTATTTACTAGGGGTTTAATAATAGGGTTTTCCCCTTTTTTCTGGCAACAAAACTGAAACCTTTTTACGAGGATTCATGTCTGCATTAACCACAATACTTGCAGTCAAAATGCAAACAAAAAACACTGATAGTTTTTTGTGTTGCCAGAAAAATAGGGAAAACCCCTATTATTATATTTTGATACTGGCAAAGGTCTAATGATGTAGTTACTCGGGGTTGTTCGGGGGTGCCTGTGGTGCCCCTCACAACCATTTACGGCCTTCGGCCAGGAAAGTCACAAACAAAATTGCACACGAATGACGCATTCACGCAAGCACCCGATGCTCCGTTTTGAAATTTTAAAATGAAACATTTTTGAATTAGATAATTTTATTTCTTAATTAAAAGCTTATACCATTTTACATCTGGAAGACTTAATTGAAAAGGACGTTTCGTGTGAATTTTCACTCGTCGTTAAGTAGATGGCCTTGCTGGGGGTTCGGTTCGATGCGGACTTTCACCTGTTTGGGATTGCGGGGTCGAGATAAGGCGACATAGAGCTGCTGGCCGTGCGAGAAGACCGCCGTCTGCAGATCGATTCCAACGTAATCGAACGTCTGTCCCTGCGCCTCCGTCGTCCATGCAGGGGGTGCGTAGGTTTGCAGCGCCCCCTGCATGAAAACAACGGAAAGTGCAGCGTTCATCACAGATAGATAAAAGTTGTGCGCTTATATATGAGTAGATCAAATACTTTAATTGGAGCATTGTACTGTTGACCATACTCACAAACGAGTCTTGAGAATAATCTAAGCTCTGCAGCTATTTTACTCTGAATTCTGAAATGTACATAACACATTCCTGCGGAGGGAGCTGGTAGGAACGTTGGGTTGCTCGGTCAATGGCCAGAGTCTAAAGGGAGTTTCCACGTATTGCCAACAGAAATCTACCCGTCAACCAAGACCTCAAACGTACCACACATCACCCTTCTGGCATCGTACTCTCACCATCCACGACTCTCACCCAGATCAGATGAAGTACCATCAATAAACACCTCATTCGAGACCCAAACATTACCATCGCACCTCCTGGCTTGCACATGCCACCTCGAAGACAACCGGTGTAATCCTCTACCGCATTAGAACATCAAAAGGCCGATGCGCACATCTCCTAAGGCACATTTTGGTGCGATTGTGGCATTACGACCCGAGGTATGGGCCATAAAGTAAACTACGGTAGTCTGTGAACCTTCTACGGAGGAAAATTAATGGTAGGAACCCACTGGTTCCACCAGCCCACAGGGGATTATTGTGTCCGTCCGTCGTGCATCAAACATGGGAGGGGTGGGGCTGGGTGGGGAGGGTGGGGCTGGGTGGGGGGTGGGAGGGGTGGGGCTGGGTAGGGAGGGGCTGATCAACCCCGTGGTGCCCTTATAAAACTCAACGTTTAACCTACTCACGCCGGCTTGTGCCCGCCCTCACAGTCGGGCATATTTGCGGAATACACCACGCCGCCGTTGACCCTGGCCATTGACCGAGCAACCCAACGTTCCTACCAGCTCCCTCCACAGGAATGTGTCTCTTAAACGATCCTTAAATGAAAACCACATTCGCCACTAAGTGGTGGTGACGTCACCACGGAACCTGTGCCAGGCCAGGTGCACTTTGAGGCTATCACATGAAGTGTGGAAGGCTCGCTGGCAGGGGGTCACGGGGACAAGACCCAGGTAAGCATAACAGTGCCTACTGCATGGACCTGAAAACTCAATTTATCTGTACAAGAAAACGGGTAAACCGTATGCGTTGACAGGTGTAGCAGGTGCCATGGGTTGACTGGCTGAGATGATTGGCAGATGCACCAGCTGTGCCCCCTACTGTGCCAACTTGCAGTAGTTTATCCGCCCGGCGCTCTCCGCGCGTTGTTGTGAGAGTCGCTCCACTTGCCCTCCGTTGTTGAAAATGAAAAGAAACACCCCACGTGGGCCCTCTTTAACACGGAAGCGAAACAAGCCACGCGAGAGAAAGAGGCGTGGGAATATGGCGCGACGCAAGACCCGCGGTGGATCTCGTAGTTGTGGATCTCGGAGCCGGGATTCACCGTCCGTTGTACATGGTGAGTGCGGAAGCGGAAGCGTTTGGCCGGCTCCGGATTCCACTTTGAAGATCCGATCCAGGTTGCGTTGCGCGCATAGGAACACGTGTGTTGAACAAGACGCGCTGCAACACGGCGTGGAGTACACAATTGAATTCGGAGCCGGCAAGAAGATGCCACTTGGAACGTGTAAAGTGACAATTAGTCAATTATAACAAATGTACGGGATATATAATGAAATCAATAACAACGCGGTATTATTATTAAATCTCAACTGTTATAACAGCACGTAGAGGGCGATGGTAACACGTGCGATTATTTAATTTACGCTCCGCTCCGGAGTTTGAATCCTACAACAACCGCGCTGGGCCGAGAGTGGCGCTCGCTAGCCGGATCCGGTGGCTTTCGCAGATCCCCGACTGTTCGGGCAGCTGGCGAACGACCGCGTATAATCGGGAACTTCTCTTGGGGGGAGCTTCCTTCCGCTCTCGTCCACCGCTCAGGGATTTCATCCACCCACATTGACTCCACTGGAACCTGTGCTCGCCATGCTCACCCTGCCCACTTAGCGATGACAACCGACTGCATCGTCACCGCGATTGAGGACTCGTTCACTGATTGTGTGACGCCTGCGGAGCTGCTGGAGACTTACGCCCGACCGCTGCTGGTAGTCGGGGTGGTGGGGGTTGACCCCCTTTTCTTCTCGGAGTTGACCCACGGCCCCACACGTAGTTGACCCGACTAAAGGTTGACTGCTTTCCGGAGTTGATCCTGCTGGAGTTGACCCCCCCCCCCCCTCTCTCGGAGTTGACTGTCTTCTTGGAGTTGACACCTGCCAAGGTTGACCTCTCTCGTTGGAGTGGACCCTCTTGTGTAGTTGACCTAGTCACGCTTGACACCTTTAGGGGTTAACACCGCTTATGGTTGACCCTTTTTTGAAGTTTACCTCTCGGGGTTGACCCCTTTCAGGTTGTGACCCCGTCTTGGAGTTGACCCCCATCATCAGGGTTGACCACTCAGGGTTGACTAATCTCTTGAGTTGACCCCTTCTTGAAGTTGACCTGTATCAGGGTTCAACCCGTCTTGGAGTTGACCCCCATAATCAAGTCTGACCACTCAGGGTTGACTAATCTCTTGAGTTGACCCCTTCTTGAAGTTGACCTGTATCAGGGTTCAACCCGTCTTGGAGTTGACCCCCATAATCAAGTCTGACCACTCAGGGTTGACTAATCTCTTGAGTTGATCCCTTCTTCAAGTTGACCTGTATCAGGGTTCAACCCGTCTTGGAGTTTACCCCCATCATCATCATCAAGTCTGACCACTCAGGGTTGACTCATCCCTTGAGTGGGCCCCCTCCTTGGAGTTGACCCCCATCATCATCATCATCAAGTCTGACCATTCAGGGTTGACTCATCGCTTGCGTGGGCCCCCTCCTTGGAGTTGACCCCCATCATCATCATCATCAAGTCTGACCACTCAGGATTGACTCATCGCTTGCGTGGGCCCCCTCCTTGGAGTTGACCCCCATCATCATCAAGTCTGACCACTCAGGATTGACTCATCGCTTGAGTGGGCCCCCTCCTTGGAGTTGACCCCCATCATCATCAAGTCTGACCACTCAGGGTTGACTCATCCCTTGAGTGGGCCCCCTCCTTGGAGTTGACCCCCATCATCATCATCATCAAGTCTGACCACTCAGGATTGACTCATCGCTTGCGTGGGCCCCCTCCTTGGAGTTGACCCCCATCATCATCATCAAGTCTGACCACTCAGGGTTGACTCATCCCTTGAGTGGGCCCCCTCCTTGGAGTTGACCCCCATCATCATCATCATCAAGTCTGACCACTCAGGATTGACTCATCGCTTGAGTGGGCCCCCTCCTTGGAGTTGACCCCCATCATCATCATCAAGTCTGACCATTCAGGATTGACTCATCGTTTGCGTGGGCCCCCTCCTTGGAGTTGACCCCCATCATCATCAAGTCTGACCACTCAGGATTGACTCATCGCTTGCGTGGGCCCCCTCCTTGGAGTTGACCCCCATCATCATCAAGTCTGACCACTCAGGATTGACTCATCGCTTGAGTGGCCCCCCCTTGGAGTTGACCCCCATCATCATCATCAAGTCTGACCATTCAGGGTTGACTCATCGCTTGCGTGGGCCCCCTCCTTGGAGTTGACCCCCATCATCATCAAGTCTGACCACTCAGGATTGACTCATCGCTTGAGTGGGCCCCCTCCTTGGAGTTGACCCCCATCATCATCATCAAGTCTGACCATTCAGGATTGACTCATCGCTTGAGTGGGCCCCCTCCTTGGAGTTGACCCCCATCATCATCATCATCAAGTCTGACCACTCAGGATTGACTCATCGCTTGCGTGGGCCCCCTCCTTGGAGTTGACCCCCATCGTCATCAGGATTGACCTCCTCCTGGAGCCATGCGCCACCACCTCCGTGCCGTGTGTCTGTGCGCGGTGGCCCTGGCTCTGTGTGTGGCCGTGGCCCAGGCGTCGCTCGGAGACCGGCAGCCCCACTATGCGCAGTGCGTGAAGCGGTGCTCGAGGAGCAACTGCACGGGCCACGTGCGGCCCTTTTACATGCCCTACACAGGTGACAGCTGCCCACAGGAGTACCGGTAACCGAATGGAGAGAGGATAAACACGGCTATCGGTTTTGCCGCACGTATATACACATGGACAACGCGTCGTATGAGCAACCACCAACACCCTCGGACATAAAAACAAAACATTGGCGGTGGTGTACAAATATAAATACAAGGTCTCGCGAAAGAGTTGTTTTGGTGTTTTGAGTAGCAACGATCCTGGAAACTCACGCGTAGCAAATGCGTGGGGAAGCTGTCACTTTGGAAGTCACAAACGATGTAACAATAATCGGTGAAAAGTGTGCTTCAGATTTGACCTGCAGCAGGCCAATTAATGAGTTGTACATGTGGGTGAGTGACTCATTTTCCACCTGTTGAATGGTGCTGAAACTGTCGTAATATTCTACATAGTGTCAGCGTCGTACCCGACTTAATGTAGTACTGCACATGCAGTTATGTTTTGCTGTAGAAAAAAAAGTAAACACTGGCATAGTTACTGTGTAGTCTATATCATCACCAGCCTTGATCCGTCTGCTGGATGAAGGCCTCCCCAAGCTGTTGCTGCCGTTCCTCGTGCTCTCGCGATCTAACAATCCATTAGCTCTGGCACGTGTGCAGATCTCATTCCTTCATCCCCGATGGGGGAATGCCCTCTTGGGCATATTTCCTCCTTTGGCTTTAATTCCAACGTAAGTCTTCATCCCATCTGGCGATGTAACATTTGCAAGCTCACTTAGTTTTTTTGTACCAGCCATTATAACAACCGATGGAAATGTGTTTCTACAGGTAACTGATCGAACTTAATAAAAATGCTGCAAAGTTGGGCTTTATATATTCACATCTCATCATTAGATAATTTGAATGGTGGATTATATGGCTGCTTTGTTTTTTAATTCTGTCTTGCCTGGCAGGCTGGCTGTGTGAGGATGAGTGCAGATACACGTGCATGTGGGACACTGTTGCATTATTCCTCAAAGAAGGTCGCAGTATCCACAGTTCCACGGAAAGGCAAGTTGAACTAATATTTCCGCGAGAAGCCACTGACGTAACCCTGAATATGAGATTTGGTGGCAATTCTTGCGTTTTTATGATAAAGTAATTGAAGCATCAGTTTCATGTCACTGTCAGTTTTATCACAACCCTTATTATTTTTCACTCGGAAATGTGATTCAGAAATTCTAAACACTTGGCTAATGAGTGTATAACAAGCAGTGCCAGTAGACGAATCATTAAGGCAGTCAAGATGTGTTGTGTACAGTGGCTCACAGGTCAGAGATTCGTGACAGCTTGATTTCACATTAACGACTGTGCCTGTGTCTTTGTCTATTCCCTTAGTGGCCATTTGTTCGGCTATTGTGTATTCAGGAGCCCCTGTCTGCATTGGCTTCACTGCTCAATGGGCTCTCGTATTACGCAGCAATGGTTATGTACCGCAAAAAAATACCGTCCACGGCACCCATCTACCAAACGGTCATCGCTTTTTCTCTGGTGAGCCCTTTTGGTCTTGAAATGTGTATGAACGTGCAGATCTTCGTGTTGGTCAAATTCGTGTTCATAATCGATCGGTGCATTTTTGTTGTTATTTCTTTTGAAATCAATTCTTGGTTTCAAAATTCATGGAATCAATAATCGAATCCAGTAAAATGTTTAGTAACGAAAGAAGCGAATAGGACCTGAGAATGTTCAAACTGAACGGCGAGTAATTGGTCAGTGGCAGCCTTCATTAGGCACCAGAGGCCAGGCTCATCAGTCATTGTGTGGTTCGTTTCAGCAGACGCAAATACACACACACGGGGCTGGATTTAACCTTTTTTTGGAATACATTTTGAAATACGTGGCAACCCGTTCATTGATTTTCATCGTTTTATTGCACATGATTATTGATAATGCAAAAAAAAATTAACGTAAGAACCTGAGGTCAAATATACACATAAGACCCTGGGGTGGAAACATTTGTAGTAAATGTCTATTTGATATAAAACACGTTCCTTCGGAGTGGGCAGGTAGGAACTTGGTTAGACAGCGCATTCGTGCGATCCGTGTCACGCGGCGCAAGCTGCGTGACACAAATCGAGGGTGTGGCTATGCACGACAGACAGACAGACAAATAATCCCTGGTGGGCAATGTGGATCTGTTGTTCCTACCTGTATTACATTTTCAGTAGCATAGTAAGTACCAGGTAATTATTTTAGCATTCTACCTGGGGTTGGTTAAACCTGAAAGGTCCTATAAGTGAATTGTGGCAGTCACTTTACTTGACTAGTTGTGCATAAAAACGTGATGAATAGAGTCACTTATTTCTGCGCATTGCATCTCGTAGGCTATACATCATTTGCAAATGCTCGGCGACCCATGGAATTAATGTCATTGAATTTTGTTAAATGAATGTGATTTCAAAAATTACAACTACGATGTGTCTTGTCTCAGATTGGAATGAACACTTGGCTTTGGTCAACAGTGTTTCACTGCAAAGATACACCTTGGACCGAGGTCAGTCTCTCTCTCTTCCTTAGTAAGGAACTTGTGTTTTACACTTTTATATGGTGAGCAGTGGCACATACAGCTAAATAATTTGGAATGGACAAATAGTTTTCAAACCAAGGGTACTATGTCAGAACTAAGTTCCCTACAGGTTTTTTTTTCATTTCTAATTAACCACCTGTGACAGAGTTTGTATCCGTTGCATTTGATAGCGTGCTCAAGTCATTCATTCTTACATTTGTGACAATTATGAGTACCTTTGACGTACAACAGCCGTCTAAACAGCGGGGGGAGAAGGAAACTGTCCCTTTAGCTCCTGCTTGGGTGCACCTTTGGAATTTGAGTGACCACATTGTGGAAATATCTACAATTTACCCAAAAAAATTGCATTAACCTGAATGTGTAAACTTCATTTCTAGAAAATGGATTACTTCTCTGCAACTTCACTCATCCTTTATTCCATCTACTTCTGCTGTATAAGGTCAGCTTGTCTTTTGCTCACTGAAATATGAATTATTAATCGGATCTCACTTTCCTGTATGGATTGCATTATTGAAAATGAATGCCTTGACATTCCAATTCATTTGCATTAAACCTCTAGCAATAAGACATCCATGCTAAGTAGCTTGGTTGGCTTGGGCTTTTGGAACGGCAATGAAATGAGGTCCCCTATGATCCGTTGCTATCTCCTCTCACCTCGCGTCTCTGCATGCCGATGGCATGCATCGCACACCCGCGCATCTCCAATGATATAGGCCATGGCGTCTTGGTGTCATGTGAATGCACCCACCAATTACAGCTCACCCAACTGCACAACTTGACATTGCCACTCCTCCCGAGTTCCAATAATCATCCGCCCTGGGCAGAGGCTTACATTGCCTACGCCTAAAGCCGGCATTGTCAGAGTTCCCGACCAGCTACCAGCGCTCGTCCCTTGCGTTCCCTCCTCCTTGTGACGAGGAAAGCACGGGCCTCTCCAGCCCTTGGGCCCCCGAGCAATTGCGACACCCTGCACGCTTGATGGCTCTGCCAGTGGGTTGCCGCCGACACTGTAGTCTGCTTTGCAGGACGGTGGGACAGCGGCATCCGGGTGCGGCGTCTGTCTTCGGAGCAGTCCTCGTGTCGTTCTTCGCCTATCACGTCTGGTACATGGGCTTCGTCCGCTTCGACTATGGCTACAACATCATCGCCAATGCTACCATAGGTGTGCCGTCGGTTTCTACACTGCCGCTAGCCAACGCCACTTGAGTTTCTGTAGTAGAAATAGACATGCGTTTGATTTATTTATTCATAAACATGTACAACCCTTTCGTCGTTCCCCCTGCTGGAGGAGAACCTATACGTGCCTGTCTGGCTCATGTTTGACCATACTTCACCACGCATGTCAGTACTGGTTAGTGAAGGTGAGGATATTGGAACAGCGTACAACAATGGATTTTGTCGCACTGCCCTCTGCTGACAATTTCGCATCACAGCAGCCTCCAACACCTGTAGAATATGCATGGTGATGGTTGCCCATTCAACCGCTATCCAGGACCTAACGCTGCTTAGCTTCCGCGATGTGATGAGATCCGGCACATTGCGGAGGATTTGGTCATAGGCAATTCAATATTGATATTCAATATTAATTATTGATGTTTTTCTAAACTTTGAGATGTGCGGGAAGAGAGGCAAGCGCTCGGGATCAATGACAACTTCATGGTTCCGAACACTCTTTGCCAGCATGCTGTTAGAGTTTAGGGAGGGTACACTCAATCTGCTGTCTTGATTGAGGGCTGGACTTTTGTGCTCAATCTGAGTGCTTTAGTTTCGGCAACAGTTGGTTGGTGGAAGTTATAACAAATCCTACCAGCAAAACAAAACCAAACGAAAGCAGTTAACCGCTGCATGTATGCTTTGTTTACTGCACGCGCAGGTCTGGTGACCCCGCTGTGGTAACGGTGTGTGTGCGCGATGGTCTGGTGAACCTGCTGTGGTGGTTTGGTCTGCATGCGCGTTCATTGTGCTGTCACATACACACAGGTCTCGTGAACCTTCCGTGGTGTTTGGGTTGATGCGTGTACACGAAGGTTTTAGTGACCTTGCTGTGGTGGTATGGTGTGCGTGCGTCTCCATTGTGCGGTCACGTACAAGCAGGTCTCGTGAACCTACTCTGTTGGTTTGGTGTGCATGCGTTGTGCGGTCAAATAACACACAGGTCTGGTGAACCTACTCTGTTGGTTTGGTGTGCATGCGTTGTGCGGTCAAATAACACACAGGTCTGGTGAACCTGCTGTGGTGGTTTGGTGTGCATGCGTTGTGCGGTCATATAACACACAGGTCTGGTGAACCTGCTCTGTTGGTTTGGTGTGCATGCGTTGTGCGGTCAAATAACACACAGGTCTGGTGAACCTACTCTGTTGGTTTGGTGTGCATGCATTGTGCGGTCAAATAACACACAGGTCTGGTGAACCTGCTGTGGTGGTTTGGTGTGCATGCGTTGTGCGGTCAAATAACACACAGGTCTGGTGAACCTACTCTGTTGGTTTGGTGTGCATGCGTTGTGCGGTCAAATAACACACAGGTCTGGTGAACCTACTCTGTTGGTTTGGTGTGCATGCGTTGTGCGGTCAAATAACACACAGGTCTGGTGAACCTGCTCTGTTGGTTTGGTGTGCATGCGTTGTGCGGTCAAATAACACACAGGTCTGGTGAACCTGCTGTGGTGGTTTGGTGTGCATGCGTTGTGCGGTCAAATAACACACAGGTCTGGTGAACCTGCTGTGGTGGTTTGGTGTGCATGCGTTGTGCGGTCAAATAACACACAGGTCTGGTGAACCTACTCTGTTGGTTTGGTGTGCATGCGTTGTACGGTCAAATAACACACAGGTCTGGTGAACCTGCTCTGTTGGTTTGGTGTGCATGCGTTGTCCGGTCAAATAACACACAGGTCTGGTGAACCTGCTCTGTTGGTTTGGTGTGCATGCGTTGTGCGGTCAAATAACACACAGGTCTGGTGAACCTGCTGTGGTGGTTTGGTGTGCATGCGTTGTGCGGTCAAATAACACACAGGTCTGGTGAACCTGCTGTGGTGGTTTGGTGTGCATGCGTTGTGCGGTCAAATAACACACAGGTCTGGTGAACCTACTCTGTTGGTTTGGTGTGCATGCGTTGTGCGGTCAAATAACACACAGGTCTGGTGAACCTGCTGTGGTGGTTTGGTGTGCATGCGTTGTGCGGTCAAATAACACGCAGGTCTGGTGAACCTACTCTGTTGGTTTGGTGTGCATGCGTTGTGCGGTCAAATAACACACAGGTCTGGTGAACCTGCTGTGGTGGTTTGGTGTGCATGCATTGTGCGGTCAAATAACACACAGGTCTGGTGAACCTGCTGTGGTGGTTTGGTGTGCATGCGTTATTCGGTCAAATAACACACAGGTCTGGTGACCCTGCTGTGGTGGTTTGGTGTGCATGCGTTGTGCGGTCAAATAACACACAGGTCTGGTGAACCTGCTGTGGTGGTTTGGTGTGCATGCGTTATGCGGTCAAATAACACACAGGTCTGGTGAACCTGCTGTGGTGGTTGGGCTGGTGCTTGCGAGGCCACCGTGAGCGGCCATACGTGTGGCGCTGCGCCGCCGTCGTGATCTGCCTGCACGGCCTGGCGCTGCTTGAGCTGCTCGACTTCCCACCGCTGCTTTGGACCTTGGATGCGCACGCGCTGTGGCACATCGGCACCATCCCCCTGCCCTTGGTCTTCTACAGGTCAGCTGGGCTTGCCACCCCAACACTTAAGAGTCCCTCTTCACCTTGGAGCACTGCAGTGCCTGTCCTCAAAATAACGTGGAAGCATATCCCACGTCCCGCATACAAACAGGGACTTTTGAGGGACCCCTGAAGATAAAATTACAAGCTGTAAATCTAATCAATCGGACTTTCATGAAAATAATGGGGTTTTGTTAAGAACGTGGATATACTGGACACCCCTTGTCTGAAATGGTCTGATATTTTGAATATACTGTATTCGCGTTGTGCAAGCTGAGAGCCCCAAGGTGTAAACAAATATCCCTAATATTTGGTCCTCTGGAGCAAATGTTTGTAACACCAGAGGAAAAAAATATTTGTTCCTATCAGTGACCATTGGTTGAGATTAGGGTTTGAGTGTGCACAGGTCCACTGCGCTTGGCCCCACCATAAAGTTACAGTCAACCACACCATTGCAGCACCCTTAGTCACAACTATTTATTCAGACCTTCACTGCTGGATGATGGTCTCCCCATGCCAAATCGATCTTGGGGGTTGTTTGACCAATACTTGACCACAATGGTCAATGTGGGTTGGTGAAGAGGGCGGCAGTGCAGGATTGCTTCAGATATGACTCGTCATTGACATTAGCCAATGTCGGGGCTCTACCCCAAGAGTTGTGAGGCAGCCCAGCCTGGATACAGCTGCAAGTCACCCCAGCTCTGACCCTTTTAAGCTATTTTGAAGATTAAGCCATACCTCCGATTAGCATGGTTGGCTACGTACGGTTCGAAAGAAGTTCAACATACATACAGAGCCAACCACTGTTCCATTGAAAAGTGTCTTTGCACACCGTGTCGGGCTTTTGCATTTATTTCACAAGGGCTTTGCAACTGGATCTTGTGACAACATTTAACAGTTGTTATTTTAAGTTACATTGTCTGGAAAATAATTTGTCTTGTGTCTTTGAAGTGTGTTTGCGCTGCCCTTGTCTGCAATGCCTTGTCATGCCAAGTTATTCACATGACTTTTTCATTTTTCAGGTTTCTTATCGAGGACAGTTTGTATCTTCTGAAGGAACAGGAGCTCAAGAAGATCTATTGATGGGTGGAGAAAAGAGAATAGGCTGCTTTATCTACTCTTAGCCGTGCCAAATAACACACACTAAGATTTCTTTGTGTGTTTTTTTTTTCTTCTGAATTTGCCACGTTATTGGGTAAGGAACTGACGAGTGTCATGCTGGTGTTTACGATCAAACTATCCGGGGTGAATCGCAGAATGTTGTCTTAAACACTGTAGCCTTTAAGCCACTGTTTTCAAAGGCAGTTGTTGTGCTCTTATGGAGAGTTTCTCGAGCTTTGTGTTAAGGACAACACTTGTACTTTTATATATGCCAATGCAGCACTGATTACGTCAGCTCTTTAAGTTTTGATAAATTCTTGATTCATGGGACATGTTAAGGAATCTCACAAAAATACAGATTCCTATTGATGTGGTGTATTTTGTAAGCTGTTTCAATGTGCCTCTATGATTCGGGGTGTCTTATGAGCAGTGTGATGTGTTTCTAACTTTTATATTGACTTGTATTTTTTGAGGCCTTTACTGCTTTGAATTATAAGGTGACTGAGGTGTACACATTTGTGGAGTTGTAGTAAAAAATGAGGAGCTATTAAGGCACATACACACTCTCGTCTGTCTAATTTGTTCCTTTAGTACGCATCAGCTATTATTTATCCACTGCTGGATGAAGCCCCCCCCCCCCCCCCCCCCCCATGTAACCATCAAGTTCCTTTCATTCCACAAGCCATCTCCTGCACTTGAACCGATTTAAGTCACTGCTCCAAGGTGGTCATCATCTCGGGTGTTTTCCGTCACCATTCTTGTCCATCGGCCATCATCCCTTCAAGCAACATATCTAGCCTAAGCCCACAATGGTCGACACAATAATTCGTTTTTTGATCCATGTGTTCCACTTTCAATATAATTCACAACATGCATCGCTTCATACTTCTTTGCTTATTTTCAGCTTTTAAATTTTTTTGTCAGAGTCCATGTTTTCGATCCATATTTCAATTATTTCCCTAGAGAGATATTTCTTTGTTGTGCCTTTCAGTTGTGCCCCTGTAACAATTATTTCCTTGGTTCACCAAGGGGCTTCCTCATGCCATGGCATCAAACAGATTATTTTACCATACTTCACGCTGACCGGTGCAGATTGGTTAATGGTGGGAAGCATCGGGCAAAGAAGCACAAGACAAGGTTCTGACCTGCCTCTACTGGACATCTGTTTAAAAGATATTCATAGGTCATCGGATTCCTGCAGGATAAATACAGATTCTGATTCTGAACATGGGATTTTTCTTTTTCTGCGATGTCCTCTGCTGCCCACGAAGTAACCCGGTGCCCGCCTATAACAAGCTGGCGTGCATGGAAGTAAACCCATTCAAGCACTATCCAGGCTCAACTTTGCTTAGCTTCCGAGATCTAGTGAGGTTGGGTGCATTCCGGTTGATTTTGATCACTAGTGAAAGAATGTGTCTAAATCACTACTGGACTTTCTCTAGGTGGCATCGGTGGAATACAGTAAAAAAAAATATAGCGAAAAAGGCACATACTCTCGTCTGTGTAATTTGTTCATAGAGGCTATTATTTATCCGCTGCTGGATGAAGGCCTGCCCATGTCACCATCAAGTTCATTTCTCATCATCAAGTTCCTCGATGGTGCAATCCAAATAACGAGAGTAGCAGCACGTATTTATGTATGGTACTGTATACATACCTGCATATATTGGCAAAAGTAACATGTAGCTTTAGCCCAATTCCATGGGAGGAAGATTGCTTAGTTAACTGATGGTAAAATACGAAACACTTTATTTTTAAAATAGTTCAGTAGGAATATGCAAATCAAGCTGTGGGTGTAATTTGTTTGGGAGGGTGGTGGGCGCATAGGTTGTCGGGTCCTAATTAAAAAATGTATTATTTATGTTTGGTGTAAGGGCCTGACTCATCTAAATTAGCGGCAACGTATAGCTTTGTATATTTTGCCAGTATTTAGATGTCAAATTACATCAAATATATGCAGATTTTAGAATATCAAGTCATCTTTAATTCAACACCCATCAAGCCCTACAGATACAAACTATCGTAGGCCGGAGTTCAAAGGGTGAACAAAACAATCTTTGCACACCTCATGTTGGGGGGGGGGGTCCAATTAAAAACATTTTCTTTCCCTCCATCATAAACATTAGCTCACTTATATTTGAGCCGAATTTCAGATGGTTAGCCCTTCTAGATTATCGTGAGAATTGTATACGTAATCCAAAATGTGCATGTATGATGTGTGCTCTAAAGGCACTAAAGGTGATATGATGTGTTTTGTTGTTATTGTATACACGGGGCGCGGGCGTGCGAGAGCACGGCCACTACTGAATGTTGGATCAAATGTTGGGGTCACGCAAGGGACAAGGGACCACGCCGAGACAAAGGAACGAAAAAATTAACCCGTAAAAACAAAGTTTTTCACTATAAATCCTTTATATGCGTGGCGACTAGAGTCCTCTCATCCTCTGGCTTGAGATGTCTGCCACCTATGGGTCAGATGATTGCCTGCCACCATTAAGCAATTGGTAATTAAATATAATTTATTTTTTCCTAAAAAGTGTAAAATTTTGGAATATTTTTTCAGGAACATTAATTGTCACGCACAACGAGTCTGTGTGCAAAATATCAGCTCGATTGGATCACGGGAAGTGGGTTAAAAAACGACCGAAAGATTTGCACGGTCGTAAGCGCGCAAGCAAGTGAACTTAATATAAAGGATTTAAAAAGGGGGCGATGGAGATGGGGGGGGGGGACCTCCAAAGATATAACGAGGAGAGAGGTTATATCAAGAGGTGTGGGACGAAGGCCAGGAGCTCTCCAGGGAAGAAAAGGCTGATGTCAACAACAAGTGTTCGTGTTGGCGTTGAACGGAATAATGATGATAGTTCCGTTGCCAGGACGGCTCGTGTGGACAAGGCCGTTTTCTCAGCTTCATTCAGATTTGGGTCAATTTTGAATACCGTGTAATCGGGTGCGTGAGCCCAATTGGCACGGGATCAGGGGAAGATTGCACGAACATATTTATAAGTGGAGAAGTTTGCTGTTTATGTTAAGCGAGGCGAGGGGTGGGGGTGCTGAACGGTACTTTATTATTGGGTGCTAAACCCCTTTTTTTGAGTTTCATTTTATTTGTGTTAGTTTCATATTTGTACCTCACATTGCATTTCTCAGACTTCTCTGTCTCAGGAATGTAGGGCAATAAATTAATGTTATATAAATGGTAATTAGACCCAGGAACAAGCATCCTCACAATTCAACAGCGTTTCCCGGCAATTATCAGTTTAGGGGGGGATCCATTTAGTGCGTATGCATGGAGGGGGGGTTAACCCAAATGCGTACGCTTGCATATGGGGGGCTCTACTTACAATGTACGTACGCATAGGGAACGGGGGGGGGGGGTGAAGCCTCGATAATTGTCTAAATTGGCCTTCAAATGAGCCACAGTTCAGTTTCTTCAGCTGTCAGACAAGTACTACCGGGAGAAGTGGGACTGTGGGAGAGGTGTCACGTGTGTGCCACCGTGCCCCTGACTGCAGCTATCACGCAGCTCAGCAGTGAGTCTGACAGAGTGTGGCGGCCTGCCCCATGGATTACACATCCTGCAATCTGGCCTCACTGCAGACTGCCGCTGACTCAAGATTTTAGCTGTCAAACGACACCAGCGCGCATTCACACGACTGAGTCTTCTGACAGCATAATCAAAAGCTGATGATGATGATCACGACAGCGACGCTGTGGATCTTGAGACGGCGGCCCAGCAGACTGCAGCTAACGCTGTTGTGCTTCAGCCTGACATTGCGTGTGTTGGCGAAACCCATATAATGCGTCACCTGTTCGACTGGGTTCAGTCGGCGTTTGAACCTAGCTGACACCAGACAAACCTTTTAAAGGTGTAGTGACGACAGGGACGGTCGAGCTTGAGACAACACCCGTTTTTTAACATTAAGCACTCCCAGGCTAGCTGCCACCCGTCCTCTCAAGGAGACGACCTGATCTGGCCCTGGCTAGGCACAGATCCCGACTACCAGCCACACGAAGTCAGCCCTTTAAAGGACATCGACCTTCGCTGCTCTGGCCGGCCCTTAGAAGGACAGCGACCAGAGAAGTTCCAGGGACGAGCTTGCTGGCCTTCGATCTTCACTGGCTCTTCATCTTGACCCGTTCCCAACGTCTGCCTCGAGCTCTCTGGCTCTCCGCCTTTTATACCCACTTGCCGCCGAGGGGCGGGGCTGTGTGGGATCACAGCATCCCCACACAGCTCCCCAGGGTGGTTTGCGGACGTGGATGTGGACACCCCCTGTGTGAACATCCTTTTCCCTCCCGTGACACCCCTACACAGGTACGCAACTTAATTATTTAATGTAGCCGGCGGTGGACTATCTGTTTGCTTAAACACGTTAATATTATTAATCCTTGATCGTTTCTGCGTGGATTAAATATCGGCCGTTCTGTAGGATTCTGGGGTGGAGGGGTGTGTCAGGCGTATGTACGCAGGTGGGGGGGGGTTAAAAGTCCGCGTGCATACAGGGAGGGGGGGAGGGGTCAAGTTTTGACAGATTTTTGCGTACCCACTAAATGGATGGCCCCTTAAGTCGTAACAGTTAGCGTCGTATCGTTTTAACGTCGTTCGCAAATAGGGGACATTGTCACTCACTATTAAGTTGTGCTTTTGTGTTGCGCTATTGCGTTAGCAAAGCGACTACAATATTAACTATTGGTAAAAAACTGTAGTAACATTTTAAATAAATAGTGCATAAAGCCTGTCTTCGCCAGGCAAACATTTCCAATACATATAATAAGTAATTTGATATGGTTACATTTGTTTAATTTACGATCAGACACGAACAACTACTCCAAAAATGTGTATTTTTCTGCAACAACTTCACAATTGAAAGATTCTGATTTTTTTATTAGAAAGAACAACATTAATTAACTTTAGTCTCTATAAGGGGAAACTTCTATCTTTTATCGTTTTCGATTTATTCAGATTTTAATATCATAAAATGCGTATTTTTTGGTTCAAAATCGCTTGAATCCGAAATATCTGAAAAACAATAAAAGATAGAACCAATGGTTATCGCTTTAATTTTATTTGATGTTTAATACTCTATCAAACGAAAGTAACCGCAATCTTATATTGTGAACGGTTTCTGAATGACACGCACAAATATGTTTATGGGGCACTTAAAATCTAGATTTGGGCGCTTTAAAATAAAAAAAAATTCGAATTTTCGTTCCTGTTGTTTGTGTCCTAAAGGCTACCTCTGCACCAATATTTCAGCTTTCTACCTTGTCGCAGAGTACCCTCGAGGTGTTTTGGATACACTAAAATCAATAAATAATAACATTGTCCATCTACAGTGCTATATAAAGAAAAACAATTATGTCGAGTGATTCGCGTCGCGATGGTGAAAATGTTTATAGTCGTTTCGACCAATCAGCGCGCGGTGCTTGGTGGGCAATTGCAACCTTATGACTGCACCGAAGACTACATTGGTAAGCGTGAATATATTTGACAATACACTTTCTTTTATTTGTGTAAACATTTTTATTTTAATGCTGTACAGTAGAAAATATTTTCAATATAAATTGTGATTTATTAAGACTTTACATATGGAGTATTGGAGTCCTGTGGAACGTACCTCCTGTATTGTAGTCCGTTTTTACAGGGAAACAGTGGATCAGTTAACGTCGTATCCGTTTAAGTAGTGTTTTCCAAGAATTGTAACCCCGAATTAAACTGATAATTCCCGGTGCTGAGTAATACTATTTATAGTTTTTTTCATGATATTGTCTCGTACTCAAACGCTTTTATGGATAAATGGCTTTCATGTGCCTATTTAAAAACGTCATCGTAATACATTAAACATTTTCAATCCTCATCAGACCGAATGGTATAAAGTGCAGTCACCCGTTACTCTATCTCTGGCCTCAATGTGCTCTGAAGAAGGGCCATTGTTAGAAACGTCACCTCTCATATATATTTTTATTTGAAGGCCACGTGCTACTGATGAATGTGTTAAATTTATTGTAACTTAAATAAGGATTATCTGTGTCGTCTCGTGTCTCGAGCGACTCGTGCCTTGGCAGACCCCACTAAGCAATGCCCGCAACAATGGGAGATATTTTCATACATTTTATTGAAAATGACAACGTTGTACAGCTTCTGTGATGTCAGAAAATTATTTCCATGATTCCCGTCGCAGCCCGCTACCCGGAAGTGTTCTAGTCTTTCTCCCCAGTTCTGTCAACTCACCACCAACCACCTCTCCACACGCCCCAGTTATTCTCTCCTATATAGAACTTGCAGAAACTCCCAGGTACCCTTTCTATCTTCCCAACATTCACATTCCTTTTATCCATAAGCCCCCACCACTCATCCCTATTGCCCATTCCAAATTATTAATTAATTCCTGATTAATCATCCTCTGATTCAGATTATAATCCGTTTAAATTGAACATTGTGTCCTTGTTAACCTTACCATGTTTACCGGACTAGTAATACCCGCATACAAACAACCTTCAGTGTGCAGGTAAGGCTGTTTCTGAGTCATCCAGATTAACCAAATCCGCATTCAAATCTCTCTGTTGCAGCACGTGTATTCAGTCACCAATAACCCACGCAACAATGTCACTTTGTCTCCGAGAAATATGCAATGGACATAGCCAAGGCAGGACGTAAATATATCATATTTGTTTTTTTGGAGGCATCAATCTACCCGAGTGCTTGAGCAGCAATATATGCGACAAAATGTTGTGATATTTATAACCGCAAAGGAAAACATTCCTGTTTCACGTTGAGACACATTTTATTTCAGAGATGCTTTAATTTGCAACAATACGCGTGGTTCTTGAAGGGCACATCGCTTATTGTATCTTCATCCTTGTGTCAGTTGTGACATTTTTTTTTGCGTAAAGATAAATTATATATCGTTGCTGAAAATCTAACAAATGAGCACTGATCCGTGGTCATCACTGTAATCATTGTTGGAAATAACAGATGCGTGATTCTAAGCAAAATAAAGTATTAAATACTGCACGTCACGCGCAAACCCAAAGCGCCACCATCTAAAGCATCAAGGGCAAAAGAGCATGAAGGACAAAAAAAACCCAGAAGAAATCTGAATACCAAGCACTCTATTCTTTATTTACCATTTAAATACATTGAACATCTGTCTCCAAGATCATTTTCTATATCTCCCGCTCTCGCAATATAGCAGCTGCTACACGATGCAACACTCTTGCCTTAGACATTTTAAATGAGCCACCAGCAAATTATAATATCACGGTGCTATATTTCATTAGACATTCTAGGTTGCAGAATAAAGCAAATTATCTGTACAGCGGCTAGAGATGCGGTTGCATTTAGATGCCACGTTAATCCAAGTTATATCCCTCTTTGTAATACTAAGAGTAAAACAAAAGCAATCATTGATGACGTTATCATTGGTTTGAGTCTGTGGTATGCATGTCGCTCTGTCGCAGTAAAGCATGTGTGACAGCTCGAGATGCGAGGAGTAGCATCCGTGCCGGATGCCGTGCGATTGGGAATGACCGGCAGCGCATTTCCAGCTTGTATCGTCTCTATTGAGGCAATTAAGCAGAAGCTTGCGCTCCAAGACCCGACGCAAAAGCCGAGTGATAATTAGTCATCGCGAACCCACTGCGAGCCGAGTACACAGCCACACGCAGCTCGCTTCGCGCAATTACATTTCTGCAAAGATAATTTTAAAAAACGTGGAATTGTGTGACACGCCAAAAAAAAAATCGCGTGTCAACAACGGGGGTTTAGGTAATTACAAAAAAAACTCATTTAATATGGAGACTGGGAATAAAAAAAATCTCTGTTAACAGCAATAACAAAATTATGAATTAGTGGCTAAAGCGGGAACGTATCAAAATTTGCCAGACGTAATTGCTCGGGTTGCACGCATGCAGTAAAATGTTGACAGGCATTTAATGTTGCGCACGTGTGACCCCTGCATGGCAGCTAGAAAGCTAATTTTAAACGGACCCCTCGCCATTTGATAAATGCTGCATTTAATACAGTTGCGAAGATTGACATTGATTTTTTTGTGCTCTACGCGTTCCCCAGAATCTGCATTCATTCCGCACACCTGTAGACTGGTGAACTTACACACATTCACTCAGAACACATGCATGCAGGTGAAGTGCATGGCCGCATATCCATCACTTGATATCTGCCTCCAGGTGGATTTCAAATCGTTTACTGGGAACATTGACAAGCAGATTATTCCATATTCTTCACTTGACACCTGCACGCAGGCAGATTGTATCATTGTTCAATCGGGTCACCTGCATGGAGGTGAATTTAATCTTTTTATTTATACACCTGTGTGCAGGTGGCTTCCACACGGTGCACTCGACACCTGCACGCAGGCAGATTGTATCATTGTTCAATCGGGGCACCTGCATGGAGGTGAATTTAATATTTTTATTTATACACCTGTGTGGCTTCCACACGGTGCACTCGACACTTTCATGCAGGTGGTGTACACATAACTCAGTGTTCAGGTTGACTCTCCGTAGCTCACTCTGCGCACCTGCACACGCGTTATTCTCTCTCTCTCTCTATGTGTATCTGTGATCACTCGGCACCGCTGTTGGTTCCTGCGGGAGGCTCCTCGCTGCTGCTCTGAGTGCCCAGCTCGTCGATGGCCATGTCCGGGGCAGTGCGGCTGATGAAGATGAGGCTGGGTCGGCGAGACCTGGCGAATGGGGGGTTCATGCCTCCAGATTCCTGCTCCTTTTTCCCAATCTCCTCTCGCTCCTTCTCTTCGTTATCATCTCGGTCGTCATCATCCTCGTCCTCATCGTCGTCGTCTTTCGGGTACAGGTGCTTTGCCCTCGCCAGAAATGCTTCTCCAATGTCGAGAGTAATCAGGCGGTCCTGTATATTCAGACAAGCAACACACAAATGCACGTGTCTTAGGAGCGTTCTATAATTCGTTGCGTGTAAAGAAATCTGAAATACCAAGCACTCTATTCTTAATTTACTATTTAAATGCATTGAACATCTGTCACCAAGATAATTTTCTATATCTCCCGCTCTCGTAATATAGCAGCTGCTACACGATGCAACAGCCCGTTGTTCATCCAACAGTGGATGAACAACGGGCATGTAAATGATCACACATTGTTACAATCATCACCGCCACGCTGGGCTGTGCGGGATTTTTTTGAAGAGTGGTGGAGGTGTCATAGCCGTTTCAGATATAAATCGTCACTCGTCAGGTTAGCCGTGGCCATGGAATCAAACTCATGTTGCCAGGATCCGATTGCACTCTATTGCTGCACCATTATAATTATTTTTACATTTAAGACGACGCAGCAGAGGTGATCACAGGGCACCAATAACCCTTGGTGACACCATTTCACAGTCTCTCGTCGCAAAAAGCTTTACTTTCCAAAAAACATTTCCAGTCGTATATCTCAATTCCGTCTGTGCCGTTAGGAGATTGTGCAGAGGTGTAAATTTAAAAAAATGCACGGGTGAGGGAATGAGGACAGAGGTTTAACCCTCAACATCCTCTCTGGATGTGCTCTCCTGGTTCCACACCGCGACGTGTAGACATTTGTTTTTCTGTAACGTGTTAGGAGCGCATCGTTTACCGTGGCTCATTGACCTCTATGCAAGGCGCCTAATTTGTCACTGATAATTGTCCGGGTCGCTGGTAATGCTGGAGTAGACACGTGACTGGTAGCCACGGCCAAAGCGAGAGGCACGCTGATGGCGTTGTGTTCCCGGGTGTGAGAAGAGAACTCTGTCTTTTCCAGGTTGCCCACCCGGAAGGAAACCCGGCTAAAATGTAGTCCTGATTATAGGGAGGTATGATCTGTCACTAAATCTAATGATACAACCCGCATTTGTCTCGCCAGAAATCCAGTTATTGCTCGTTAAAATGAGTTTCACTGCGGATAGCATTTTGATTTAGGTACGTGTACTGCCCAATTCACACTCTTAGTTCTTTCGGTAAAGTCACGTAGGTAAAAAATGAAATTAAAATTAATAAAAATAAAACAATAATTTAAATTTAATTTTTTTACCTACGTGACTTTACCGAAAGAACTAAGAGTATGAATCCTTGCAGTCACGAAAGCTTCAAATCTAGAATTACTGCCCAATTGTCAATCCACTGCTGGATGAGGGCCTCCCCATGCCGTGTGATTCATCGGGGGTTGTTTGATCATAATTCCCCATGCTGGTCAGTGCAGGTTGGTGAAGGCAGAGGAGCATAAACGTGGGAGCATAGTACACTGCATTGTATGTATGTTGAACAACATTGCATGTTGCCGCACTGTAACAAATAAGATGAACATTCGCCTACTAAGAGGTATATTTGTGGGGCTATTTTGGTTGGGAGGGAGTGGGAGTGTAGAAAGCTGCAAGGGTAGAGAGGAAAATGAGACAGTAGTGTGGTTAAGATGGAAACAAACATTACTCATGACTCAAAGTTATTCAAATGTAGCGGAGATCACAAAAGTCCGAAGGCTAGCCTTGTACAGGGATAGGGTCTCCGCAGTGCAATGAACCAAAAAGGAAGAATTTGAGGCCACACTTTGTGGGAAATTGAATGGTCATTTTACTCATAGACTATCCTTTACCATAGGAATGTGAAATTCCTACCACTTGGCTCAGGACCGCAAAACGAGATGAACTCGAAATCGATTGCTTGTTTTAACAGGGACATACTCTGACTCTCCGTGCATGGGGTGTGTATGTGTTTGTCGCTCAACTCACCAGAACGAATATATATCTCTCAGGAGGGCCCGAGATATCCTTGAAGATGCTGGTGTCATCAGCCAGAAGCTGCAGAATCTCCTTGGCTCTGGTGACATTCTTCATGTTGTTGAGTGAGCTGGAGCCTGTGACGGACAGGAGGGTGTCTGCCTCCTTCTCGAATCCTGTGGGAGGATGAGCCGTGGTGTCCTTTGTTTACACGGGGGTGACGATGCTGCAGCGTGGTGAAGTATGGTCAAATCGATCACCCACACAGTGGATTGGCAATACATGCTGAGAGCAGGTTGGGGTGCCTTTGGAAATATGAACTTGAGAATGAAAATGGAAGAACGTGTTTAATTGGTGCGTACTACCTGCTATGACATTTATTCAGAAACTTATCGATTCACAAAACAATAGAGCGAAAACTGAGCGCCTTCTTAATCTAAATGCCTTATTATTATTAAAGGTGTGCAGAGAAGCATGTGGAGATGAGTGCTTGGAATTACATTGTATCTGTACCTGAGAATTATGAGGTGGATTGTGGCAAAATCTCTAAGGAATGGGAGGCGGAATGAGGAAGTTTGAGCCGAAGCAGGGGCAAGGCGCCACGGTGGCGAGATATCAACTCCCTCGCCTGGTATGGAGCAGGCCATGGGTTCGATCCAGACCCTGACGCCTGTATATTTGGAGTTTGTGTGTCTCTCTCTCCGTGGTCGCCTGGGTTTTTCTCCGGGTTCTCCGGGTTTCCCTCCACATTTGGAAACATGCGTTTAAAGTATTCGGCTGCTATACATTTCCACATGATAAGCCACTTCGTTGAGCTATCATTTGTAGCCAAGTCGCTTCTGAAAATAAGCTATATAGATCAGTGGGCCTTACCTGGTGAAATACAAAGTTTAGTTTAGCTAATATTGTTGAGGTCAGGAAGGCGAGACTGAATATGTTTGGGCACATGTTGAGAAGAAACAAAAACATGAAATTTGAAGAACTATGGATATTAGAGACTCAGACTCACATAGAGACCCACCGTCTCACTTAAGAGACCCATAGACTCATATAGAGGTATATATTCATACAGAAACTCATGCAGAGACCCACCGACTCACACTGATACACATAGACACACACAGAGACCCATGGACTCGCATAGAGACCCATATATTAGAAGGGCTCTAGGAGATGCCACTGGTCCAGGGGAAGGAGTAGAGGGAGACTGAAGGTGAGAGGGAAGGATGTTGTGAAAAGAGGTGTGAAGAGAGTGAATGTGACGAGAGAATTGGCACAGAATAGAAGCTCATGGGGAAAGAAAATACGAGCAGCCCACCGTAGACAGTAATGGGATTTCTGGCTTAGAAGAGGAGGAGGTGAGACTTATGCAGTTTTCACAATCGGAGATGTCCTTCTTTGAGGAGGCTTTTGAGATGTTCTGCACACACAAGGTGTGATTATAGGTGGTGTGTGTTGAGAACGTTATCCGCATTAAGCCTTAGAAGTAATCCAGCATCGTTATAATATACACTATAGTGGATCTTGTGCAAGTATATCAGCCTTGTGTGATTAAATTTCTCCAGATTAGCTTTTTGGGCCCTATGTAATTCTATGGGCCCTCTGTAGGCTGATGGATCCTATGGGAGTTTATGGGCCCTATGTAAGTCTATAGACCATACGGGAGTCTATGGGCCCTTAGGTAAGTCTATAGGCCATATGAGTGTGCATGCGTCCTATGTAAGTGTAGTGACGTAAATGGAGTCACTATAGCGTATAGCGCCAGCTACTGTCACAAGAGTGGAACTGTGCGTCTTGAGCCTCTCTCTGGCACCAGAGTAGGCATGACATGGAAGCGGGCCTTAGGGGCCATAGTTCTGGTGACGGTCAGAGAGAGAGGGCAAGTATGGACGTGACAGTCTGGGTAAACCCGAGAGGGCACATGACCAGAACACGGTAGCGAGAGGGCCCAAAGTGTGGTTTGAGGGACACGTGATGCTCGGTCGAGAACCTTCTGGTGAGATCCAGAAGGAGGCGTGGCTGAAGGCGGAGCGAGGCCACACCTCTCGGGAGCATAAAAGGGAAGGTCCCGAGAGCAATCGCGGCTGTCTGCTGGATGGAACCATCGGTGCTACGTCTCTTCGGTCTTTGGTCGTTACACTCGGCATTGCGGATCAGGCAGTGTGTCGCTGACCTGACCCGTTTATGTAGTTACCCTGTTGGGGTCTAGTAACTGTGTGCGTTCATGTAGAAACGCTGTTGGAGTGTTATAATAAACGTGTTGCCTCCAGGTCAAGTGTTTACCTCCGTAGAACCCACTACATAAGTACATGGGTCCTGATAATTGATTCTTTACCCTTCTATCTGGCAACAAAACTGACACCTTTTTGCAAGGAGTCATGTTTGCATAGACCGCAATACCTGCAGTCATAATACAAACAAAAGAAACATAACTCTGATAATGTGCACTGTCCTTGAAGTTGATTGGTCCACACCCGAGACAGCTTTCCTTCGAGCCTAGTCTCATATGGGTTGGACCAGATGACGCCAAAAGGCGCACAACTCAAGGACAATGCACCATCAGAGTATGAGAGCTCGGGGCAAGCATCTACACTATGGGGACCTCATTTGCCAGTAAAAATATGATAATTGATTCTTTACCCTTCTATCTGGCAACAAAACTGACACCTTTTTGCAAGGAGTCATGTTTTCATAGACCGCAATACCTGCAGTCATAATACAAACAAAAGAAACGTAACTCTGATAATGTGCACTGTCCTTGAAGTTGATTGGTCCACACCCGAGACAGCTTTCCTTCGAGCCTAGTCTCATATGGGTTGGACCAGATGACGCCAAAAGGCGCACAACTCAAGGACAATGCACCATCAGAGTATGAGAGCTCGGGGCAAGCATCTACACTATGGGGACCTCATTTGCCAGTAAAAATATGATAATTGATTCTTTACCCTTCTATCTGGCAACAAAACTGACACCTTTTTGCAAGGAGTCATGTTTTCATAGACCGCAATACCTGCAGTCATAATACAAACAAAAGAAACATAACTCTGATAATGTGCACTGTCCTTGAAGTTGATTGGTCCACACCCGAGACAGCTTTCCTTCGAGCCTAGTCTCATATGGGTTGGACCAGATGACGCCAAAAGGCGCACAACTCAAGGACAATGCACCATCAGAGTATGAGAGCTCGGGGCAAGCATCTACACTATGGGGACCTCATTTGCCAGTAAAAATATGATAATTGATTCTTTACCCTTCTATCTGGCAACAAAACTGACACCTTTTTGCAAGGAGTCATGTTTTCATAGACCGCAATACCTGCAGTCATAATACAAACAAAAGAAACATAACTCTGATAATGTGCACTGTCCTTGAAGTTGATTGGTCCACACCCGAGACAGCTTTCCTTCGAGCCTAGTCTCATATGGGTTGGACCAGATGACGCCAAAAGGCGCACAACTCAAGGACAATGCACCATCAGAGTATGAGAGCTCGGGGCAAGCATCTACACTATGGGGACCTCATTTGCCAGTAAAAATATGATAATTGATTCTTTACCCTTCTATCTGGCAACAAAACTGACACCTTTTTGCAAGGAGTCAGTTTTGTTGCCAGATAGAAGGGTAACAATGGCACATTATATGACAATAGTCTCCTCCAATAGCTGCAATGTTCACATAGCTCACGATCTTATTTCCTGATTATCGGGGATTCAGAACGGGCGTCCACTTAGGGTGGCTCGACCTTTTCTCACGTCTCATTTTTAAACCTCATTACACCATGACCTGTCAACTTGTTACTGAATACACACGATGGCAGTAGCAGAGTCGACTGACGCCAAAGCTAGATCGTTAATAGCACGGCTTTATTGGCACCCCTCTGTCGTTGTGGCTGCTGCCAGTAGAGGCAATAACGGCACGTCTAAACATAACCTACTTTCACCCGGGCTGCATATGAATATTTGCCAGCATTTTTTAAAATTATAAACTGATGCTGCACGGCTGGATGATGACGGTGTTAATACTGAGAGATGTTGTTACAACACCCTATGATGCTGGCCGTCTGCCATCGATCAATTTAAGGCACCCCATAAACAGTATGAAGGGATTTATTGTTTTATATTGTATCTCGAGTGGGGTTTTCAAGCTCGTTGTTTTCCTGGGTGCCTGGAGACGAAGACGATACAAGCAGCTGATCCTCTCCTTGTTCGTGGGAGTTGGTGGGAGGGGGGGGGGGTTGCACGGACCGGGGTTAAAGGTGCAGCCCTGCAATTGCTATCTCTCGCCATTGCTGGTGGAAGGGCCTCTCCGCTCGTAGAGAGTCCCTAATGGAATGTGTTTTGACCTACTGCTCACATTGGCCAAGTGCGGTGTGAGTACTCACACTTTACCCCACCACGGGTAAATTGGACAGGATGGGTGGGGTCATTCCCTAGGCAAACCAGCTGTTGGCACTGGCTTTAGAATAACAGTCAACTGTGCAGCCCATTTTTCGATTTAAAGCTTTCGTGACTGCAGGGATTCATCTTCTTGGTTCTTTCGGTAAAGTCACGTAGAAGGGAACTAATAAAAGTAATAAAAAAATAATAATTATATTATTATATTATTTTATATAATTATATAATATTATTTCATTATTTTATTTAATATTATATTATTTTATTATGCTTTCTTTTTATTATTGTATTACTTCCCTTCTACGTGACTTAACTGAAAGAATCAAGAAGATGTGCAGCCCATTTTATGGTAAAGCATGTTGAAATTATTTCAAAACCACAAAACGTCTAAACATTTATATTTTTTTAATTGTAAATATCTGGCATCCCTCTTGCAATAAATGTCTGTTTCCTCTAAATTGACCATTCATGATAAACGGGATGCATTGTTTGGCAAATCTGAGTGCAAATGCTTCTAATAACAGTTTTTTATCGAATATGTTAAATTATTTTCAGAATTCTTGGTTCTTTCGGTAAAGTCACGTAGAAGGGAAGTGACTTTACCGAAAGAACCAAGAAGATGAATCCCTGCAGTCACGAAAGCTTTACATCGAAATTTATTTTCAGAAGTTAAGATTTTCTTATGCAAATCTCTTTTTTAAGCGTGCAAGTTTTTGCTCGCAGATATTCACGTTGTGCAGTTCTTCAAAGGGTGGCTATTCTAACCAGGAGGTCGAAGAGCAATGTTTGGTCTCCGGGGTGGCATTAGTTTCCACACCAAGTAATCGTTGACCACAATTGGCAGAGCACGCTTCACAGGGAGAACCACATATGCGGCTGCCACCATCCATGATCCATCCATATTGATGATGGATGGTGCATTTGTCTTCAATCTAGTTTTTTGTTTGCAACCCAGAACCCCTTTTGAAAACAAAGACTGTAAAATTGGAACATATCGTGACCTAATTTAAAACAACGGCTCTGTTTGTTACCACGGCAAGAGGTCTGTGTTTTTCAATTCCCGACTCTGGTTGCTTTCTGTGTGGCGTTTGTATATTCTCCCCCTGTTCTGCATGGCTTTCGTCTATGCTGCCATAGCTAAACAATGCGACTGGTATTAGTCAAACATCCCTGTGCTGGCAAAAATGTTCTCAATTAGGATTACACATAGCAACATCACCCCTTACTGTAAAAACTTACTTCAAAAAGAGACCTAATGACACTTTTATGGGTAAACAAGCGTAAAAATAATAATTTGAGAGTACCTGTATTGGACCCTCTACAGTTCGATGTTTTTGGGCCCCTAATTGAGAAACACCGAACTTAAGGACACCGCCGCACCCACCAAGATAGGAGAGTATCATCCTCCAACGATCTTTGGCGTCACGCCGCACCTGACGCAGCATGCCGATGTCCACACTCAGCTTCCGCCAGCCCTGCCAACGTGGGAAAGACAGAGAGGGGAGGGACTCCGGTCACTTGCAGTCCCAATAATTCCAATTTGTATTCTGAACAGGTGTAGAATGACGCATCGATTCATAGAATCGTACCGAGCTCGAAGTGTGCGATACAAGTATTGCGTTGCGTGTGCGAAGAATTGATGTTAGATTCGCAAATGCTGTACGAAATGGGTTTCGTGACACCCCTACAACCGAACAGGTGAGTCATTGGAAATATTATTTCACTGCAACCAGGGTCCTAGCCAACCCGGGTTCGATTCCTGATAATGTAACGCCAGTGATGGATGTCATCTCCAGAACGGATCTGGCAGTTCCCTAAATCACCTTCAAATGGTGCATCGTGATCAATAATTAGCACACAGCGGTGGGAGTGGGCCATACCACCATGTATTTCATTCCAGTCAGTGCCGTATTGACCTCCAAACTCTTTCATTCGTCTGACTGCCATTTCTTGCGTTGTCTCTCTTTCTGATCCTCCTTTCTTTCGCTCTCTACTAAAATTGGAACGATACAGAGAAGATTAGCATGGCCCCTGCGCAAGGATGACACGCAATTCTTTCGCTCTCCACTCCCACGTTCATTTTGTCTCTCATCTCTCGTCAGTTGTTCTCATCACGTATCCTGCCACATTTCCACTCGATTTATTTCGCCTTAACAGCATCATTGGCGAGCGCTGTTACTTTGCTTATTCATTCATTCCTCCTGAACCTATTTTCTTCGAATTACAGTCCCCCCGAAAATACTTCTCTCGGCAGATCACCAGCAAGGATCCGGGGAAACACTGAACCCTGGTGGGAACGTCACTGACAGCTGGTCACCTACCTCGGAGCCACGACGGGTGTGCTCCAGGCGCTGGAGTTTGTTGAAGAGCTCCCGGTCCTCGTCAGTGGCCGTGTGGGACCGGTCGTGGGGCTCGTGCCAGAGGTTTGCCAGGTCCTCGCGCTGTCGCTGCGACTCCATGCCATAGTAGAGTGGCAGCACCTCCCTGCGTCCGTGGCGGTGTTGGTTGGTGGTTGTGGTGGGCACGTGGTCCGTCGTTGACGATTGTGTGTGGTTGTGGTGGTTCGATTGGGTGATTGTGTGGTTGTCGATGGTTATGGTGGTGGTTGTGGTCGTAGTGTGTGGTCGTGGTGGTGGTAACGGTGTGTTGATTATATTGATAGTCATGGTCGTGTGTTTGTGGTAGTTTGGTTGGGGTAATTGTGGTGGTGGTTATTTTTGCGGTGGTCATGGTTGTATGATTGTCGTGATGTATTTATGGTGGTGATGGCAGTGGTGTGTGTGGTGGTGTGTGATGGCAGCAATTGTAGCAGCAGTTGTGTGGGTGGTGATGGGGTCATATTCTCCATTATACTATACATCTCCGCACAGTCCCCAACACAGTATCGGCACAAACGTAGACTCACATGTCCACACGTTAACATGCACAGACAAAAGCCTATTGCGACTCGGAGCCTGTTAACACATTGGATGGTCACCTCTTTTTCAAGGAAGACTTGCGGCAACCACATGTTAATGGAACAAGGGTTTTCAAATATGTCCCGCTGTACGCATGCTTGGTATGGCCAGTCCCACTGCAGTGTGTCAATCCACTGCTGGATGAGGGCCTCTTCACGCTGTGCTGGTCATGGGGGATATTTGACCATATTTCACCACACCAGTCAGTGGGGGTTGGTGAAGGTGTGTGTGGGGGGGCAGGACAGGTAGAGCCGCTCTCGCGCTCAAACGAACCTGCTGCCGTGCATGGTGATAACCCAATTCCAATCCCATTGCCAAGGCTCCAAGTCTGCTTGGCTTTGAACATCGAACGAGATTGGGCACATCGCTGGGTGAGTTCTCGAAAATATCTGGGACGTCCTCTCTGACGCAGTCGTTTCACGCGGTCACCGCGACCACGTCACAGCAGGTGGCGCACTTGTAACTAAAATACAGGGTGTTTTAAAAAGATAGACCCAATTTCAAAGCAGTATATTTCACGACGGCAACATGTTAGAATTACACAAAAAGTTACAAACGTTTTATAATGAGTTGTCAAATTTTACTAACCATTTTATAAATGCTCTATGTGCCCTCCGCGTGCTGTACGGACAACATCGAGACGATAGTTGAATTCGTCCCAAACGGCTCTCAAAGTGTCTTCTTCCACTGAAGTCACCGCTGCCGTGATTCTGTTTTTGAGGTCATCCAGATTAGTCGCTAATGGTGGCACAAAATCACGGTCTTTTGTGCCACCATGCTCTTTGACATTGGCGGATCAATGCCAAAACGCCGTTGAAACGCACGCTGCACCGCAATTACGGATTCAGTCTTGCTGAACTGCAGGACGCAAAACGCCCCGTTGTGTTGCGGGGTCAGCATCTTGCGAATGACTGAGGCTAGTGGCTGTTTGTGCGCTGGGAGAGGCATCGAGCGGTAATCATTTGAAACTCTATGCCCCGCCCATTCAAGTGGTAAGAGTTTCATTCATGGGCGATATCGTGGTTGCAGAGATATATCGATTTCAAATCGGGTCCATCTTTTTAAACACCTTGAGATTTCAGATCGTGCGCCTTTTGGCGTCATCTGGTCCAACCCATGTGAGACTAGGCTCTAAGGAAAGCTGTCTCGGGTGTGGACCAATCAACTTCAAGGACAGTGCACATTATCAGAGTTATGTCTTTTGTTTGTATTATGACTGCAGGTATTGCGGTCTATGCAAACATGACTCCTTGTAAAAAGGTGTCAGTTTTGTTGCCAGATAGAAGGGTAAAAAAACCAATTACCCTGTATATTTGTCAGGCAGTGACCAGAACCGAACTGTTGTCTGCTTGCATAGTGGTCTAGCGGCCAGTGGCTCTTAATCAAGCTATGCTATATATACGACACCGTATCCTGTCAAAAAAGTCGTGTGGGTATTTATAATATGTGGCTTGAGTGTCATTGTCTTGATACAAGATGACACAACATTGTGGGTAATTTCCTACCTTCATACAAAAACTATATTTGAGCATTCGTCGTGATCCGTGTAGATATAATTTTGAAAGTCTCCACTTTTAGGGTTCACACCTCCCACCAGAAGCCCAGCGCCCCGTACCCAGCCAGCCACCCACCCACTGATCCCATCTCCTCAATCCCTGATGGGTCCAGCAGAGGCAGGCAGTGTGGGTTGGTGCGAACTGTCATTGCTGACATTCAAAGTCAGGTTAGCGTGGAGTAAGTATCGGCATCAACCCCGCTGGTTTTTGCACGTCGCCTATATTTAGAAAACTGTAATGCTGTAGTCGCCCACTGTTACATAAGACAGAGTAGGTTTAAAAAATGAAACATATGTTTACATCGCAAACCGATGGAAGCTTGCAAGAGATTGTTGAATTTGTTACCTGATGAGCGGCTCTTTCTTGCGTAGGTCATTCCTGTCCTCGCAGTTGAAGCAGCACAGAAGCGAGAACGTCCCCATGGGTGGGATATTAATTTATGAGAGGCTTGCGGGCACAAAAAGCAGCTGTCCTCACGGACTCGCTCACTCACTGACTCGCCTCCAATTAGCACGGCTGGCCACGTACGGTGCTAAAGAAGTTCAAAATACGTGCAGCTCACAAAGTAACTGACTGGCTCACTAACTCGCTCACTCGCAATCTCACAACCCAACTCACTGACTCATTAATTCACTAACTAGTTCTACTCGCTCACCCAGTCACTACTTACTCTTGCGTGCGATGCACTTTCAAACGCTACGAGTTACCCAGGAATAACGAATGGACTTGTGATTAAGACACTGCGCGCACACAAGCTGGGAAATGCCCTCTACGCTGGCCTGCAAGGCTCGTGGTTGTATTCTCTCACGCTTTATCTTCGTCGCTCAGGCTCGCACACTTCTGATGATTTTTGGTCACCGTCTAAAATACAACCTCGGGTGTTTGTACTGCTCCCGACTGATCTGTGCAATATTGAATTGCATTAAAAACCCATGATGCTCTATAAAACTAATAATAACAATAGTACGTATACAGCGAGAAAGAAACGCCCGCAAGCAATAGTGCGAGATCTGAAATTGATCGCAAAAAGCCCAGCAGCGGTGTTGTGGGAGGACGCCAGTGGCCTCAGCCAAACAGAAGTAATAGGTTTCCCCACCAACAGAATACTTCAAAAAAAAAGCACACAACCACGGTTCTATTTGCTTGTGTAATTTGATTTTAGCCTTTCCCCTGCCACTCCGCGAGACACGCTCTCTGCAGCTGCAGCCTAGGGTGAGAATGATAACGGTGTGGGTGGGTAGCTACGCGCAGCTGAGTGGATTTTTATATCCACCTTAGCATGGGCGGTGCCCTTTTCTCACGAGGACGTCGGCTCCGTCAATGGGGCCTTTGTCGTTTAGTCGCCGCCAGGCACCGCGGAACGTAATGTCCAGGCTGCGTGATCCTCGTTCCAGTCTCTAATCATAAACACCGCTCACATGGACATCGCGTCCGAACGCCAAACATACATGTATTTCATTACCCAGGAAAGCCACTCTTCGGTGTCGATGTTCATCCGCGTGAGGGTCACGCTTTAGGTTGTTTGTCCCGACGATTCCGTTTTCATATCTATGATGTGTCATTGCGCTGCTGCTGTTTTAAATCTTCTTCTTTCGTACGGCTGCTGATGTCGATCCACAGCAACGGCTACAATTCCACACGCAGGTGGTCGAGTCAGACAACCGCGTCAGGAGCGGTAGCGGATTGTGTCTCATCGCCACGATGTCTCCTTCGTATTTTTTGTGGATTGGGGGCATTGCGTCGTGAAATGTCGTACGGTCTGTTTTGGATGACCACAGTCGCACATTGGAAAGTTGTTCATTTTACATTTGGACGTATCGGCGGTTCACCGGTGTGCGATATATAACAAAAAACAGAAAAGCACATTTTTCGCAGTAACTTTTTGTGAGTTTGTTTATTTTCCCGCGATTTGCAACGCCGGTCAGAAATTCTTGCGGGGTGTTCGTCAGAATCAGTTCTCGTGACGTCGAGGCGGTCGCAAGGCGAATGTGGCGAGCGGCTGAACACGAAGAAGCTTCACGGTCTGTTGCCCTATCGCAGCACCCAGCCTGATGACGATGGGCCGCTCTGTGTTTTGGATCGTGCCCTAGACCTGGTTGGAGGGTTAGGGTGAGGTTATGGTTCGAGTAATACGAGCACTGAGCTTTCATGAAGAATTCTGCATATATTGGAAAACCTTGTCCTTAAATAGCATTTGGTTGTTCACGAGAGATGTACATGTTGACCTCATTTATTGATGCCATGACAATAACTCTAAACCAACCCTAACGAGCCTAATGCCCTACTTGCCGTACTATCCATCGGCGGTTCAAGACGATGACGAAGATGATGATGCGTGCCCCCGACAGAAATCAGCGGTCAATATTGACCCTTCTTTAGCAAGTTTCAGTAGACCGAATAAACCTTCGAATCGAGTCCAACTTGGCGACAGGGTCTATTAAAGACTGATTTACAGATTTGCTGGTTTGAGTTTTGCTTTCAGACTGAGGACCGGTGTGTTTTGCTGCACCGGTGTGTCGCTAATACGCCCATGTGTGCATCAGGTATCCGCATCTGCCATGGCTTGTGCGGATGCGGTTTAGGGTGGACCACGAACTTCGTAGAGTATTATTTTGTTTGTTATATATATACTTTCCCTGTGTAGAGTGTTTCTAAGCTTGATGTATTTGGATGCTACGCAAATTCCAAATACGCATTATTATTATTACAGGTCATCCACCTTGCCTGTCTCTTGCAGGCACATCGGCTGCCCGTGCAGGTGGGAGCTCTCATCCGCACGATCTCTGCACGAGTCAACAACCCTGGCTCCAAGCCGTTGCTATTGCAGGCGCGCGCCTCCACAGCGAATGTTGTGGTCGAGAGGCCACGCCGACGAATGTTGTGGTGCGGCTGTTCGTCTCAAACTCTCATAAGGGGGGGGAGGGGGGAAAATGTGATTACACATCTGCACATTGATTTTTGTTTGGTTTTGTTCACAAAGACAAACAATGTTGGGACGCATCAATTGGGTGACAGTTGTGTACACACCGGAGGTGTAAAGGGTGGCAACAAAAACTGAAAGGGTCGTACATTTTGATAGAAATGAGCGACACGCAGTTTGTGGGCGAAAGACACTAAACCAGCCCCGAGTACTCGCCGTCCATGAGTACTAACTAGCCTTGCAGTAGAAGATATCAGCTTTCTCTGTCGAGTGAGACATAACGACCGATGCCATCATGGACCCGGCGAACGAACATCGATCTCCAGAGCAACCACTCGGCACGAGCCCTCGTAAGCCGACCCCAGAAACCCTTAGCTGCATCGTTCGTGCATGACCAGAGGCCGCTTGTTTTAAAATTTGTCGTTCGGATCACAGATGGTCCATCCGAGGGTCCCCCCCGCAGAGCTTTTCTCGCCATCACCTTCAGAAAGACCGACTCGCAATGTCGCCCATCTCCCATGGCGAGGACGGGGGTGCGAGGGAGTATCCTGATGGTGGATGTGTGTGTGTGTAGTGACATAGAACGGTCACTACTGTGTCGGCCCGTACGAGGGCTGGGGGCCCCAAGCGGGTGCCTGGGGGGTCACGTGGTGGAGGGATCCGGACCTTCCCAGAGGTGGGGGAAGGGAGGCGTGGCCTGGGAAGGGAGGCGTGGCCTGGACAGAGCCAGCCACGCCGGGGCGGAGCCGGCCACGCCAAAGCAGATATAAGCGTGGTGTGAACGCAGAGCGAGGCTGTTGTACTGTACTCCGAAGTGAAGACATCATCGGTCGTCAAGTCCCGAGTCGTTGTCCTGGGCCAGGCAGGCCGTTGCCTGCCTGGTCCAGTCTGTGTCGCATTCCAGAGTGTTAGTGAGTTGAGGAAGGTGGTCACCACCTCATGTACAGTGTTATATTACTTACCGTTTAATAAATAGTGTTGCCTCCAAGCTGCGTGTGTGTGCACCTAATTCGAACCCACTACATGTGTATCCCGATGTGTATGTATGTTGAATTTTTTTCACACCGTACGTCGCTAACCGTGCTACTCAGAGGTGCGGGGGAAGGACAGCAAACCAAACATAAAAATGTAGTTCGAAAGAAATTATTTTTTTCGATCTAGATTTTTAAAAGTGCATGGTTCCAGTGGCTTCCTGATATCGTGAGGAAGAGCGTTCCAGACGGCCCTAGAAGTGCATCTGAAAGCGCGCGAATGTGGTGACCACCGCCTTTGTTCGATGGCCATCCAAAAGCCGTGACGGTCTGTGCTCCTTGACGAGATCACAAAGGTTTTGTTGTTCTTGATTCTTTCAGTAAAGTCACGTAGAAGGGAAATAATAAAATAAAAATATAAAACAATAAAAATATTCTTGCTGTGGATCTTGCTGTGGATTTCACACCTGATGATGATTGCTTGTGTTGCAATCGAAACGTCGTGAGAATTTTTATTGTTTTATATTTAGATTTTATTATTATTTCCCTTCCACGTGACTTTACCGAAAGAACCAAGAATATGAATCCCTGCAGTCACGAAAGCTTTAAATCAAAATTTAAAGGTTTTGTTGTTCATTTGTGGCAAACGCTTTGTGTGTAATGAGTGCGATCTTTATGAAATGTGTTCGTTCGGCAACCAGAAGCCAATGCAGCTCGACGAACACTGGACGGACACGGTCGGACCTTGCAGTGCCCGTCACGACACGTGCCAGAGAATGTTGTATACGCTGCAGCTTGGTGATGTTTTTTGCCAGACGTCGGTGTTTATGTTGTGAATTCATCATAAAATTTGTTGAAAACGTTTTGTTTGTTTCATTTTGTCATTAAAATCCCCTCTACCCCGAATGTTATGCCGTTTGTACTTTCGGCGTCATGTCATGAGATGGAGTATCAATTCGGATTTCCCGCAGAGTAGTACATCCCTTCGTGTTCTAGAACAGTCCACTAAAGTAGGCATCACAGAGCTACCGCTGAGATCTATACAGTAGAAGGAAGCACTTGGGAGTCATTATCATCGCACGATAGTTAAGCCAATATCAATCCTCGGAGCCAATATCAATCCTCGGAGCTGGAATTTGCCAAATCAAGTACAGAACCAAATTTAACGTGATGGTTTTTTTTCATTGGTAACCAGGCTGGGACCATCACTTCGCTACACTTGAGAAGCTGGCTTAACCACAAGCGACTGCCTGAAATCGAAGCCAGGATCACAGTGGTACCATCTCAGTGCTCTAAACTCTGAGCCATCCAGCCAGTTTATATATATATGTGGAATTATTAAAAGTGGTTAAACTCGCAAAATCCCACTTATTTATAGGATATATCAATATTTAATATATTTGACTCCCGACCTCGATGCATTTATTCTGCTGTTGTGTGGCTTCAAGATAAATCTTAACACTGGGCGTTTGTGTCTTATATTTAGCATCATTCCAAATGCTGTGTGACTCGTCTTGCTGCGTATGTCTTTATACAATGGGGCACGCTCATATCACATTCCCCCATGCGGCTTTCCTCCACTTTTATGGGATGGTTTGATAACATTTCACTAGTTTTTTAAATAGTATTTTATCATAACTTCAACAGTCCGCCACCCAATGGACTTGTATGCTTGACCTACGCTCTGCTGTGCGTGATGAATGCAGATTAAGCGACTTCTTTGTAGATTCAAAATGCAGTACTTTTTATGCGTGTTCATAAATAGCCTGGTTTTTATGGGTGGTTTTTTCCATCTTTGAAATGTTGGGGCAGGATTTATTTGTTTCTGTGCATTATGCGATGTGACTTGATGACCCTTTTATGGGGCGAGGCAGCTGATCTGACCGGCGCCGGCTGAAAACAGTGCACGTCCTTGTGTCGAAAGAGCTCTCAAGTTATGGGACTACGGATTGAAGACCTAATTTCCAGCAACAAATGAGCCTGCCAGCCCTAAATTCTTAAGAGACATCACAGCAGCTGTGATACACACACTCTCTCCAAACACAACAACGTGTACTCGATGCCCAGGTGCATTCGGCACTAAAGAGTAGGTCACCATGTTCCGGTTTTGGTTAAATTCAAGCGCCATTAGTCATCACTCATCACTTTCCTTGTGCCTATGTTTAGGATGGCGGGATTAGTGCAGAAACTATGCAAAATGACAATGCAGCATGTTTTATTTTGGAGGCTGAGTGAAGAGCAAACTGGTCCAGAGTCTCCGGTATTCACCCACGCACCACGTGGAAGATTTCCCATGAAGCCTGCTTAAACTGCTGGGCCAGTGCTGTTAGCCATCGACCGTGACAGGCAGCCCCGCGCACGGGGGGCTGTGTTGGCAGCACCTTCGTCTCCCCAGGGCTGATGTTTGCACTGCTCAACAGGTCCACGTTTAAGGCTGAGTCGCCCTAGGGGAGGCCCAGGACCGGTCTAGATATCTCTCTGCCGTTGATGTTAAAGCCATGGCCGAGAATCGAACCCCAGTCCAGATTCATTCTGAATGTTCTGATCCGCCCCGACTGGACATTCTGTGAAAACTAGCTTTATACTTCACCCGATTCCTCCAGTATAAATACATATTCTGATACTGTGCGCTAACCGCTGTGCCACCGCTCCGTATTCAACCTACCCTAAATTCGGTCGCTTTGTCAAGCTACTGCTGGAGGCATCCCCGCACCACGTGGGTCATGTTTTTATATCTTCACCACACGTGTGAGTGCCGGTTTGGTTTTAGGGGGGGGGGGTCGATGAGCGGTTCAGATGTCACTCGCCACCGTTACGAGCCGTCGCGAGGATTTGAACCAAGGTCGCCGGGTTCGTGGTGCAGTGCGCTAACCACTGCGCCACCCTGCCACCCACCATGCTAACATAAACGAATGTAATCAAGTGATGATTTTAGTCCACGCGTGTCCCCCCCCCTCCCCGCTATTGTCTACTATTATATACATGTGATGTCCTTGGCTGTGATGTTTCACCGACTAGTTTTGGGGTTGCTGGTAGACTGGAGTAGCTGGCACGTGGCTCGTAATGTCAGGCTGAGCGAGGTGTAGACTGGATGTGGTGAGCCGGGCGGGGGAATATTTGTCGGGTTGCTGACACGGAGAGGCAAGGATGAAATGACGTCGCGGTAATGCTTCGTGGAGTGGTGGTGCAGTGGTTAGCGCACAGCGCTACGGACCTGACGACCTGAGTTCGAGGCCTGGCTACAAATGAACGTCGGCGGCAAGCGATATCCGACCAGATCCTGTGTCCACTTCCCCTTAGCATTTTCCCACCAATCCGCAATGATGAAGTAAGGTCAAACAATCCCCATGATCAACACTGCGTGATGGGGAAGTGTTCATCCAGCGGTGGATATGAGCTGTGAAATCAGTCAATTTAATACGTAAATGTGTGGGTTTAAAAAAAAATACATTTACAAGTGACACATCCTTGAACTGTGCAGGCTCGTGTTTAACAGAGTATAGGTCCATTTGTCTCTTGATAATAAAAAAGAATCCCACCTCAACGTATACACAATGGATGTGCGAATGACAGTGAATGGAGCGAATCTCTCCATTTAGCGTCACACAAAAGAGGGGACCGCGTGCGTAGGCCACGTGCCACACACATCACTCCGGTTTTTTATCGGCTCGCGGTTTGGAAGGAGTCTATTATTTCACTGGAACATGGGAATCAGTGTGCACTTGTATTCTGTCGCGTTGAGTCTACAGCACACACACACACGGGCACGGCCGTGAGAAAGCAGTCACGCGCGTGTTTTCGTCGCGTGCGCGTTGAAGTCGCCTTTGAATGGCAATGCACTGCGAGAAGAGGTTGTATGAGATTACAAAAGAAGGCTGTAAAATGTGGATATGAAATCAAGAGTCAGAGATAGAGAAAGAGGGGACACGGATTTCAGACAATACGCAGATGTAACACATGCACTACTGTATGTCAAATCGGTAAGAAAACAGGGAATGGGCAGGACACGTCACTAGAGTGGACGCTAATAATAACGTAACGTTATGTATGATATCAATTTTGCGTCAAACCAGGATCCGTATCATTGCCTATAAACATCTGGCAGTTCACCAGCAGTGTTTCAAGCAAGCCAGACTCCGCTGAGGAGACACGCACCTCCGATCAGCATACGGTATGTCGAAAAGGGTCCTAAGTTCGCTTGGACATATTGGAGCAAGACTTTTGAAGTTATACACGCCCAGAAGGCCGTGTACGTATGTTGAACTTCTTTCGCACCGTACGTAGCCAACCATGCCCATCGGAGGTGCGATTTGTGGTTGACGAGAAGTCTACTAGAATGGATGTTTGCCCATGTTCTAGAATAGCGATGGAGTGATAGCCAAGGGATGGAACGCGTCCGAGAATACGTCCACCGAGAAGATGGATTGATGAAATCAGCTCGTGTGCTGCTGCTGCTGCTGCCAGGTGGATTACTCACATCGCGGGAGCGCCCAAGATAGCTGAGGCTTTGTGAAACCTTCATCCAGCAGTGGATTAGAGTGCACGTGTTGCGAGGTGGAGGGGGGTGGGGGTGGCACTCGTTGTGGCACAGCCCCCAGGATGCGGCTCCAACACTACAACAGCAGCCAGGCCACGTGGATGTCAATAAGGCCGACATCGTGGGTGACACGTGCGCACACGAGGGGCCGCGACATCACGCGCAGAGAGAGAGAGCCCTTCACTGCACCACGCCCGGGCTCGATCGATTTCGACGTGGGGCATTCACTTACTGGTGCCCGTGTCTGTGCAGGTTGCGCGTGTGGAGAGAGCGCGCAGACTTCACTTGACACCGGCTGCACGTGCATATACATTGCATTGCCGCCACTGCTGCGTGAACTGCGGAGAGTGTAAATGCTGACATCCCAATCCGGCCTCCCTGCGGCTCCCCGTGCTGTCTTCCCGTTATCTCTCATCCTCCTCCTCCACGTCCCCTGCTCGCTCGCACGAACGGACGGACGCAAGCAAAGCATCCGCGCGTGAACCCAGAGAGCGAGAGAGGTGGTGGGGGGAGCGATGCTGAGCGAGTGATGTCGGCAGGGCCAGACGCCCCCGCGTAATGAGCAGGGAGCGACAATCAAGCGGGCTCTGCATGCGCGACCAAGAGATCCGGGGTCGCGCTGCGCGCACGGGAAGGTGGGAGAAGTAAGGCGACGAAGCAGGGCTTCCCCGGAGTGTGGAGGGCGTTTGGAAAGGGGGGGGGTAGATTCAAGCTAACGGCCAACACCAGTGATGATGATTTGAATCGATCCTGGGCCTCCCCTAGGTCGACTCAGCCTCGTATGAGCACTGTGCCTTGCGCGGTGTGCTAAACATCGCCTCTTGGGAGATAACGGCGGTACGGGCGCGGTGCTGGCCACCCACCCCCTCGTGTGCCGTGCCCACCTCTATAGGTGCTCGCAAACAGCACTTAGCCCAAAAAGTATCTTAAGGCTATTCGGGTGATATTTGTCTTTGTTGGGGTTTACACGGGTGATGTTGGTACGGAGGGGTGGGGAGGGGTGTTATTGAAAGCGTCCCCCTTCGAGCACACGGGAGGCGTGGGCAGCCCCGTTGCACGAGCGAGAGAGTGAGTGTGCAACATGCACGAAATGCGCATCTCCTGCACTTGCGTAAGCATAATGATAATTGCGCCTCGACGCACGTGCGCGCGCGCGCTCTCCGCGAGGCGCAGTGGCTGCACGAACACGCCGACTCGAGGCACCGCTGGGAAGATGCGGCTATGCACGCGTGCAGCGTGAGCAGTTTACATTTGCTCTGCTACTGCTCTCGTTCCTAGCTGCGGCTGCTACAGCTCATGCTGCTGCTGCTGCTACGACTGCTGCCACTACTCATCGTGCTCCTGCTGCTTCTGCTGCTATTGCTTCTGCTGTTTGCTCCTAGCTGCGGCCAGGACTGCTGCTGCTACTGTTGCGGCTGCTGCTGCTGACCCTGCTACTACTCCTGCAGCTCTTGCTGCTGATGCACTACGCATGCTATTTTAAATACACACGCACGCGTTGTGTTACTGGAAGGACACGTATGCATGTAAACACTGCAAATGTCCGCCCTGCTGTTCCTGTTTGATGTTCATCGGGCGCACACACGCGCAAGCTCTCTCGTAAGACAAATCGCGAAGGACAGAGTCGCTCCACTGCAGCCGTCGACCGATATCGTAATCGTCGCGTGATGCAGGTCGCGCTATTAGACAGGCGGGCGGCGTAATTCATTTTGCGGTGAGCGGTGCATCATTGACTATCGGGGGCTCACGTGAGTTACGAGCCTCGGTTCCTGCCCTTTAAAGCACCCCCAGGGTGAGGTTACGCGATGCTACGGTGATTCTATGGAAGATGCAATGGCAGAAGCTAATCGGGATGCTATGGAAGATGGCAGTGAGTTGCTGTGGGAGATGTCATGAGAGGTGATAAGGAGTTGCTATGGGGATTACGATGAAGGACACTATTGTCACTGATACGGGGAATGCTAGGAAGATGCGATGGGGATTTTGTGGAGGACGAAATGCGAGATGCTATGGGATATGTTTTTAGAGATGCTATGAGATATTCCATGGTAGATGCTATTGGGATGCTTTGGAAATGCTGTAGGAGTGTAATGGGAGACTGTAGGGAGATGCTCGGGAGTTGCTATGACAATCCACATGATGGCAGCTGTCTCGGCAATTGAGATGCATGAGTAAAAAATCATGCATGGGGTTTCCCTCCTCCCCCCTCCCCGAACTCGCATTTGAACCGCGTGCGTGCAGAGTGCAGTCTGCCAGCGGGGTGCACTGCGACTGCTTGATTTTTACGCCGTGGGAAATTGCGAAAATGTATTTTCTTTAAACGGCCACTCAATTTGGTGCGTCTTCGTCCCGCATTCCTTAATCCGTAACTTTCCCAAAATCATAATCGATTTGCGGACATTGGTGCAATCATTCATTAATTCGGGGATGCCAACGGGAACTTAAATTTACCGGCGCGCGACGCTTTTGCTCCCAACGGAGAGGATGATGAGGAACACACAAACACACACACACAGGGGTGCAACGCGGACTGAACGTGCATTCCAATCGGCACTGGGTACCTGGGCAGCCAGCATGTGTGCTCGCGTGTGTGTGTGTATAGTGAGAGTGTGTGTGTGTGCTCGCGAGCGTGTGTGCGTGTGTGCAATGCGTGTTTGCCTGTGCTCGTGCCCGTATTTGCGCGCAGTGTCGCGATCATGCCGCGTGTCGTTCGTTGCAGGATCAGAGCTCTGATGGATGACCGGCGTTGCTTGCTGCGTGCCGGAGACTCCATGGATTTGTGGCACTGGTGAATCTCACCACAACAAACAACAACAACAACAAGAGACCGGATCCAAACAACACGAGGAATTAAGTGTGGGCGTGCGTGCGTGCGTGTGTGAGTGTGCGTGCGTGAGCACTTGCGCGCCCCTCCTGTTCCCGAACCTCTTACCAACATCCCCGGCTCGGCGACGGACGGGCGGCACAACCAAAGTAGCGCTCCACTCGCTCTTCGCTCCATCTCTCTGCGGCGCGTGCGCTCGGCCTCGGGCGTGGACGCGCGCGGGAGGCACCACGATGCACGCACCGAGGCAGGAGGCGCACGAGGCCGACTCGCGCGAGCTCACGGACGAGCGCTACCGAGATGTGCGGCGGCCCAAGGTGGTGCGTTTCTACCGCAACGGGGACCGCCACTTCAGAGCGCGCTCCCTGCACATCACGCCGCACCGCTACGCCAGCTGGTCCGAGCTGCTCACGGACCTGTCGCGCGCCGTGCCCATGCCCCACGGGGTGCGCCGGGTCTACTCCCCGCTTGGGGGGTCTCTCGTCACGGGTGGAGTGGAGGCGCTGCGAGACGGAGCCTCGTACGTGTGCGCCTCCTTCGAGCCGTTCCGACCGCTCTGCTACGGGGGAGCGTCCGACGCGACTGGCACCACCAGCGCGGCGCAGAGCCAGCAGCAGCAGCACAGTGGACCACCGAGTCCCAGGAAGGGCCCCCCTGTGGCAGGTACCGCACGCGTATTGGCAAGTAGGGGGACGTACTTTTGGATGAAGTCGAGGGAAGTTGTGTTGTTATTGTGGTTGTCGTTTTCTCGCTCGCAGCGGTGTGTCGGTGACGTGTGTTGAGAGGTGACCTGTCCAGTCTAGCAGAGACGGGGCGTCACCACGTGAATTAGAGAATTGTCCCCGCAAGAAGATTTCATAGAACTTCTTATGGGATTTATTTAGGGGATGTATTTAAATCCGCACACTAGAGGGCGCAGTTTCACACACCCCTTGCTATATTGAACATTTTTACAATCACCACGATATATTTATATTTTTTAATCTCAGATTAAATGTTATCAAATTAAGTAAAAACTTTATTATTGTGAGTTCAGTTATTGGTGACCCGGCTGAGACCATCATTTCACTATCTCAGTCAAAGGGTCCCTTTTCCGTAGGACTTTTTTTTTATCAACGCGAGTCTGTCGGTATCTACGTGTATGGCTCTCTATGCGAGTATGTGTCTCTGTAAATCTATGCATATCTGAGTACGTATGTGAGTCTCGGTGTGAGTCTATGGGTACTATGTGAGTCTATGTGTCTCTGTAGGTTTATGGACCTACCGTACAAGTAAATCACTGGTGATCGTCCGGAGACCATCAACCCTTAATCACGAGACCATCAACCATTAAAACTTAATCTCGGGCTGCTTAAATCGGGGTTAAATCTCAGAATCTCTGCAGTACAGCCTCAACGCTGTGATCCCTTAGCAGACTCAGCCACCTTCACTCAAATACATTGGAAAGGAAGCCAACATGTAAACATAGACAGATCTTCTGCTATCTCCTAGACACCAGTGGTTTTGCTATCGAGTGTGCAGGCGGTACAACTGCACCGGGGCCCATACACTGATGGATTCAGATGCCGGGCTGCAAAAAAAGGAGGGGGGGGGTAAATTGGACAGGGGAAAGACTGGCCCCATTTCATTTTCCTCCACCAATACCGATACCAGGCACGCTACTTCGCCACTGGTTAACGCGTATCCGCGCTGTACCCCTAGGCTGTACGAGTACAACTCTTTTTTTATTTAAATCGTCGTCGAGTAAAAAAATAAATACTTTAAACCCACTTTCGGGAGCGCACTGTGGCGCTCCAGTGACGTCGCTGCATTGGCACCGTCAGATTCGTCGATTGCAGCCACCGCATTGACGTCACAAGAGCGCCCCCACTGCGACGCGCCCTGCAAGTGGCGTTTAAAGTATTCATTTGTTGTTTATAATATTACGAGAAGTAACAAATATTCAAACTTCACGTGGTACACTTGTGTCAGCCCACTGTGGGGCTGAAGGGCCTCCCCCCCCCCCCAATCCCGTGTCAGTCATGGGCGTTATTTGACCAAACTGCATCACGTTTTTTGTCAGTCTCCCGAGTTAAGTGCCCACAATGAACGTTGCGTGTGTTGAACTTCTTTCGCACCGCACGTAGCCAACCGCGCCAATCGCAGACGTGAGCTCATTGTTTCTTGATTAAACGGTTGCGTGGGTGGGGATATATTTGACAAGGAAAGGGTGATAGCGTCTCACCACCGTAATTATGAACTCTTCCTTGAAACACGAGCATACGCCGTAGAGAGCATTAACGTCTATGGCGGTGAGGCCATTGAGATTAGCTGTTAAACATTAATATTTGGTGTGGTGGTGCGAAGGGCACAGTGGTCAACACACTTCATTACGAAGCCGGAGACCTGGGTTCGATTCCCAGCCACGGCTAACGTCAGTGGCAAGCGATATCGAGACAGGCGCTGGGCCTCCGCTCTTCACTGCACCACGACGACATTGGGTAAAAGAATCCCGTCTACGTGATGGATGGCGACGGAGTGGGGATGCCTCCATCAAGCAGTGGAATAATTCACATACGGGCTGTATATGTGTAGTGAGTCATTCAGAGACACTATTTAGGAGGCAACAACGTTTATTCTACACTTTACGCAACGGTGTTACACAAGGGACTAAATACACAATTCCTCACTCTTGTTACGCATAGGACCACAATACACCTATTTATCTTGCATACGGGATAACTATAATCAGAGCAGCCATGTGCTGCCTGACCCACGATGTCGAAGACGGGGACGAAGACGTAGCACTTGGGTTCCACTTCACCTGCAGACAGCCCGGATTTGTGCTCGGTGCTTCCCTTTTATCTCTCTCGGCGCGGCTTGGCTCCACCCTCGGCCGCGCCCAACGTCCAGAATATTCTCGACGGCTCCAGGCGACACCACACCTGTTCCCTCTCTGGCTCCGCCCTTAACCACGCCTCCTCACTCTCCAGACGTTCTCAGCCACTCCCCCCCGTGCCCCCTCGTTCACCTTTGGCCCACATTACTCACCCCGGCCCATCACGTGCTTAACCCGGTGCCGGGGTGACTCGTCCCCACATGGCCCCCACCGCACTCTCACAGCGGCCCCATCTGCGCCGCTGGTGGAGGCTGCAATCCCCGACTCTATCAGTAGGACTCGTCAGCAGAGGTCGCAAACGGGTTTTGATTCCTTACCCGTACCCGTACCCGGCCGCACCAGGGTCGCAACCGGGTACCCGATACCCGTACCCTACCCGATACCCGGCTACCCGTACCCGGCCGCACCAGGGTCGCAACCGGGTACCCGAAACCCGTACCCTACCCGATACCCGGCTACCTGTACCCGGTCGGGTAAGGGTAGGGTACGGGTATCGGGCACCTGATTGCGACCTCTGGGATGAAGCCATGTTGCAGGCGCGGGTGGGTTGATTCTAGGAACTTGAATTGTGAGAAGAGACAAGACGTTGGGAAATGAGTGACAAACGGTGACTCACCAGTGACTCACGGCCTACCCGTACCCGTACCCGGCCGCACCAGCGTCGCAAATGGGTAGCCGGGTATCGGGTAGGGTACGGGTATCGGGTACCCGGTTGCGACCTCTGCAATCGTCAGGCTTCCTCCTGCTAGCACCCAGTATCGTGCCCCTAGTGGCCCCATGAGTAGGTACTGCACGGTGTGGTCGCCTCTGCGCCTGTTTCAATGGAACTTGGCACTTCGAGCAGCAATGATCCATTTAACATCACTACACAGGTATGAGATTTTCTTGTAGTAGTATAGACATTGGGTGGATAAAAAAAGAATCTTGAATTAGAGCAGTGTTTAGCTTTTATAGAAGCAAAGGTGAGTTAAGCACAAGTGTTACCGTTTGCTTTGGTTAATCGTGGCGGTGTTAGATGGGTCAGTGTGCAGAACACGCAACTTGATTTCACTCAGGTGTGTGTGCTTTGGAATACTGCCCTCGTGTGTATGTGTGGAAATGTGTGTGGGGAGCGGTGGCGCAGTGGTTAGCTCACAACACTATGAACCCGGCGACCCGAGTTCGATTCCCGCTCACGACCAACATCGGTTTAGAATATATGAACCTCTTCTTGGTTCTTTCGATAAAGTCACGTAGAATGGAAATAATAGAATAATAATAATAAAATAATATAATAAAGCGTATTTATTTTCTTATGTTTAATTAGATTTTTTTCTTATTTTCTTATTTCAATTTTATGTGACTTTACCAAAAGAACCAAGAAGATGAATCCCTGCAGTCACGAAAGCTTTAAATCGAAATATATGAACCTGTTCTCCGTCTCACCGAGATCAACTCAACCTTACATTAGTGCCTGGTGAGTTGTGCCAACATCCGTTGGCGAGACAAAGGCGGCCGGTTGTGGTGCTGGCCACACAACATCATCGTGTGCCATGCGGGTCTCCTTCACAGATGCTCACTCACCCAAAGTCTGTATCGCTTTAGGGAGCATCTTTTTTGTCCATTTATGTTCGTACACATACACGTGTGTGTACTCTTGTCAGTGCCTGGGGTTATTTGCCTGCTGCACGCTGTGACGAAATGCCGCATGCCGTGTTTACGATCTATACTGGATGGGTTAATGAACAATTATCAGGGTTCCCACCGAATTTCTATTTAAAGCTTTCGTGACTGCAGGGATTCATCTTCTTGGTTCTTTCGGTCAAGTCACGTAGAAGGGAAATAATAAAATAATAAAAATAAAACATAATAAAATACAATTCTCACGACGTTTCGGCCACAACGCAAGCAGCCGTCCTCAGGTGAAGAACATGTCTGTCGGAAAGACAGCGTCTGAAAGAATCCTGAGATTCTTAAAAAAAAACGGTACTTCCACGATGATGAGTGATTCAATGGTCAGGTATTGTGCCAGTGTTAATAACTGCGAGCCCTGGTGTAATCTATCATCTGTTCATTCAATCATACACTTTCATGATACATTTCTTGGAGACTCAACCTTAATACATGGTGAGCTGGCATCCCCTCCCTCCATCAGCCCCACCTACTTTTACATAGCGACGCCCACTTAATCACTGGCTCCGCCTACTGCTGATCGGCCCACCCACTATTCAGATAGCTCCGCCCATTACAGGTAGCCCCCGCTCACTTCTCAGATAGCTCTGCCCACTACCCAGATTGCTCTGTCCGATACTCTGGTAGCTCCGCCCACGACCCGGTTAGCTCCTCCCACTATTCAATTAGCTCCGCCCTTTGACCGCACCATGAATCAAGCATCAGGCCAACACATTGTCAGCTGGGGACACATCTTGAATTTCGCTAAAGCTCTGTTGGGTCGGGTGTTGGGGGGGGGACATGGGGACAGACTTTCTGAAACCACCGGGACAGTCCCTGCCAAACTAGGACGCGTGGTAGCCTTCCTTATTGCTAACCAAATGAGAGCCAATTGAGACTACCTTTCTCAATGTACTTAGACGCATCAATAATGCGCAATATACGTGGAGCCTTTGGCAAAAATCCCATGGCCCGCTTTTCAGAGAATTGTAATCTGAAGGTCGTCATCGGGGGGCGTCAGAGCAAAGCAATAATGCGAACACCCCCTCCAACTTTCCCGCACTGCAGCATCAACACGATCCACAATTTCCACTGCGGAACGTGGTCGCTTTTACAGACAACAGGGGGTGCAGAC